AGTTCCAGTTTCAACTCAAGTTCCAATTCAAGTTCCAGTTCCAATTCAAGTTCCAGTTCCAACTCAAGTTCCAGTTCCAATTCAAGTTCCTGTTGCAATTCAAGTTCCAGATACTATAAATTTCGAAGAAAAGTAAAATATTTTAATTGAACATTTATAGAATTAAAGATATCAAAGAATCTATTAAGACTTTTAAACATTTTACTCTTTACTTTGATCCATCAGGAGAATTTGTAATATACGATTATCATTTACCAATTTAATTGAAAGGTTGTATGAAAAAAGATCAGAGTACAAATACTTAAAAATTCAAGGATTCCTAATATAAATGGATAAACATTCATAAAGAAAAATATTTTTTTGCATAACTTGATGAATAAAGTTTTGCCATTAAATGGGAAGGAGGAAATTCAAGTTGCCTAAAATTAAAATTATAATGATAGATATAATGAGGATTTTTATTAATTTATCAGAATAATAAATTTTGTTATTTTTATCGAAAAGTATAGTTTGAATGAAGAAGCTAGAGTAAAATAAATTTATTTAGTTTTTTCTATTATATGAAAATAAATGAATAATTAGCAAAATAATTTAGAATTCACGAATCTTTTGTGATTTAAAAGTTTGAATAAAAGTCTAAATCTTTTAGAAATATAAAGAGATACGATTTGATGGTCGATTTGAAGAAATTTCAGCATTAAGAGAAGAAATAGTTAATAATTATAGTGAGGAAATGAATAGATAAGGAGGGAAGTGTTTGAAAATAAATGTTAATATTAAATATAAAATAAAATATGACTGATTAGCCAGAAGGACCACCAGACGTAGATATCTTTCAACAGACAACGGAAAAGAAGTAAGATTTGACATTAATAAACCTAGTTCTCATCGTGCTTCTATTTTTGAAATAGTTTTGGAGAGTACATTATTTTAAGTACTAATAAATGTTCTGACTCTATATGCACTTTTTGGAGATGATATAAGGGTTGCTGCATTTCGTTAGAATGCAGACATAGTTTTTGATGGATTGAACATCACTTGTTTGGTAAAACAGTTTTATTAATAGATTAAGATAATGTTTTCAACTGAAATCATATTGTCGGTAATAGTAAAAGAGGGATACTTTCTATCCTTCTTCTTTTGGCTTGATACAATATCAACAATATCTTTATTGCTTGATATTAATATGTTCAATACGGCTGTTGGATTAAGTGGTGCTGGAGGATAAGCCAAAAACACAGCAGGATTAGCAAGAGCAGGAAGAGCATCAAGAGTAGGAACTAAAGCAGGTAGAGTAGTTAGGTTAGTGAGGTTAATAAGATTAGTGAAAGTTTATAAATCTGCAAATAAAGAGGATGAAGATAAAGTTTAGAAATTAATATCATAAAGGAGATAGAAAAGAAAAACTAATACAATTTAACCATAAATATAAGAAAGAATTGAACAACAAAATAACAATAATAATAATGGTGGTGGTGGTACTTAAAATGAAGAGTAAGAAACTAAAGAATCTAAAGTTTCTAAAATGTTATCAGATGCAACAACTAAGAAAGTTATCATTGTTGTTTTAGCATTATTATTTTTGATTCCACTCTTCTCTGTTGATTATTTTGTGTCTCCACCTACAAGTATGTTGATGTAATCTTAATAATTTGTCAAACTTGCTGAATCAGAGGCCTCCACATATGATGATGTTAAAAATGCATACAATTAAATTATTATTGATCATAGTGGTATAGACAATTACATTGTCTTATTTACAAGCCCACTTTATAATTATAAAGATTTCCCTATTTATGAACATGAGGATTACCCTAATTTAAGAATTGATGAATAAGATGTTGGAGCTTTTAATTTGAATTATGATACTCTTATCACAACAACTAATTTACCTGATGAAGCCATAGCCTAATTTGAGTATTTTTATATTCATATTCCTTTAGTAAAGAGAATTCAGATGTTGTAGGTATCTTAAGTACAAGACAAGCAGCTGTTATGACTAGTATCTTATCTATTATCAGAACTATCTTCGTAAGTATTGTCTTGACTTTTGGAGCTATGATGTTTTCTAAAGATTCTAATGATTTGGCATTGAGGCCATTAGAAAGAATGATTGATAAAATTAATAAAATAGCAAATGATCCATAAATTGTTACAGAAATGGCTGTGATTTAAAATGAAAATTCTAATGAAACTGTTAAAATTGAAAACACTATAGTTAAAATTGGAACTTTACTTGCTTTAGGGTTTGGTGATGCAGGTACAGAAATTATTAAAATTAATATGAAAAAGTAAGGTGATGTAGATCCCATGTTGCCTGGAATTAAAAAAGTAGCTATTTATGGTTTTTGTGATATCAGAAATTTTACAGATGCTACAGAAGTTTTATAAGAAGATGTCATGGTTTTTGTTAACAATATAGGAGATATAGTACACACAATGGTAGATAGATATTTAGGTGCAGCAAATAAGAATATTGGTGATGCATTTTTATTAGTATGGAAGACTAGACCAGAAACATATTCTTTTGAAGAGGACAACGTAATTTGGCATGATAAATAGTAATAAGAAATAATAATAATAGATATATTTCTACTTTATCAGATTGTGCTTTGATTTCGTTTATGAAAATTTAATGTAAAATTAATAGAGAACCAAAGATCTTAGCTTATCGATAAGATAAAAGATTGTAAGCAAGAATGGATAACTATAAAGTAAAGATCGGATTTGGATTACACATGGGATGGGGAATTGAAGGAGCTATAGGATCAAATTATAAAATTGATGCATCTTATTTGAGTCCAAATGTTAATATGGCATCAAGATTGGAAGCAGCGACAAAATAATATGGTGTTCCAATTTTAATTTCTGAATAACTTTATGAACACTTTTCACCTGAATTCTAAGAATATATAAGACACATAGATAGAGTTTGTGTAAAGGGATCAAATATTCCTGTGAGTCTATATACAATAGATATGAATGTTGATAATTTACCTCCAAGCAATGATCCATTAGTAAAATATAAGGATTTCACAAAAGAAGAATTGAGAATGATTTTGAGATAGAAGAAATTAGAAATTAAAGAGATGTTTGAATGTGGAGAATTTAAAGTAGCAGAACATCTTGAAACTAATAAAGATTTAAGATTTTTGTTAACTGGATTCAAAAAAGATTTTATGGTAAATATTATTGTATAATTTGTTTAGTAAGTGTTTCGTAAAGCCTTTTAAGCTTATTTAGATGGAGATTGGAAAACTGCTCGTGCTACTTTCTAAGAGGCACTAAAACTTAAACCCAATGATGGTCCAACTGAAGCTGTATTACATTCTATGGAGGAAACAAATTATTAGAAACCAAGTGATTGGAAAGGATATAGAGAATTAACAGAGAAATGATTAATATTAAATAATGAATAAGTTTACACTTAAGTTCTGTAACATTAATATTCTAATATCAAATTAAAAAATTACAAAAACTCTTTACTAATTTTTAGGATAATTTGTCAAAACTATGATTCCATTGTAACTTATTATTTTTAATCAGCAAATGTTCTACAAATATATTTCATTGCATAAATTTAACAAAAGATTCTAAATTCTCCTTTGACCTATCATCTGAACTTCTCTTTCAATGCAAGTATCATAATTTAAGAAGGAACTATTATTTTTATTTAATTATTTACATAAATATTCCTACACTTTAGAACTTATTTTAATTGGAGAAATTGGATAAATAAAAAATAAATAAATATCATAGGTAGTTTCTTCAAGAAATAGCTTATAAAAATAATATTGATTGTATAAAGTATATGGTTAACAATTTTTACTTACTCTTTAGTAAAGTGATAGATTAGAATATCGAAATGTAAATTAATTAATAGTTAATGAATCAATAAATATAATTCTATAGGTAAAATAAGAATAATAAAATAATTATAAAACTTATTGTAAAGTTCATATTCATTATATGAATTTTCATTTTAGATTCGATATTTAGAACATATAGAAATTATGACTATATGACTGTTAAATAAAAATTTCATAAATGACAATTAACTAGAATTATATTAGAATATGTAAATTATTGGTATCCTTTGATATAGTAGGAGATCATACAATTAAATATAGTATAATAATAGAATAAGTTCAATTATAGATTTATCCGCTCCTGTTAGAGCTCCAGAATAAGCTTTTTGAATGCAATCAAAACATATCTTTCCTCCTCTAAGAAAATATGAAAGAGTATCTAAAATCTTTTCTTATATCCGCACATAAGATTAATAGATATGATTTCATTAAATTGGCATGTATTGAACTTGTAAAACAAATCCTGAATATTTTATTTAATTTACTCTCAAAGAGAAGGCTAAAATTGATAATATCAGCAAAAATGGATTAGTAATTAAAATATTTCACAAATAAATTTGAAAATGGTTACTAAATTATATACTATAATCGTATGACTATGCTTAATTGAATTAGAATAATAGATTCAGATAAAGACTTATAAACCAAATTGTAAATTAAGTATAAGAGTATACAAATAATTAAATGAAATACTAGAGAGGAAGTATATATATGAATGAAAAAGACAAAAAATTCTGCATTTTACAAGATATATTTTAAGGATTCAATTTAAAGGAGTGAATAATCAATTACATAACTTCCTTATTTATTTAAATATTATATACCATGCATATTAAGTAATGATTTCAGTCTTCTCTTGAATAATCAATTGAACCTTGTATAATGAATTGTTAATCAGTACAAAAAAAAGGGTACTGAAATTATTTTATATTCAAAAGTTTAAGAAAGCTTAGTCTTATTCTATCCCAAAACATGAGACACTTAATTATTCTAACCTAAATATTATAAGATCTCACCTTATCAAATTAATGGATAAAAAAGTAATGAAATTATCATACATAGGCTGTTTAATATTTATAAGTATATTGCCCCATGAAATATAATATTAAGCATTACTTTAAATTTCGCATATATAACCAATTACTATTTGAAATATGCTTGTTGATAAATTATAAGTAATTGATTTCCAATCATAGTAATCAATTAATTATCATTAGACATTTTATAAAAATGAATTAACTATTTGATACAGAAGAGTCCATTAATTCCGATGAAGCTATAAAATCAATAGAATGTAAAAGTCTTACCCCCAATTTTCATCATAATCTTGATGATAAAGGTACTTCAGTTCATAAAAGGATGCATGGAATTCACACAATGATGTACAAATTTAAAGAGCAGTTGCTTTTTAAAGATGAAATTTTCACTCAATCATCTCCTTTTAAATCTACTAATGTTATTTCAAATTAAAAGGGATTATAACAAAGTGAGATTCCTATTAAAACAGAAGATTTCCTTAAATAAGATAAAGTACACTTGGCTGATTCACGTAAAAGACACAATACTAAAGATTCAATTGAATAATTTCAATAAAAGTAAATTCAATAAAGCCACAGGAAAAGTCAACCACATTTATAAGCTAATATCATATCAATCGTATAAGCTCGTAAGTCAAAAAAATAGATTTATGTTACATAGATTGTAAATGATCATTGTGAAATTACAAGTTTTCCATTCCCTAAACCTTAAAAATTTTCTAGGATGATTTAAAATAATGATGGATTACAATCTCAAAGAGGTAGCTCTACATCAACTCCTAGAGGTATCCTTAAATCTGGTTCTTTTGAAGTTTTAAGAATAGGTAGTAGACCTAGCATTCAAAGTCTTAATAGTCCTATGATTAGATCTAACAATAAAAAAGTTTCCTTTGAATTTACTAGTGAGTAACTACGTAAAATGAAAAATAACAGAGTTAATTCAGATCATAATAAATATCAAAGATTGAAAACCAAATTCAAAAAATGATTTACTCTTTCATTTTTTTGTCTATCTATATTTATATATTAATTATATATATGCATATATTCTACTCTCTATTTTATTAGAATTTATCTATGAATTCGTAAAAATTATTATTCAAAATTAATTAAATTTAAATTTGAATCATAATGTCAACAGATAACACAGAATTGTTATCAAAATTTCTTAATGATTATAATCAACTCAAAAAATAGAATTAAGAATATTAAATGAAAGAAAACACATCACTTTTAACATTAACTAATGAAAATTAATTATTGAATCAAGAATTGAATCGTATTAAAAAAGAAAATCAAAGACTTATTGAATGTAATACATTTTTAACTGATTAACTCAATTAATTAAAGCTTCTATACTCAGAAACTAAATCAGAACTTCAAGAATCATTTAATTTTATTTAAAGCATGAATAAAAATATGAAGACAGGTACATTTGAAAATGAAGACAAAGATCTTAATAAATTGATGGAAATATTTTCAGTTAATTCTGTAGATTAATTGATAATGACTGCAGAAAAAATAAAAACTGTAATGTTAGGTGTTTCCCATTTAGAATAGTTTTGCAGATCTATTTGTGAAATCATTTATGATTAACATGAAGAACATTATAATTTAGATTAAGTGTTTCCAATAATTTAAAAATGGAAGAATGATTCAAAATATGTAGATTGTTTTCTCTTTTTTAAAAATCAATTAGAATAAACACTCTCTTTGAAACATTCTACTGATTAATAAATTATTGATGCTATTAAATTACTTTAAAATAATCAAAATTAGGATATCTAAACCATCAAATAGCTTTTTAAAATAGATTCAAATGATAATTTTATGTTTAAAATCAATCAAATCTTTTTACTTCTTTAAGATATTTAATAATTTATCAAAATAGCTAAAAGACTATTAGATTTAGAAGAGAATATGAAAAATGAAGCTTGTATGGTTTATATGCTGAAATTATTAGAAAAAATAAAATAAAATCATTTTAATGATCCAGATCTTATTATTAAAATTATGAAAATAATCAAAGTGGAACATCCATAATAAATATTATAAAAATTAGAGTAATTGGTAAATTGATTATTATAAATTAAATATGATTAAAATTTTAAGAAGTCTTCGCTAAATAAATCATAAATAATCATATGGTTTATTTGGATGGTTTAATAAAAAAGAGGAAAAAATTGATGATTCAGCATATGATCCAGCAAATTGGAAATAATTACAACCCGCATTTAATAAAGTAAAAGAAGAAAATTAAAATAAACCAAAACTTTTACCAATAAAAAAGAAAGAATATTCTGATAAATTAACTGTTGTTATGGAATTAGATGAAGTTTTAGTTTATTCATTTGTTCCAGACCCAAAAGATATGTTTATGAATGCCCCTTTAAGATAATATGATTATTATATAGATTTGCCTGAATTTGATAATTTTGTTCATGTATATAAGCGAGAATAATTGGATGAATTTTTAGATTACTTCCTTAATTATACTGAACCAGTTATTTGGTCAAAAGGCTAAAGGATTTATGTAGAGAGAGTTTTAGAAAAATTATGTCCAAAATTTCCTAAAGATCATATATTTTGTTAAGAAGAATGCAATCTAGTTGAAGAAGATGATTTAGAAGATTATTTTAAGGATCTAGATCTTTTAGGAAGAGACAGAAAGAAAATTGTTTATGTTGATTCCAAACCATTAAGTTTTTGGACTACAGGAGATAATTGTAATATAATTATTATATATATCTATATAGCTATTCCAGTAAGAATGTTTGTAGCAGATAACACAGATACTAAAGATGATCTATAAAAGTTAACCAATATACTTGAAAGATTGAAACAAGAAAACGATGTGAGAGATTACTTGAAGAAGATTTATAAAGTTGAAGAAACACTTAGAGAAACTAAATTTATTGAGTGATATTATATGATTATTAATCAATCAATCAATCATTTAAATTTATCTTTATCCTTTTTCTTTACATCATCTTTTTCTTCAATATTAATCAATATACGTAAACAACTTGGTGTTGATGAATTCTCAGTTACATAAAGTATATTTGATTTTTAACTTTTTATTAAATTCAATATATATACCTTGAAAATGTTAAACCAGATATTTCTGGACATTATGGTATTGAAACATTTTCAACATTTACTCCATTTGAATTAAAAATACTTATTTGTCCTTCTTCTGAAACATATCCAAATTCAAATCTAGCAACATATAAATGTTCTGATTATGATACTGCACATGCAATTGGACCAAATCTACCATTAAATTATATATAAGTGCTATTTTAATATTTATAAATACCTATAATAAAAGATTCCAGCATCTGTTTAAACAAAGCGTAATACTCTATTTTTACCTGTCTCACATAAGTATAATAATTTTTAATCATTGCTTAAACATATTCCACTTGGATATGATAAACATTATAATGCTAAAGGTTTTACAATTTGAGCATCCATATCTATAGCAAAGAGAGATCCTTTACAATTTTCTATTGAAGTTTCACCAAATGGTCCAGAATCAGTAAAGAATAACAAATCTAATTATACAAAAATCGTACTATTTTTAGGTGATAATAATAATGAATTTGGTCCTAATAATGGCTATCCTTCATAATCTTTTAAAAAGTCTGTAATTTGTTCTTAACTATTCTCATCAATGAATCTCTTTAAAATAGCTTGATGTGCCATATCTGCAACATATATAAACTTATTCAACTTATCAATTACAATAGAATAAGGTTATCCTGATATATGAAATTCAGCCTAAACTCAACTTATGTAACTTACCTTGAATTATCCATCTTTAAATTTTAAAATATCACCATTTTATGAAACCATATAAATAGCCCCATCTATTTCTAAAGGACAATAAAGGGGACTTATCAATTCACAAATCTTTTCATAAGGTACCGCACTCATTTATATTTTTTTTATATAAATTAATATATTTAGTAATTAAATCAAAATTAAAAAAAAAAAGAATCACCCATGGCAGGGATTGAACCTGCAGCCTACAGCTTAGAAGGCTGTCGCGCTACCAATTGCGCCACATGGGCAACGTTAATAAATCTCTCTACTATCCAATATTTATACCATATGAAATTCATAATTTTTACTTTTATTTTCTAATTATATTATAGTATATTATTAAACTTAATCTTATTTTACTCTCTCTCTATGTTTATTTTCATATTTATATATTTTTTATTTGAGATTAACCTTATTTTACACAATAAATTCACTTGTAATCAAAGAACAAATGGAACATCCAATTCATATGTATGGACAAGAATCACTTCTGTTTTACTTAAAATTATATCTAAAAATAACACTTAATATTTCCAAATATTAGGAAAGATCAATCGTTCAATTTTATCTGAATCAAATTAACTTGTAAACTTTATCTAATAAACAAGATCATTAGTTTAATAACAAGATAATATTAATCTATTACTTTTTATATTATCTACAATTATCCAGAATATCAAAGCAAATAATTTTGGATGAGTAGCTATTTATTAATCTCCTCTAAGATTAGTTAATAATTTTATATTTAAATTACCACAATAATTAAGTAATTTTTATATAAAACTTAAAACTTAAATGTCTTTATAATTATCATATAAGTTTATATTTTCATTCAATATTAAAATCAGAGCTTTTCTCTGAATAATTAAATATTTATAATTTTAATTTGAATATTATTTCAATCTCTATAACAATTTAAAGATTAGTTTCATCAACTATAAATTTCTACTATAAATTTAATTTTTAGATAAAATATTAACTTTGTTAAATTCTTTGAAAGTTAACAAAATTTTTAATGAATTAGTTTAAAATACTGTAGAATTGATCAAAAAAGACTTTTTCTAATATTTGAGTACAAATTAATTATTACAATTAGCTGAATGATCCTAATTATAATTGCCAACTATTTAAAATAAATAAGTTTTAAATGGAATGTTTTCAACATAACTATTGTTCATAAAATCTTGAGACTTTTATGAATTCTAAAATAAAGTTTCACATTTATTTGTTGATGAAATTTGACAACTTAAATTTTCTTCTTAAAATTATATTATCATATATGGAAATTCAAATGATAATTTCTTTAATAATTCTTCAAAATTTGAATCAACAAAGCCTAATAAATACTAAGACCTTATTCCTTTATGAAATTGGTAATTAAAATAATTGATATAGAAAATAAGTAAAATTGATGAAACTATCGCTGACATTTATATTTAAGAGCTATATGCTATAGCCCATCCTATTCTAAATACACTCAAATTAACTAATGTTATCATGCCATCTATATATTCTCCAATCAAAACCAATAAATATGTTGCTCCCATCTAATTAATACCTTATAACATAGCCATTTAGGGATCTTTCTTAGTTTCTTAAGCAAATAAATAGATATTCATTATGTGATTTATCAATACTAAAGCTAACCTCATATATTATGGATAAAATTTTATGAATATCAATTAAATAATGAAGTAGCTTAGTAAAACAGCACTACTAAGCAACTAATAGATATTTCCTTCAACTCCAGCCTAAACACATTTTATAACAAATATTAGTATTAAACCAAGTGTTACAAAACAAAATGTAGCCCATCTCCTTACTTTTATAAGCTATCTTTAATATTTTTTTTCAATTTATGCATCATTAAAAGCTAATGTATATTTATTCATTAATTATAATAAAATTATATTTATCAATATTGAATGAATGCTTTAGACTAAGCAAAAAAAGACAGTATATTTTATTTTTATTAGAAAACTATTTTGAAATTTAGTTTGTTTATAATTGAAAATAATAAAATTCATTTCATTGTGGAGTTTCTTCATACATAAGAAAATCTTATTTTTCTAAAAAGAAATCTAATTCATGCTCTTTTGCTTTGTTTTAATTGCAATATTCAAGGATTTCTTTCTGTTTTCTCAAAATTGAAAATTTTAGAATAGCATCTAATTATTTTTGATGAATTGAAGATAGTAACTACATTTTGTTTGGTGCTCCACAAATTCTTAAAAATTTTGAAGGAATTTTAGTTCCACATTTACATTTATAATAAAGCAAATTTGCTTTTTTGTTTTAATCATTTAATTCTTTGTAAAAACAAAATTTGTGAAATTTAAACAAGCAAGTTTGTTGTCCACAATTTAATAGAAAAAAATCATTATCTTATAAATATTTATTACATCGACAACACTTGACTGGCACAAAAATTTGATTATTTTCTATCTAGTTTTATTAAATTGAACAAATAGATGTAATAGTGGGTAAGGTTGTAATTGGTTTTCTTGGTGATTCTACAGGTTTTTAAACTTCCTATTGCGATATACCAAAAACACTACCCATGTATCTAAATTTCTGATTATAAATAATAATTTGGAAAATAAATTTGATTTTCTTAAAATAGACTTAGATCATAAGTGAATTAAGAGAAAGAACAATTATAATTTAAACTAAAAAGACCCTTTTCAACTTAAAAATATAGAGAAAATTATCAAATTCTATGAAAAGAATCAAAATTTTTATTTGATTTCAAATAAACTTAGATCAAAAATTATATTATTTGAAGCTCAAAATTAAAATTTTATTTCATGGGTAGAGCTAAGGTTTGTATAAAATAAATAGAGTATTGTAGAATTAATATCGTTTATTCAATCCATTATGAAAAAAATGATAAAGGCATGATTAAGAAATGATGCAGATCAATAATAAATTTTTTGATTCAGAGTGATTCTAAATTCAAAAATAATAGAAAAAATTAAAATACAATATAAATAATTAAATTCTAAAATAAAATTATAAAATAAAATGAGGAAATCATAACAAATGTTTGAGTTAAAATAATTAAATATTGAGTAAACTGAAAATTTTAGATTTTTATTCAAATAGAATCTTTTAATCTATAATTGGCGTAAAAAATTTTGAATAAAGTTAGTTTGAGCATGGAAACTTAAACAAGTTAACCTGTTGTTAAACTTTTCTTTCATTGTTTTGAATAAAGAACTTTATTTTTGATACAAATTAAACTTAATTCATTTTGAATATTGAAGTTTTGTTAATTTTTTGAATTTAGAAACTCAAAAACTATCTCACAGTTAAGATCTATTTTTATGATTAATTTAAATCTAAACATTATAGAGATTGTACATTAGGGGCCTGATAAATTATTTTACTTAAAAACTTACTTTAATAAAAACTATAAGCTTTGATTTTTAAGTCATATTCCCAATAATTTTTACGAAATTTTCTTTTCTTTAATATTTAAAGAAATATGCTTAAATCAATGATACTATTTGTAATATTTTTGTATAACAATTAAAATAAAAAAACCAAATTTAAAAAATTATTTTTTAATCATTCCATGAAATTATATTATTGCTTAGGCATTTTTGCTTTATTATTTCATAAAATTCAAATTTGGCAAAATTTTATTTATATCATTATTATAATTTTATCATTAAGCAAAGCTTTATCAAAAAATCTTTCTATAATTTATTACAAATAACTATAACATGCAAATGCATTAAATGTTTTTCAAAAAGTAATTTCAGGTATTGATTCTTAGTTTATTTAATTTTCTTGCGCATAATTAAGCTAATCAACATTAATGAAAACATAAAAAGCTTTGCAAAAGGAATACCTAAATTATGTGGTTTTTAAAAACCAAAATAAGTATTAAAGATTAAAAATACATTTCTTCTTTAATAGATGAAATTAGTAAATTTAATGACAGTCCTTTTTTTAATAAACACATAGCATAATTATAAAGATTAATAAAAAGCATTCAAATAATTCATTAAATGAAAGATGAGTAACTGTAAATAATTTGTTAAAATACAAATAATTTCTAGAATAATGTTCTTATTTATTAAAGTATTTAATGAATATAAATAATAATAAAAAAAGAAATCTAATGAATAATGTAAAGGTATATATGTTGATAATATTATTAATTAAATGATACAATAAAAATTTAAATATATGAATAATAAAGTCTTGATTCTGCAAAAAAGACCTGATGAGTCATTTCCGTAAAATATGAACTTTTTTGAAATCTAATAATAAGTCACACCTCAACTTAATAAGGGAGAAATTCTAATTCGTGTTCTATATATAGGAATAGATCCAGTCATGAGAGTTTGGCTTTCTGGTGCAAAGACATACATAGATTCAGTATAAATAGGTTAAGTGATGCCAGCATTTGGAGTAGGAGAATGTATAGAGAGTAATGCTAAGAATTGGAATCCAAGTAATTTTTATTTTTTAATATTCTAAAGGATAATTAGTGTTTGGAGTATTGGAATGCGCTTAGTATTGTGTGAGAAAGATAAACAAATTATTTAAGGTGCCATCTTTTGTTGAGATTGGTGATCCAATAATTCCTTTGACATTATCAATGTAAATCAAATTTGAATATAATATAGTTATGGTGTGACAGGTCTTACTGCTCTGAATGCTATGAAATAAATACCAGAATCTAATAGACCTAGTAGACAAAATTCAAAAACATTATGTGTGTCATCAGCAGCTGGTTCAACTGGATCAGTTGTTTGTTAAATAGCAAAGAGAATGGGATTTAGAGTAATAGGGATTGTGAGCAGTAACGAAAAAGTTCAATTCTTATAGGAACTTGGAGTTGATGAATGTGTTACATATAATGAATGTAAGCAGAATGAAGAAATAAATGTGAAGTAAATATTTATCATTAACAAAATAGTGAATTAACAATGTTAATAAAATAGAGATCACCATAAGGAATCGATGTTTATTATGATAATGCAGGAGAGGAAATCTTGGATGCAGTTATTCCTACAATTAATAAGAATGGATATGTATTGTTATGTGGAGCTACATCTACATATAATTCATGGAAATAAAGATGTGGTTTGAAGAATCTTGCAAAAGCAATAGAGAATTCAATAAAGTTTGAAGGAATAATGTTTTTGAATGAAAAACAAAAGATGTATGATGGATTTGCTGAGATGGTTGAAATGGTTAATGAAGGTTCAATTAAGCATTAAGAGGAAATACTTTTAGGAATAGAATAATTTATTATCGGATTGTAAAATGTATTCTTAGGAAAAAATAAAGGAAAAACAATAATTCAAATTTATGATAATTAATATTAGTAAGCTAAATTATGATAAATACCTTAATATAAATAAATAATCATTCTTTTTTGTAATTAAGTCCATAAAATTCTTGATCAAATTTCTTAAGTGCTTAGGTATTTTTAGTTTGATTTTGATCATCATCAATTTCTAAATATTAAAAATTAATAAATTACTTTCATCTATAATTTATGGATTGAAATTAGATAAATCTGTAGCTGATTATAAATCAGGTATAATTGGAGCTTAAATCTTTTTATTAAAATGATATTTACTTCTTTTTGGAGAAGTCTTTAGAAATCCATTTTTTTAAACCAAGGATGTTTTTTAATTTCTTCAGCATCACCTTTGTTTCCTAATCTTTCATTAGGTTTCTTTTTTAATAAAGCAGTCAACAAATTCTTACAATCAAATGAAAGGTTAATTGTTGATGGAAATTTTAATTCAGATTCTACTATATTTCTAAACATTTAATTTCTGTTTTCTGAAAAGAATGGAGTTCTTCCACATAACATTTCAAAACTAAATTTTTATGAATTAATTTACATAAGAATTCCTAAACACCACCAATCAGCTGTGAATGCATGTCCTTATTAAGTAATAACTTCAGGTGCTAAATATTCAGGTGTTCCAACAATTGATTATGTTACTTATCCTTTTGATAAAAATTTAGCTAATCCATAATCTGTTAAAGCCACATAACCTTTTTCATCCATCAAAATATTTTCTGGTTTTAAATCTCTATAAATAATCCCTTATTTATGTAAATATTCTAAAGCCAACAGAACTTAAGCTGAATAAAACAGTGCATAATCTTCATTGAATTTATTCACCTTTTATAAATGAGTATACAATTCTCCTCCACTATTTTATATATTTTTATTCTTACATCATGAATTTCATAACAAAATATACACACTCTTATGTTATAAATGCATATTCTAAAGAAACAAGGAATGGATGTTATGTTTATTCTAATATTTTTCTTTCTGTTTTTAGATATTCTATGTGATCTCTTGAAATAATATCCTCTTTACGTAAACTCTTTATAGCAAATATTTCTTTTGAATCTTTCTTCTCACATAACATCACTTTTCCAAATGCTCCTCTACCCAACATCTTAATTAATGTAAAATCTTCTATACTAATCTCTTAAGTGTTAGATTTTTAATAAATTGTTTGTACATTTCCTCTTTATGCTTACATAGCAATCTTCACATCATCTACAGTCATTTCTGCTACTTATTTTGGTAGCTATCTACGAATACTTTTCTTAACATCATAATTTGTTGTTGTATATTGACTTAAATTCATTTCTTCGATAAAGTGACATCGTATTTTTTTTAGATTGTGTTTTACATATACTTCGCACAATGTTTATATAATCAATGACAATCTAACTAATATTCAATGTTTCTTACTAATCATCTACTTGATATCGTTGATCATATTCAGTAGGTATATGTAGTATGAATTCCTTAACTATTTTTGATATTGTAATTGAAGTTATCGCTGATAATGGTATTTTTCTCTTTATCCTTGATCTGCATAAAATATATAATTTTTTTACTTGTTCACTAAACTTTAAAAAAAGCTTTTCACTGCACTTTCTTCAGCTGGAGAAATGTTATAAACATTCTTGTTTGTAATTGCCTTTTAAATATATGACATTTTTACAATAACTCTAGATAGCTTTTTGTTCTAACCTGTAAATTTTATCACTTTCATTGTAAGTACTATAGATTCACCTCCTTCTAGCTGCTCTCGCAACTTTTTGTCATTCATCACTTGCTCATAATCCATATTAATTAAAATATTTTATAAGATTAACAAACTTCATTCTATCTTCCTCTTAAACTCCTCTTATTTTATAATAAATACAAAAAATAGCCACTTTGGTAAATTAAATATCTAATCCTTTGCTTATTAAGCAAATCTTTTAACCGCTGAGTTAAATAAACATCATTAAATTATATATTTTCATCATAGATATTTCTGAATTCTCAAATAAATTATATAATATACGTCATCTATTTTTATTTTTTATTTCTTAATCATATATTTAGTTTTTTGTTAATTTTCTAATTACAATATGATTGATATCAACAGAAAATAACAACATTATTAAATTTTACATTCATTCCATATTCTTGTTTGTATTAATCAATTTTAATTTTTTGTATATAAAAAAAAAGCAATTAATTTTTATATTAATATTTCAAGCATCTTTTAAATTAATAACGTATTTTATATGATAAAAATTTAATCTTATGATTAATTGTTTAATCTATAACTATAATATTATTTATTTACTCTTTTATAAAATAAAATAATACATGATTAGAATTAATAATATTCTTAAAATCTTGATCTTTTTTATTATGTTTATTAATTTTTTAAACAACATATTTTTCAATTAAATCGAATGGGAAAACCTAAAATATTAATAAAAAATTTGTATGAAATCTTACAGGTAGCTTTTTAAACACCTAATAAGTAGTCTAAAAAATTTGATTGTATTAGATGGACAGATAATGGAAGAGCTTTTATAATTATTGATCCTGAAGAATTTTAGAAATCCATTATGCCAGAATATTTTTATTCAACTCAAATAAAGTCTCTTTATCGATAATTAAATTCATATGGATTTAAGATGAGAAGTTTAGAGATTAATTAAAAAATGTTTTCCCATAAATGGTTTATTTAAGGAAATATGTATTTCGTGTGTCTTTATTATAAAGATCATCACTTTATAAGGTAGAGAGATAGAGAACAAGAAGCATTGCTCATTTAGATAAAGAGAAAGATTCGATTGTTATTATTAGAGAGGAAATGAAGCAGTTAAAAGAAGAATTAGAAACCTTATAAAGCTAATAAAATTCTATATTAAAATAAATTAGAATTCATTCTATAATACAAACCTACATTTGTAAAAACATAAAAAAAATTTGTGACGAATAAAAGAAATTCAATTTAGAAAGAGAATAGGAAAGACGGCTTGTAATTTATTTTACATCAATGTTCGAAATATTTAAAGGTTTCCAATTTGAAATAGCCTCTTAAATAATAACAGAATTAAAAGACATTGGAGGGCCTTAAACTCCTTAATTTTCTCCTATGATATTTCCATATATGTGATAAACAGTAATAATTATAAATGATAAAGTTAAAGTTTATTTTCGATAAACAAAGTAAATTATAACAGAATTACTTAATAGAAAAACTGAATTGGATAGTAATTCTTGAATTAGTGCCTTCATTTAAAGAATTCTTTCTAATTAATTTACTCTTTATACCCTTAAATTCATTTTGATAACATTCTCATCTAATTTAAAAACTCTAAATAAATTCTTCTCCTTACAAAATTACAATTTATTAATTAAAATTTATTTATATTTTATCGACACATCTTACTCTTACTCGTGTTGTTTAAATTTTATTTGTATGATTAATTGTTTCAATAATATTATTGATTTATTTTTACTGTTGTAATTTAATTAAAATTACTTAATTTATATAAAAAATCCTTATTAAGATACTCAATATTCAATTATGACTTCTCCCTTTTTAAAAATTTGATAATATTCTTTTTTTCCATAATAAATTTATAAATACAAAGCTATCTTTTAAAGTAACTAAATGTGATATTAGTATTAAATGCATGTATAATCAAGTTTTCTTAAAATAGTTGTATGTTTTAGTCAAATAAACTCTTCCTATCCTAAGTCCATCTAATATAATTTTAATATTATCATTCTTATCTAATATAATAAAATATAGATTAATTATTTTCAATGTGATATCATAGCTAATTTTTGTTTAATAGTATACCTCTAAGATTTCAAATAATACAGTATTTATAATTTTATTATGAAAAATTTATAATTAAAACTATGAAATAGCAATTAGAATTAAGCCTAGAAAGTAGTAAATTATTTCAAAAATAATAATCCAATATTTTAATATTTGATTAAAGTTTCTTTTTTGAAATTGAAATTTAGAATAAGAATAATGAATGCTTGGCAGGAATATATTATTTTTAATAATACTAATTTAACTTTTATAAGGCTTTTGCAAAAAGTTGTTTAGAATTGATAAAAAAGAGAAGTGAATCATATATCAAGAAGTTGATTATAGATTTGAAAATAAAATATGCATTTGGTTTGGATTACGGATGATCCAAAAAAGATGGATTTATGATCTATTAATGTTCAAATTGTTAAACGTTTAAATTTAAATAATATAATCTATATTTATAAATTATAGTATATATATATATATCAAAATAATGTTTTAGGTGGAGTCTTATTAACTAAATCTGCTATAAATTTCATATGATTTGTAATATTTTGTAATGGTAATACTGCTTTCTTACTATTATTGTTAGAATTGACTGTTGTACTTATCATTGATTAGGTTGGTTTATGATATGATACCTTTTAGTTCTATCTAAGAGGTGTAGTTGTTTATGTCTAAACTCTTTATTCAGTTCTTTATGGTGTTCTTGATGTTGATTTTCCTATTATTCTGGGAGTGTATTGTTATTTCAAATTTGGAGAAATTGACCTTTCTGGTGTTTTACTATGACATGCTAATTTAATTGAATTTGCATTTATTGAAGGGCAAAAGGGGGTCTTTTTCAATTCCTCAATCAAATGTTGCTATCCTTTTATTTATTTATTTATTTGACTCTTTTAACATCTTTGAATTAGTGAGGAATTCTAATCTTAAATTAATCGTTGTGATTTCTTATTAATCTTTGGTTTGAATGTTAAACCTTTCAATTCTTCTCTCTACTTTTCTTATTGCATAATATGTAGTTATTCATTCTTTCTCTCAACCCAATAATCTACTTCTTCTAAAAATTAATCGACTGTTCGATGTTCTCTATCTTTATTAATATTTGGTCGAAATGAATACTTACTGCATTCCTATTCTTCATTCAATTCTTTCATTCTTTTATATTCAGCAATTTTCTATTATTTTTCTCTCATTAAATGTTAGGCACGTTAATAAATAGGCATATGATTCATCTTATTAATTATAATTAAACTTAGTTAACGAATATATTATTATAGAAAATAATAATTTTTTCTCAAAACACTTTAATAAATTTAGATATAATCATAATCAAACTAGCTTTTTGAAGATGTTGAATGTTATATAAAATTTATTTCTGAGATTATCAATTTATAAGAGAGATTAAAATCAAAAAAATCATTCTAAATATCAAAATCCAGCTCAATTTAACTTTCTTTTTATATATTAATCTTAATCTTGTAATTTGCTGAATAATTGTTAAATGAAATTGGAAACTAAGATGTTAAGTATTGATCAAGATTTTTAATAATCTTTAAGTAAACAAAATTAAAGTAACATAAATCTTTAAAAGTTTAAATGAACATTCAAAACAAGTAAAGTGAAAGATGTGATTAATTTGAATGTAAACAAAAAAAAATGATTATTAAAAATAGAAAATATTTAAAGAGTTTATTTATATATGAATTCGTGTTATAATTATTCTAGTTAATTAATATTAAAATCTGTTAAAAATATAGTTGTTAATAATGAAATCAGATTCATTGTCAGTAAGTGCTTTTATTACTATTAGATGAGAATTACCAAATAAAGAACCCAATAGGTAGAGGGGCTGGTAGTTTTGTGTGCAAGATTGTAAACCGATTAACAAAGGTTGAAATGGCTGCGAAGATTATTTAGAAATCATCTTAAAACTCACACAAAATTTAGAATGAAGTATAAATTCATTCTGAATTACATCATAAAAATATTGTTAATTTAATAGATGTTTTTGAAGATGCTGATAACAGTTATCTTATAATGGAATTATGTGATTAAGACATTTATTAATTAATTAAAAAAGGGTAATTTAATGAATAATAAATACGTTTTTATGGTAAATAATTGGCAGAAGGTTTATAATATTTGCATTCTCATAATATAATACATAGAGATATAAAATTAGGAAATCTTTTGATCTAGAATGATGTTTTAAAGATTGCTGATTTTGGATTAGCTGTAAAATTAACAGATGATGAAGAAGAAAGGAATACTCTTTGTGGTACTCCAAATTATATAAGTCCTGAAATTCTAAATTAATAACCATATGGAAAGAAAGTAGATTTATGGAGTATGGGCTGTTGTTTATTTGCTATGGCTACTGGTCGTGGTCCATTTGAAGAAAAGAATGCAGCTTTAGGAGATGTATTAAGAAGAGTTAAAGCTGGAGATTTCGATCTTCCAAATAATTCAACTGAATCATTTAAAGATTTAATAATGAATTTATTAAATCTTGATGTTGATCAAAGATATTCTATTGATAAAATAATAAAACATCCTTTTTTTATAGATTCTATCCCTCCTAGAATTTAAAGTAGAAATCAATCAAACTCATAAATCAAATAACTTCTAGATTTAAGTCCTTTTGTTAAATAATAACATAGATCTACTTGTTCTATGATTGGATTAGATAAATAATAAGTTATTACTTCATTTTTATAAAAATAACAATTATTAGGTGGAAAGAAGTTACTGTTTGGTTTAACAACTAATGGGAAAATGTCTCTTAAACAAAATTATCATCTTGATAATGTACCTAAATTCTTTTTACCATAAGAATCACACTCTAATAATACTAGTTGCAATCATCATAATAAAGAAAATATCAATAAAGAAAATAGTAATAAAGAAAATATTAGAGAAAATAGTGTTAAAATTCATAAATAGAATTCTTCTACTTTAAGCATTTTCAATGAATCTCCTATAAAACTTGGGGATTTAAAATAATGTAAATTATAAACGAAAAACGGATTATTATAAATCCATGAAGATGGACGATTTGAAATGGATGTCAGTAATAAAGATTTAAATTTTATTATCTAAACCAATGGATAAGAAGTAATTTATTTTTCAATATTTTTTTTAGATTATTGTATCAAAAAAGGGATAAAAACCTAAATAGTATAAATTAAATGAGTTACCCTAAAAATTATAGAAATTCTATACTTATTCTAAATAAGTTTGCAATGCAATCAGAGAAAAAAATTAAAAATAAAAACTTAATAATGAACATGGCAATTTTGCATTAAAAAATACAAAATTAGGCCAATGTTATGAAGGCTATATTGCATAATCAAAAATAAAGGTATTTATATTTTTAAACTCTAGATTCAACACATCCTAAATTCAGAAACAATTAAATTATAGTTTCATAATGGGAATACTAAGATTGTAAATATTCATGAATTCTAATAACTTTCAACTTAAGCTAGAATGGATCCTAGCGAAGTTTATTCAATTAAAATTGCACTTAAATACTTGCCTTAATGTTAGTAATGATAGTTAAAATTTATTTTTTTATATTTGAAAAATAATCTCTGTTATTAAAATCAATTTGCATAAAATATTAACAAAATAATAATAGCTTTTCTATAGATTCTAAATAATGTATAAATTTAAACATTTTTCTAGAATTAAGTAAAATTTGCAAAAATTATGTATGAAAATTTGTGTTTAGTATTCATTTCCTTTTTAATTTAATTCCAGGAATTAAAAAGAATATTTTTATCCTAAAGCTTTAAACTTATTGGCATTCAATAGTATGCTTTGTTTTAACTAATTCTTATTGAATTCAAGTATTAAGATGAAACTTAGAAGCATATGAAAATTTTCTTGAATAGCATTAGATAAAACTTTTCAATAAAATTTTGTAATAACTCAAAAATTTCTTTTTTTAATACTTATTTATACTCTTTGAAACTCATAACTTAATAAATAAATAAGATTTTTGATTGAATAAAAAAATTAAGATTAAGAATTTTGTTAAATCCATAGTCATAATAATTATTCAACTAAATATTCAACAAACATTCGAGCATTCTAAAGTAATGTAGTTCGTGATGTTATTTAAGATATGAGATCGTCTTTTTCTACACTCAACATATTGCTAACATTTTTTTGTTGCTCACACAAAGTCTCCAATTATTCCTACGGAACACTTAAATGTTTGTAATTTCTAAATTAATAAAATGATACTATCCTAAAATTTCCCATCTAAAGCGTAAATATTTATAATATCGATTTTTCACCATAGCCCAAGTTTTTCCTGGAAAGTGTCTATGAATCTTTTAAAATTTAGGTCCATTATTAAGTACTAATTACAAAATACGCTTATCTTCTTCTTATGAAAATTTTTGACCTGATTTTTTATTATTTGTTCCATCAGAGCCTCTTCTTTTTTTCCTATGATAATCATATTCATTTTTCTTTTTTTGCTTTTTTATCATATTAATTTTATTAGGCTAACCATTTAAAGAAGATATTTCTTGATTCTCCTACATAATTACTATCTTTCTACTATTTTAATTAATTACAATTCTTTATTAAATTTTGAGTTTTTTAATTAAGTTTATCATTCATTAACATTGAAAAAGTGATTTCTATCAATAGTATATTTAATCACTACTATTTTATTTAAATCTGAATTATCTAAGCTAATATAAAAATTTTACAATTTATAAAAACGATAAATTTTATAAAGTAAAATATTTTATATCTTATGTGAATCTATCTGATTTTATTCAAAATTTAAAGTTTATTTATATAAAAAGGGTATCAAACATTCTTCTATATTTTGGTTACAAAGAAGAAATTATTATTATTAATTTTTAGGACATTTCTAAATATATATTTTAAAAGGTATTATAAGTATGTCACGCTCTTACATTATTTTCTTAGATCATATAGAAACTCTCCAGATCTTTAAATTATTTATTTATTATTTTTAAGAAGAAATATTTATCCTAAATTTTCTATTTTAAAAATTAATTTTATTAAATATGGTTAGATATATATTATTCCAAAATAATATGTATTAATCAGATATTTCATTTTTTTCCATGCTTTTAATCCATAAACTTTTTCAATCTTTCTACAACTTAACCTTAGGCACTAGATGCAAAATTAACAGCCTTAGCTGGCAAGTTTCCTTTTGGATCTCCCCAAGTCATATAAATAACTTATGTACCCTAAAATTTTTGTTCAATAATTACTCCTTCTTTTTCTTCTAACAACCAACCTCCAAGTTTCAATTCACCTCTAACCTTTCCTTTAACAGGTGGTCTTGAGGCTAATTCAATTGATTTACCTACTACCCATAATTAATTTCCAATTTTTTGTCTCTTTTACAGAATCACAAAATCTCTTCCTGAAACAACTATAAACATATCCTTCAATCTTTAATAAAAGATTAATAAGTCATCTCTTATTTTTTAGATTAGACAAGCCTTAATATATTCGAAAGTAAATGATTACTTTTTCACATAATTCATCAAATTTTTCAGCATTCTCTACTTAATTTAGAACATCCATAATTTAATCAATAGTATATGGTAAAAACCCCTCTCCTCTTGAAAAGTTTAGACCAGTGTCTTTATCAGGCCTAAGATGGATCTTAAAGCCATTCTTGTCACTATGGAGTTCCCATTTATTCTCAGGAGTGAGAGGTAGAATTTGCTAGAATTACTGAATAGCCTCTAATTAAGTTAATTTGATTAGTACAATCAGCTTATTAATCATACTACTGGATTTATTGTTCTGTGAAATTCTCTTATTGAATCATAAATTAATTATACAAAATTGATACTAAACATTTTTTTTATCATACTCAAATAAAGTAGTTTAGTTAATAATAACATTTAATTGTAAAATTTTTTTATAAATGTTTAAATTAATATTAAAACCCATCTAAGAATTAGAATTAAGAATTTTTATTTTAATATGATATCATTTTTTTGTATTACCCATCCTTTTTTTAATTTAATTCTAAAGTTTATAAATTTTTAATAGAAAAATAATATATTAAATATATGGAGAATTCTAATCAAATTATTGAAAAACTCTTTCAATTTTAGCTCGGTTTTTCCTAAATTATTTAAAAATTACAAGAAGAAGCCAAAAAATATAAGGATTTATATGAAAAAGCAAATGAAGAAATAATGGATCATTATTAGAAATATTAAAAGGAGTAATTTTTTAGTTAAAATCTTAGAAAGAGTATTCAATCTTCTTTAGATGAAAATTTTAATGAATTGTAAGAATAATATCAAGTATTTAAAAAGAATGTTTTGAAATATTAATTTTAGAAGTTAGAATTTGATAAATTTTACTAAGATTTTCAATTGGAAAAGTTTGTTGAAAAATAGCATAGAAGATACTATAATGTTAGTTTGTAAGAAATAAGCCCTTTAAATTTTGATTTGATAACTTCGATTGCAATCATGTAATAATAATTGGTTTAAAACTAAAATTAATAATTTAAGAAAAATGAAAGATTCAGTTATTTTATTCAATAGAAAACTTAAATGTTATAGGAATTAAATCAAATTCGAGGACAAAAAGAAAAAGAAATTTTAGAAAAAATTGAAGAAAATAAAAAATAACAAGAGGACATTAAAAGAGAATTAGAAGTGCATTAAAATAAAATCGACAATGCTACTGAAGATGGAAATTAAAATAATAATTATTAAGAAGATGATAATTTATCTGAAGCTGAAGAATTAACACAATAATGTTAAGAATGCGGATAATAAATTTATTTTAATCATTTCTTAACAAAATGCCTGCATTATTACCATGAAGAATGCATAATACAAAAAATTAAGGCACATTGTAATTAAACTAATATTTATTGCACTTGTAACAGTTTGATTAACTCTAGAATGATCAAAGACGCATTAAAACATCAACAATAAGATCAAAAATAGTTTACATATGAAAACTTTTTATAGAATCAAGTAGACTAATTAATTAAGTAATGTAAGAATAATTATACTAAATGTTAATGTGGTTTCTTCTATATATCTGAAAAAGAAGAAGAAATAAAAAGTTGCATCTATTGTTAATGAATTTTATAATTATAAAATATTTAATAATTTAACAGAGCAACATATATATCAAAAAATTCAAAAATTTTTTTTAGTTGTCATCATACAATTACTTTGAGCTAATAAGATTTTGAAAAAGATTAAATTAATACTTCAATATTAGAAATTGCCTATTTAAGATTATTTTTTAATTTATAAAAATTATAAATAAAATGATAATATTTATAAGTGGAATAAGAGTGGATTATTTACAAAATTTGTGGAAATTCTTTTAAAATTTTTTGTTAGCAAGATTAGATTAAAGAAAAAATTGAAGATAAATTTTATCTTTTAGGAAAACAAATATAAATTTCTATAATAGGAAACCAAGGAACCAACTAATATATTATGTATTCAATTCTTATGCTATAAAATAAAAATAAGATTATGAGAAAAAAGATATAAATGAGCAGACTAAAAATACATAAAGAATCGAAGGATTGTGAAGATAAATTTTAATCAAAAAAATTAATGATAATTGAGCAAAAAGCAGAAATTAAAAGACTTTGATAAAAATAAGATACAAAAAATAAATAATTAAATAACTTGAGAAGGAATTTGAAAATATAAATAATGAAAAATAAGAGGAAGAAAAAATTAGAATTTAAGAAATGAGAGCACTATCCAAGGTGTTAGACTTGTTATCTAAAAATTTAGAATAAAAGTCAAAAGAAGTAAAGCGAGACGAATGAAGAAAATAATAAAATTAAGGGAAGAAATAAAAAACTTAATTTTTGAAACAAAATTGTTATGGATAATTAAAAAGGAATTTGAATAATAGTTTGAGGTATTAATAATAAATTGAAAAATTTTAAGCATAATTAAATTATAATTCAAATAATTTTGTTAGAAAGTAATAATTATTTGTTAAGCTAAGTTAATGAATTATAAAAAAAGAATTTAAGTTTACAAAAGAAATTGACAAGCTTGAATGTGAAATTATACTAATAAAGGAAGACATTGAAAATAACAATAAAAACTTAAAGACTAAGAAAGAGAAATTTTAAATTTAAAGTAAGGATTAGAAAAAGAAAAAATTCGTTAAAAAGTAAAAAGATAAATTAATGATTTTTCTGGACGTGTAATAAATTTTACACTATCAGAAGTACATTTGAATGATATACATGATTTATCACTTAAAAGTTAAGCAAATCTATCTGAATAATGCATATAAGATTTTAGAGATGAAGAGTTTAATTCATCTTTAAAGGAAGATGTAGAAGATCATCCTTATATAAGTTAAATCCTATAATTACCAAATCAATAATTAAAATTCAAATTTAAGAAAGCAGATGAATAAAAATATTTAGCTTAGAATTTGATAAACATTAAATATTAAATAATTTATTATTTTATGAACTTATCAAACAATATGCTTAAGAAAATCATAGCTCTAACTAAAAAATAATTAATTTTTCTAATTTAAGAATTCCGAGATAATTTATTATTGAAGTTTCAAATGGAAATTACTTTTATTGTGAGGAGTTGATCAAAAGAGATAAGTTGCTCAAAGGAGATAACATTTTGTGTAGTATTGATAGAAACTCTTCAAACATAGAAATTATTTTCATTTAATCCTTTATGCATTTTTATAAAAAAATAAATACGAAAAGATTATTTACAAAATTGTCTTTCAACAAATCCACTAATGTTGTTTCTAATGATATTGGTTTTGATATTTCCATTTCTCTTTTAAATATAAATGAAATTATAGAATAGTTAAACAAATTTAACCTATCAATTGGCAAGAATATATATAGCAGAAACCATTATTGAATAATATTCATAAAGTATGAAAATTTTAATTTTCTATAATTTTTTCATTTTAATAGATAATTATATTCCTTGAAGCTCTAATTTTTTATTAGTAAAAAAGGCTTTTGTGAATTGTAAAATTATAATAATGAATATTATTTTAATCATTAGTAATATACTCAAAATTAAAAATTTATCAATAAACAGAATTTTTGTAATAAATTAAAGTGCTAAAATAATAAATTAATTCGCTAATATAGGTTGTTTAAGCTAAAGACTATTAATTTATAGGTTCAGAGAATAGAGATCTATTTTTGTTATCAAATAAATCATAACTTAATATCTCATCATTTTAATTCCATAACTTAACTATTAATTATTCATATTATATTTTTTTAGTTTTAAATTATTTAATTATTTTTATATTTTTCTAAATTAATAACTAAGATAGTTAAAGTTATTATTTGTAATTAAATTTAATGTTATTTTATCTTTTAATTGAATAATAACAATATTTAAAAGTTTTATTTTTATCTCTAGAAGTTATACTGCACCATTGAATTAATTATAACTATTTTTTATTTGATTTTTTTAAGAATTCTTCTTATAAAACGATAAAATGTTGATATTTAATATAATTTAAAGTCAATTTTATTATTAGCCTATTTGTTAATTAATATTTATTTTTATCTTTTATTAGGAGGGATAGATTATGAGAAATTGTAATTATATTCCTCTTTAGTAAAATAAATTAATCAAGAATTTAATAGTTAATGAATCGATCTTTCTCTTGAAATTAAAAATTTAATCAATGATTATATATTAATTAAGTAGTTATGTATATTTTACATAAATTACAGATCAAAGCATTATTTAATATATAAATATTATATTTTATATTTTTTTTTATTTATATTAAATTATTATATTAATGAACACATATACATGGTAACAAGTTGCTTAGAATCTAAAAAATGGATGGCTTGTTATAGATGGTATAGTGTATGATCCAACCCCATATCTTAATGAACATCCAGGTGGTCCTGCAGTCTTGCAAAATCGCTTTGGTAAAGATGCCACCAGAGATTTTAATGAAACAGGTCAAGAATTCGATTTAAATATAGGACATACATCAGGAGCTCGCCAAATACTTTAAAAATACTAGGTTGGAATAATTGATAAAACATCACCCTAAGAACCTTGGCAAGCTGGAGGTGGTACACCTGCAAGTGCTTAGTAGTTTGCATATTTAATTGTTGCTCTTGTTATAGTATTTATATTGTGGAATATTTTTGCAAAATGATATTATAATAAAAAACAAATCAAATTTGAATTGTCTATCCTTACTTTAAAACTTTTCCATTTATTTTAACATTTAGAGTGCAATTAAATTTTAATGGTTGATACTCTAAAATCAATGACTTGGCATCCATATAAAGAAAAGGAAAATCAATTTATTTCAAAAGATATTCATTGTTGTTAAAAAAACATTTAGCTTAAGAAATCTCATTTAAATCTAAAGATTCAAACTCTAAGCATATATTCTAGGCTAATCTTTAGACTCTTCTTCGACAAGCATCTAAATATTTATTATATTCTTCTGGAAATACAATTCCTAAGTTTATTAATTGATTTTATAATTATTTTGTATTTGGATACTTACTTAATTATTAATGAAATTTAATTAAAGGTTAAATATTTGTCAAATCATTTTGTACTAGTAATTACTAAGCAAAAGTGCATGCCAACTCAATTATAGTTATTTAATTAACCTAAATGTCTGAGACTGAATTATCCTAATCAATAATTGTAATAATATTATTTAAGAGTTCTCTAAATTGTTAAAATATTAATCTAAGATCTGGCTAATCTACTATTTAATTAATCTTATCCATATTTTATTTACAATAAAAATTATCTTAAATATCAGGTCTATTTATAGGAAATTTCAAATCAGTTCTCTTTGATAACTCTTCTGGATTAAAATTATTTGTGTCATTTTTGCTCTACTATAATTTTAATTCAAATAAATTTTAAAAGTCAATAATTATCTTTTCCTTCATGAATTTTTCTATTATTTCAAATAATTTATATCTCAAAGCAGAATTATGAATATTTCCATCAAGAATACCCTTTAACTCTTGTAATTTAGTAGAACCATTCAAAATATTCTCAAATTCTTAATAAGTAGAAGTTATACAAAATATTTCATCAATATCATAATTTAAACATTCCATGCATACATATAAAAATTAATAAGCTATTTACATTTATTCATTAATTAATGGAGAAAATTAACTCTAATTAATGAAATGGCATTATTAAATTAAATAATCCTTTACTTGTGGATTCCATTATTTCAACAAAATTTCTAAGTTTACTATTAGTTTCATTTATTCTAATTATTCAATAGCTTATATATGTTAATTTGCTTATCTACATATTTACTCACAATGAACGCTAAACTCATTAATTTTCTAAATATTAGGTGATACTTATGGCCATTTCAATAAAGTTATCAGTTAACCTTTTAATTCTTCCTTAATAATGATGTACTACTTTAAAATATTGATACATTTAAACAGTTCTGCCTTCCAATTTGTTAATTATTTAATAAATTTTGAATCTTATGAAAATTATTCTTGCAAATCTTATAGTTTTTCATTAACCTCATTGTGTCTATATTGAACTATTTAGAGTCTTTCCTTTTCATCCTCAATATTCTCATTCCAATCGAATATTGGAAATTTAAATTAAAGTAGTTTTTTAATAGATTCTATTATATTAGGATCTGCATACTAGTAATGAACGATTTCATAAAAGTCCTTGACATATAATTCTTTAAAATCAATAAAAAATTTAGGCTTTAGATTTTAATTTATGTAAGTTCTATATCCTATGAAATCTTATTGCTCTAAATTAGATATTTCTAATCTAAGTTAATTTGTCTTTTGATATTCACATTCTACCTTATAAATTAATTATTTTAGTTTTTTAGATTCTTCTAAAGGAACTTAGTTTCCTTTTCTAATATATTCAAATTATAATTAGTTCAAAAATGATTTGATATATTGCACTTATGCCACAATATTATATTGGCTAAATTATTGATATTTCTCTTCTTCATTAAATTCCTTAATTCTATATCCATTAAAATATAATTATTTGATCTCTAGCCAAATATTTTTAGCTGAGATATATAATTACTATTTGGTTTTGATTTGTAGATTTTATAAAATTGATTAATTAGGAATTTATTAAATTTATTTAATTTCTTCATAATAAATTTTATATTATTTGTAGAGAGATATAACATCCTAAAAATATTCACAAAATTCATTGATATTTTTATTTTTTAAGTTAATTAATCTTTGCTGAAAATCACTTAATTCTTACTTTTTTTCTTTAAATATTTCAAATTATCCTTCAAGGATTGTAAGTTTTTCTTATAAATTTGTTAAGCTCAAAGTATCAGAATTTTAAAGTTAGGATTCAATTTATCTCTCTAAATTGAATACTTCTCTTTCATGAATAAATACTAATGAATTAATTTATTAAGTCATTCGTTCTCGAATATATTGTATCAAAGATTTGAATGCATTCTCTAATTTTTGTTATTAATTTTCTTAAGGTTCTATATAACTTTGTTAAGCACCAATGGATTATAGTATACTATTAGTTAAATTGATTTAATTTTGTATTTCTAGTTTGATATGGCTTAATTATTGGTTGAAATTTTGAATATTTGATATAGGTTACTATTATTCTTAATAAAGATTGGCATATTTATTCATTGGTGGTTAATTAGTTTATTTTAAAATTTCTAATGATTTTTGTAATTGTTCACTCTTAATGTTCAATTGATAAGCATATGGTTTAATGATCTCTTAGTACTGAGATAGTTTAGTTAAAAATGAATTTTTCAAAATATTCGCTTTAATGTTTAGAATTTCTTATAAAATGACATTAGATAATGGAATTTCTAATCTGTTATTTTCTAACTGATTAATAAAGTCTATATTTTTTTAAATTAAATCTCTCCACTCCTCAAATTGCTTAGCATAATCGTTTTCAGTCCAATTATCACAAGTTATGATATTTGAATTAGAATTTTGAAGATTTGATTTCTATTAGAAATGTTATTCCTAAGTTCCTTAAAAAGGTCTTGATTAAAATAGATTATTATCATTTGCACTATTCATGAATTAACTTTATAAGAAATTGGTGCCTCTTATTTCTGACTAGCCTAAATATATTCTAGATTATTGCTGCTACTTAATTTGTGATTACTATTAATTAGTATATTATTAAGATACTACTAATAAATATAGCTAAAAATATTAATACAGTATTGCTAATTCTTTAAAAGTTATGAACCAGTTGGGTTTACAATTTGAATGGCTTAATTTTGGGATTCCAATCTTATAGTACTTTAAGCATTGCCAAAATTAGTATTGTTGAATGGCTAGTTATTCGATGCTCCATTTTGCTTGAGCTGATTCGTTGATTACACAAATTGATTTTTATTTATAGAAGATGACATTAAATTAATATTTATTTAGTAAATAAATAATTAATCATTCTTATTCAAATGAATTATAAAAATTAAAATTATCTTCAAATTTCTATTGTCTACTTTGGTTTTGACTTCTTTAGAATTCATTCTCTGTAACCAATTTTTAATCCTATCTCCTCCAATCTTCACTCTGCTTAGCTTATTATTGTTAGTTATTGTATTAAGCCTCTTCAAATAACTCCTATTTCTTTAGTTATCCTTTTAGATGTTCTAACTCATAAAAAGCTTTATTCTTCTATTCTGCGCTTATCTAAACCTCTGCTCTTAATTTTCTTAAGTCTTCATTCCACATTTAAGATTGCAATTCAATTTATTCTCTCAATTTATCTATTCCTTCTTCTTATTCTTTACTTTTTATTCTATTTACCATTTTCAACTCCTCGAATTCTCGCTAAAATTTCTCCATCAATTAAGGAATTATAAGTTTTTATTCAAATTATTGATACTAAGGTTATTAAAAATATTAAAGCTATTATTATTAAGGGAAATATTATTGTTGCAAAAGATATTATTATTACATCTACTGTTGTTCAAACTACATTTATAATTATTAGTTATTTTATTCATAGTTATAGTGCTAGGAATTGTTTCTAAATGATCTATTATTATTTTGTGCATTTCCAGCCGTGTTTGGATGATTATAAGTAATATTTATTGCATTCTAGTCCTATAAAGTTCTTTATGACTATAATTTAGTGAAAGGTGTGTGAGGATTTGTTTTATTTTTTAAGTCTTACTCAAATTTATCATCCACTTCCTTTAAATTTTCTTTCAAATAATTAGGCACAATATTATTATTTGTTAAGTTAGTTTATTGTTCATCAAACTCATTAAAGATTAATTTTGATTCATCTTATTATTATAACAGATGTCTATTTTTGACTGTTTTTATTATTTATTTCTTATCTTCATCTTTTATTACTGAATTTTAATTCATTCCTTCCCTCTCTTTTATAATCTTTTCTTCATATTAACGATCTTCATCTATCTTTCTTTATCTCTCTTCTTCTTTCTTTCTTTTCTTTTCATCAATTTATTTTTATATTTCTTCTATATATGCTTATTTCTATTGCTATTTTTATTATTCTTTATTATCACGCTGCTTAAAAACATTAGCGAAAAATCCACCATCAGAATTTTTATTAGCTTAATTCTCAATATTTCTAATTATTTCCTTTCTCTCAGAAGCAGTTATCTTTTATTATCTATCATCTCTTTACAAATAAACAGGTATTGGCTCTTAATTTAATAATTTTCTTTCATATTGAATTTGTTAGGCTTTCTCTTACTTCTGTTTTTCTTCCTTAAGCAATATCTAAAAAGTTTCAATAAATAATTTTTTTACTTGTTCTTTTTACTCTTAAACCACCCTTTTTCCATTTGATACCAAAAAATTTGTTTTTCTATTCGCTTCCAAAGAATTGTTGTAAAATGGATTGTACTAATTATCCATTAAAATAATTATAAGGTTTCTAATAATTTATAATTAAAAAATTCCAAAAAAATTTCGCCCGAACAGGGTCTCGATCCCTGGACCTAGAGATTAAGAGTCTCTCGCTCTACCAAGCTGAGCTATCCGGGCGAATTAATTTATTATTTTAAATTACTTTATTAATTGGAAATACTTAACTTTATTTGAAAAATCTTTTATTCATAAATATATAATGTTAAGTATTTTAAAAAATTATTAGGAATAATATCAAAAATATATTTCTACTATAAAAATTGCACAAAAGACTATCAAAGGATAAATTCAACTTTAGCTGCAAGAAATAAATAAAATTAGAGTTAGATATCTGCTTAAATAAAATTCATGTAATATAAATTTTTTTCAATTCTATAATTAATATTATTCATTTCTGGTTTCTTCTAATGATATATTCTTCTTACTTATTAATTAATTGAATTTGCAGAACTATTCAAGGATTTCATTTACATTAAAATGACAGTTAAAAAGTTCATATGCAATAACATTAGATACTACCAGTTTTATTAAAAGATAATTAAGTAAATATTCTTTTCTTTTTTATTTTATCATAGCAATAGATTAAGAATTTATTGAAATGCATTTCTATGTTTGAATAGTTACTATTAACACTACATAAAATATTATCCCCTTTGATCCATTCCTCACAATAAAAGTAAATTCCATTTGAAGCTTCAATGATAAATTATCTAGGAATCCTTAATTACTTAAAATTTATTTTTTATTTGTCAGAGTTTTAAGCTTCTTAATCAAATAATTTTATAAGTTCAAGAAATAAAAAATATTAAGTATTTATTCTTTTATTTAATTTTAAGATAAATTTTTTTATTAATTTATTTGCTTAATTTTTAACTTGAATTCTAAATTGAAAATTCGAGAATTCTATTTTAAAAAGGTCGAACTTCTATATTTTCTTTTAAAGCTTAATAATAATTTTATTCTGAATATTAGTAGATTAGCTTTTCATATATTTTTCTAATTCTTTCTTTAACATTTAAATATCTCTTTCATAGTCTAAAAATTTATTATTTTTATTTTCAAAATCCTTTTATTGTTCTAAATTTGACTAAAAACTTTTCAGTTGATCTTTCAAGTTTTAAATCTCTTTTTTTACTCATCAACTAAACTTACGAATAATTATTGTTTATTACAACCATTATTCTAATTACTTTTTTTAATTTTCAAGAGCTGCATGAAGATTTCTTTCGTGTTTCAAAATTAAGTTTTATATTTCTTATCTTAATTTATTATTTTCTTCGTTAATATCATTATCTTAAGTTTGAACTTTTTTAATGAACAATTAGGTCTTTATTATAATAATTTAAGATAAATTTACCTTTTAGGATACTATTTAGTTCTATTAAGATAGTTACTCAAGCTCTTAGATTTTTTATTCTAACATTTTGGATTTTTAATCTAAATCTTTAGATAATTAATCGTTAACTTTCGACAGTTAATCCAATAACTTTCTGGATTTCGATATTTCTTAATTTTTGTTTTCTATTTTAATTTGATATTATTCTATTTATTCTTTGAATTTTGTATTAACTTTAACATCTCCATTCATACTTTTTTCCTATTTCAATTATTTGTCTAAACCTTTAATTTCTTCTTCTAGTCCCAATATCGTTTGATTTTTGGCTTAAAATTAAATTTCACAATTCTTCATTTTTTAATACTCCTCTATTTTTTTTTCAATTTACTAATCTTTCTCAATTATCATTGTCTTTAACTCTTAAATTTATTAATCTTTCATCTAAGTAGCTTTTTATTAATTTTTTAACATAAAAATTGAATACATTATATATGAATTCTATTCAGGATTTCCAATCCTTTAACAATCTAATGGTTGATCCATTAAATCAAATTTAATTTAAATTTTTTCTTTTTTATTCTCCTCACAAATAATTTTAAAAGAATTTCCACAAATTTTATAAATGGTCCACTCTTTTGACATAAATAAATATTATTATTTTATAAATAATTTTATCATATATATAGGGTCGCATATAAATGATATGAAAATAGAAATAATAATTTAATTTTTTCCAATATATGAAACTCCATTATGATTTAGTATATTTATGCTTACATTAGTTACTTAATTAACCTACTTAATCTACAAAAAGTTTTCATATATAAACTAGTTTTGATCTAGTTGTTGATGTTTTTAATGCATTTTAATCATTCGAGAATTTATCAAACTGTTACAATTGCAATATTATTAGTTTTATTACATTTGCTTTAACTTTTTTTATTAACCATTCTTTATTATAATAATGTAAGCTTTTTGTTAGTATCTCTGGGGTTTTATCTAAAAAATTACTCTTTAAATTTTTTTTCTAATAATCATCCATTATTTCTTCTTTTGTTTGTTTATCTTTGATTATTATTTATAAACACTAATAGGTATAAATGATATTCCATAATTATATTCATATATATATCGAATCATTCTAAATTATTTCTTCATTTACTTAACAGCTCATAGATTCAATATAATCTATAAGTTCTAATACAATTATAAATTTTTATCAATCTTACTCATATTTTTGGTATAAGTCTTAGCAAATAATCTTTTTCAAACCATTAAAATAATATATTTATTTCTTATTTTTTTCTTCAATCCTTCTACTTAAATATTAAATCCTTGTTAGATTCCAAATTTATACTATCATAAAATATCACTCTATTAATAAAATAGATAAATAGTAACAGACGAATAGTTGTTATCAGATAATGATATAAATTGAATTTAATTATGATCACATAGCTGTTTTCTCCCATTTTTCAAAATCTTTGAATCTCACGGTGAAATCAGTATTGTTTCTTTTAGCTTATGAGAAACTCTATTGAGATTATAATAAAATAAATTATACAGTAATAAAAGATTTGGCATCTTCTCCAGCATTCTCAAAAAGCTAACAAAAATCTTCAAACTCTAACTGATTACCCTAGAAATCTCCAAGAAAAGACTCTAAATCAATCTTTAGTTCGAATTCCTTTTATATAATATCAATTATGGTCTGTTTTTATACATAACCTGATCTATCAGGTTATCCTCCTAAGGCAACAAACGCATCAACTAAAATTAATTGATTATTTAAATACTATATTCTTAAGTGATTGTTTCTTCATCTTCAAGTTGTTATTGATAATTCTTTAATTTACAATAAAGATCACATATTTGTTTGATTTCAAGTTATTTACCATCATAATTTTTTATTTCCTCTTTAAATTTTGCAATCAGCTTTTCATTGCTCAATAATTTTAAATCTATCTCATTAAAGTATATTATAACCTCTCATAATATCATCTACCTCATTTTTGCTAATATAACCAGTTCCTTTAGGATCATATCTTTTAGCCTAAGTCATCAATTCTGTGATCTCAAGTTGATTTAGATTGAAGGCACTTTTTATTTATTGTATGATATCAGCTTCAAGTAAGAGAGTTTTTCTTTTCATAAATTTATATTATATTAATAAAAATTAGATACAATATAATACAACCTATATTGTATTGAATCACGTCTCATTCTCAATTTTTAAAGATAAAGTTACATATTTTCATAGAGATTTGCAATTACAACAATATATTTTATTAACAAATGAACGACTCAGGATTATTTATTTCGGTAATCATAAGCCTTTTCAAAATTATTCTTAAACATTGCTTAAATATTTTCTAAGTGTCGATATTACGATCATAAGCATATTTAATAATTAAGCATTCCAGTCTAATTGATCACTTTCATCCAATCTGTAATATCTCTGTATAGATTAGCAAGTTGTTGCTTTATCAAATTTAGTATCAACCTCTTTAAAGAAGCTTTTTAAAAATATCATAAATTACTTATTTAGATCATTTCCTCCTCTTCTAAAAAACAACTCTAATTAAGTGAACAATTATTGGAATATAGCGAGCATCAGAAATGCTATTGCCACCATCCAACTAGCTCAGAAATCTGTAATATATTAAGCCACATTATAAAAAAGAAATCTCCTAGTGTTCTACTATCTTATTTGTTTGAACCTTTTAGAGTTTGATAAATATAGGAAATCATTATTTATTAGTCTATTCTGAATTACATTCTTATTGTCTTGAGTGCTAATCGAGACCAAAACTCTTAAGCTCTTTTAGGCTAAAGTGTCAAGATTGGATGGATGATGTAGATTATAATCCCAAAAAATTTAATCACTATTTCTTTTTTTTAAAACCATATAATTATTGATTTATGTTTGCTAATTAATAATCTATAACTTATTATTAATAATTAAGCAATAAATTTTCATTTATCGACCAAATTTCCCGAGGAAATACATTCCAATATGAATTTCCCGTTTCTTACGGTCGGATATCAATGAATGTTTTGGATAATCTGTAATATTAATCAATATCATTATATTACTTCCAAAATATTCGAATAATCATTATTTTTATTTTTAATAATAAATGCTACATTGAACTTTCAAAGGCAGTTTTAAAAAAGTATGAAGATTAAGTGAGATAATGACTGAAACCTATAGATTACATTAAGATTAGAATAAAGGAAAATCCTGTATTCATTCAAGTAAATCCTACTGGTGAAGAGAGAATGAAAAAACTTTAATAATATTGCAGAAGGCATATATAGTAGAACTATGGTTAAGTGTATTTTTAGGACATGGAAGGTAAAGAGTAGGTAATGAAAAAGAAGATGCTTTTAGAAGGATATTAGGAAGAATATCCAGGATTAGATTTTTTAAGAACATACATAAATGGAATGGTACTGAATGCTTGAATGTTTATGGGAGGGATAAAATATAGATATAATTGAATTAAAATTTATTATGAATATATTATAAGAGTACGAATTGTAAGAGTGTTTAGGGAATGGATCTTACGGGATAGTGCATAGTGGAGTGAATGTAGAGAGTGGGAAACGAGTGGCAATAAAGATGTTAAGAGAGACATTTGAATCAATGGATGAGTGTTTACAATAGAGAGAAGTGAAGGCATTGATGAAATTGAAGGAGCATCCAAACATAATTAAACTGCTGGAGAGTATGCATAAGTGCATGTGTTAGTGCGATACGAGAATAAGCGCCTATATTTGATCTATGAGTATCTTGAGAACAATGTGTACTAGCTATATACGTAGGATAAATTGGAGGAAGAGCGTATAAAACAGATAATATTGGGATGTGCTAATGCATTGATGCACATTCATCATTTAGGATATTTTCATAGGTATAGTGAATTATAGTAAAAGTAAGGGACTTAAAGCCGGAGAACATTTTGATTTCGAGTGAATAAGTGAAATTAATAGACTTCGGTCTTTCAAGGGAAGTCAAGCCCCCTTTTACAGATTATGTGTCAACTCGTTGGTACAGAGTAATAAATAAAGAGATTAAAAGGCTCCTGAAATTCTTTTACATTCGACAAGTTATGATGCATAGATTGACATATTTGCTTTAGGATGTGTCACTTGTGAATTGTTTTTAGGTAGACCATTGTTTGTGGGTTCTTCTGAGTTAGAACAGTTTGATCGAATGTTATAAATATTAGGGTAAAATATATTGAAATTCAATTTAGAACATTTAATAGCTAGGATTGGAGTGAAGGAGTTAAGTTGGTCAATCAATTAGGATTGAAGTTGACGCATTATCCATAAAAATTATTACATGTAATCAAGGCATCCCCAATGGCTTTAGATTTGATATAAGGAATGCTTAAATGGAATCCTAAATAGCGATTCACAGCTAAATAGATCACCGAACATTTATTATTCAAATAAGAATAAACCACACCAGAATTTGCTCCTAGAAAATTATAGGATATCAGCTAATAATAATAGGAGTTGAAAAAGTTTACAAATTAAAAACAATAATACTAATCAAAGAAGTGATTTTATATTATTTTGATTTATGAGATAAGTTTTTGGTACATCGAGATTTCAGAACCAATAATTTAATCCTTCTTAAAGTGGAGCTAAGTTAGACTCCAATATGAAATTGCACTCTAATTACAAGAATATGGAGTAGCNATTTTTAGGACATGGAAGGTAAAGAGTAGGTAATGAAAAAGAAGATGCTTTTAGAAGGATATTAGGAAGAATATCCAGGATTAGATTTTTTAAGAACATACATAAATGGAATGGTACTGAATGCTTGAATGTTTATGGGAGGGATAAAATATAGATATAATTGAATTAAAATTTATTATGAATATATTATAAGAGTACGAATTGTAAGAGTGTTTAGGGAATGGATCTTACGGGATAGTGCATAGTGGAGTGAATGTAGAGAGTGGGAAACGAGTGGCAATAAAGATGTTAAGAGAGACATTTGAATCAATGGATGAGTGTTTACAATAGAGAGAAGTGAAGGCATTGATGAAATTGAAGGAGCATCCAAACATAATTAAACTGCTGGAGAGTATGCATAAGTGCATGTGTTAGTGCGATACGAGAATAAGCGCCTATATTTGATCTATGAGTATCTTGAGAACAATGTGTACTAGCTATATACGTAGGATAAATTGGAGGAAGAGCGTATAAAACAGATAATATTGGGATGTGCTAATGCATTGATGCACATTCATCATTTAGGATATTTTCATAGGTATAGTGAATTATAGTAAAAGTAAGGGACTTAAAGCCGGAGAACATTTTGATTTCGAGTGAATAAGTGAAATTAATAGACTTCGGTCTTTCAAGGGAAGTCAAGCCCCCTTTTACAGATTATGTGTCAACTCGTTGGTACAGAGTAATAAATAAAGAGATTAAAAGGCTCCTGAAATTCTTTTACATTCGACAAGTTATGATGCATAGATTGACATATTTGCTTTAGGATGTGTCACTTGTGAATTGTTTTTAGGTAGACCATTGTTTGTGGGTTCTTCTGAGTTAGAACAGTTTGATCGAATGTTATAAATATTAGGGTAAAATATATTGAAATTCAATTTAGAACATTTAATAGCTAGGATTGGAGTGAAGGAGTTAAGTTGGTCAATCAATTAGGATTGAAGTTGACGCATTATCCATAAAAATTATTACATGTAATCAAGGCATCCCCAATGGCTTTAGATTTGATATAAGGAATGCTTAAATGGAATCCTAAATAGCGATTCACAGCTAAATAGATCACCGAACATTTATTATTCAAATAAGAATAAACCACACCAGAATTTGCTCCTAGAAAATTATAGGATATCAGCTAATAATAATAGGAGTTGAAAAAGTTTACAAATTAAAAACAATAATACTAATCAAAGAAGTGATTTTATATTATTTTGATTTATGAGATAAGTTTTTGGTACATCGAGATTTCAGAACCAATAATTTAATCCTTCTTAAAGTGGAGCTAAGTTAGACTCCAATATGAAATTGCACTCTAATTACAAGAATATGGAGTAGCATACATTAACTAAGATTAATGAAGAAAGACCATAAACACACCAAACTTTTGGACATCGTTATCATCAACAAGATTTCGAATTCTTAAACTTGTATGAATCGACGAAACAACTTGCGTCGATTTAAATCCAATATTGTGAACCTCATGAATTGGCGGCCGATTTGATTTTAAGGTATGATTTATTTGGAGATTCCACTTTAATAGAGGAATAGATTATAGATGAATCTAAAATGGTTTAATTGAATAACTTCTGTTAGATTCCACTAGAAATGAAGATGGAATTTGACTAATGATAAATCATAATATATTTCATAAATTTGCTGCAATACTAAGTTTATTACATGTGTCCTCCAATAAACTGAGTAAGTGTTCTTCAGATTGTTCTCTTGTTCTCTTCTCTTAATCTAATTCAACTTTGACTCTATTAACAATGTCTTTCAACATTTCAAAGATGGATTACTCACTTTCATCTCTGTTTCTCTTCTCAACATTAATAAGATTGCTCAACTTAACCAGTTCATCTGTAATTGATTTCATAACCTAAAAATTAATAAATATAATAACATTTTAATCAGCCTCATCTCTCTCATTAGCCTCTTCTCTGATTGCCTCTTAAATCTTTGGTAAATCGTTCTACAAACCCTAATGAATGCCTTCAATGGCATCTACTCTTTGTGCTGTCTCTTTTTATACCTCAGTTCTCAAAAGTGCTGTTTTATCCTCTGTCAATCTAAGAACCTTAGCTTCTCCTTCCTTCTTAGTTTACTATTCATTCTCTATGGCATTCTCAAACTTCTTGGTTAAAGCTTACACATCTCTATTCTTGGCCTCATTTGCTTACTCTTTTGCCAATCTATCATCTTCCACTTACTTTTATAATTTGCCTAACTGTTAACGAACATTTAAAATTATTTCCATACTTAATCTCGTAATCCATTCAACTTTGTAAAAATTTATTCCTAAAACTCATTAAATGCATCTTCTGCTTATTGAATTCTCTACTCTGCCTATTCCAATTTCTAGAATCGTTCATTCTCCACTCCTATCTAGATTGTTGATAATTTCTCTGAAATCTTTTAAATTCTTCCTGTACTTGGAGATGGTTACACATCTATACATTATATTATTCATATTCTTACATGCAGATTATTTAACTCTTGACATCAGATATATATATTTTAATTATTAATTTTATTTGTCATAATAAAGTATATAAAAATATGTCAAAATAATTAAGAAGACTAGACAGTGATAGTGATCTTGAGGAACCAGAATCCTTAGTTTACAAATAAAGTAACACTTCAGTTAATCAATTTAGTGAAACAAATGTAAAGAGTACAAGGCATTTCTCAAATGATAACAGAAATCATTCAAGAGGAAGAACTCTCTGAAGTAGAAGATAAACACAAATACATGAAAAATTTAGTTGGACGCAAACTCAGTCAACTTGATAGTCCTACTGAGTCTGTTAAATCTTCCCAATCTTCTAAACCTTTCTAAAGTCCTAAAAAGGCTCTCAAACGAGACACTGTCTTTTTTGAACAATCTGATTTCAATATTCTAAGCATAAGAGACTACGATTACATTGAGGTATTTTTCACCATTTATAAATAGATTAAAAAATGTGAAAAATGTGCAATTCATGAACAAAGTGAAATTGAAGCTAGAGCATCTGCTAAAAAAATTGTTTCTTTACTTAAAAAAAGACAAGACTACAATCCTGATCTCTAAAGTGATTGGAATGGATTAGAAGAAGTTACTACTTATTCTGCTGACAATCAAGAACCAATTGTTGATTATCGATGTCATATTGAACCACTCCCTAAAATGGAAAAAGTTGAAATTCATGTTTCAGATGGAGTCTATGCTGTTTAACAGGATGGTCATTGGCTTACCAAAATGCATTCTATCAAAGAATTTGTTAAAGATCTTCTTACTTTTGTTGAAATTGCTAATGATAAAATGATTTCCAGTTGGTGCTATTCACGCAATAAATATCTAGAATCTAAATTCAAAATGCACTGCTTGTTTAATAGTGATAGAGAAGCTGAGGATCAAAAGCGTATTAAGAATCGTGATTTTTATAGTATTCTAAAAATAGACACTCATATACATCATAGTCAAAGTATGAATGGAAAATAATTACTTGAATTTATGAAAAAAAAATTCAGATAATGTCCTGAAGAAGTTGTTTATTTGGATGATGAAAAATAAATGACTCTCAAAGATATCTAAAAAAGATTTAAATTTAAAACTGAAGAATTGAATATGGATTTATTAGATGTTTAAGCTGATAAATCTTTATACAAAAGATTTGATAGGTTTACTAGTAAATACAGTCCACTTGGATAACCACTTTTACGAAGTATCTTTTTAAAGACTGACAATTACATTAAAGGAAAATATATTGCTGAAATCACTTAAGATATGATTAAAAATATGGATAGACATACTTATGCTGAATGGAGAATTACAATTTATGGTAAATCAAGCAGTGAGTGGAAAAAGAAGGCTTAATGGCTGATTAAGAATAAATTATAGCATCCTAATATTAGGTGGATAATTTAATTACCTAGACTATACTCAGTTTACAGAAAAAATGGAGAGCTCAATTCTTTTCAAGACATGATTGATAATATTTTTAGACCATTATTTGAAGTTACAATAAATCCTGAAGTTGATCCAGATTTGTATTAAGCTCTATTTAGCATTTCAGCTTTAGATTGTGTAGATGATGAGAATCAACATGAAAATTTCTTTCTTCAACATCTGAAGATCCAACCAATTAATTGGACTAAAGATACAAATCCGCATTATGCTTATTGGATATATTATATTTATGCCAATTTAGCAAGTTTAAATTAATTAAGATAATAAAGAGGATTAAACACTTTAGATCTTAGACCACATTGTGGTTTAAATGGAAATATCGATCATTTGGCTTGTGCATATTTACTTGCTAAAGGAATCAATCATGGACTTATTTTAGAACAATCACCAGTTCTAAAATATTTGTATTACCTGAAATAAATTGGTATATCAATGTCCCCGATAGCTAATAACAAACTGATATGTAAATATGCAGATTCACCTTTTAACAGTTATTTCAGACAAGGATTAAATGTTTGTTTATCAACCGATGATCCACTTATGCTACATATGACTGATTAACCACTTTTAGAAGAATATGCAATAGCTTAATAGATATTTGATTTATCTAATGTTGATATGGCTGAATTAGCTCGTAATTCTGTTCGTTGCTCTAGTTTCGAATCCATCATAAAAGAGTTCTATGTTGGAACTCAATATGAGAAGATGTATAAAACTATCAGTAATTATGATCATTTATTCCTTAGACAATCCTGATAAAAATAATGTTCCTTAAAGCAGATTCCTATTTAGGTAAGAAACACTTAAAGAGGAATATCAATACTTGCAAGAACTCAGCAAGTCTTAATGATATTTAATATATATTTAATATAAAAATGGATTATTTTAAATTTGGATCTCTGATTATTCCAGGCAGCTTAGTCTTTTGGAATAAATAATATTGCTATTGTACTATTCCTGTTGTTAAATTATTACCTGGCCGTAATTTGTTATAAAATTGGCATTAGATGTCTTATTAATACCTAAGAGATAATCATTAAGATTGTAAGATTTAGATCCTGCTGAAATTTTTGATTTAGGTTTAAGTGTTAAATTTTTAACAAAAAGTCTTGAAAAGTATTTTGATTGTACATCATCAACAGTGAATGTTTCGTCATTTTCTAATGAATCAGATGGATTGAATCATTGTTTCATTCATATAATTCCTCGTAAGGAAGGAGATATAAAGAAGAATGATGATCTTTATGGTTTACTAGAAAATTATCCTAATGAGTATATAATTTTAGAAATTTAGTTTTATTCGTTAATTTCATAATACATTAGGATTAGGTAATGCGTTTAGTGATTAGATGAGAGATACACTAAGTTAGGAAGCAAAAAAATATAAAGAATTTTTATAGTAATGTTTACATGAGGAAATTAAATTAAAATGATTATATAGATAAAATGTTATTATTTCAAAGTATGGAAGATTTGTTGTTTTAAGTAATAATCCAGAAATCTTTTTTTCTCTTAGGTAGGAAATCTCGATACCTCCTTTAAACAATATCAGGCATTTTAATTTCATCATAAATATATTATTTGGCTGGTTTCTCTATAGAAACAACAATAGTCTTATGGATCGATTCATTTTTTGATGTCACTCTAGGAACAGCAACTTCAGTTTTGTGTATAGTAGCATACCTAACCTTAACTCTTTTCTAATATGCTTGATTATATATTTGTGCATATCTGGAATGAGTTTTATCAAGTACTCTCATTTCTATTTGACTTAAATCTTTATTGCTTGATGTCTTTATTTCTGGTAAACCAATCAAATATTCACTATTATGAGCTAAAGTCTCAGTTACTCTTTGAATTCTTTCAGTTCTATTTAGTAACTATGCCTTTATATATTAATTTATATATCTTTAAGCTTCTGAACTTGGTTAATCTGATATCACTTTTTGATAGAAATCTTCATTGCTAATTTTGTAACAACTACCTTATTTCAAACATTTAACAGTGAAATATCTTTATTTATTCAATAAACATTCTAAGTCACCAAATAATTAATAGATTCCAATTTCACTAATTGTAATATTTTTCCATCTATTTCCAACGACCATTTTCTTTTACAACTAAAATATACCATCTCTAACCAAGTATATTGTTGAAGATGGCTCTCCTTCATAATATACTAACTAGTTTTTATCAAATATTTCTATTTAACAGTTTTTTAGCAATTTTTCTATCATTGCTTTAGATAATTATCCAAATAATTATGATTGTCTAAAGAATTCTAATTGCTCATTTGGATCCTTTAACTTAGCTTTCCTTTTAATATCTTCATAATCATATTTGCTTATTGTTCCAAATTTTGTTTTTGTCACACTTTTTATAGTCTATATATATGGTAAATTAAGCAAAGCTTCTGTTCCAAAATAAGTTTTTTTAACGTCAACTTCTCCTTCAATTAATAAATAGAATAAATCCCCTATCTCTCCACTTCGAATAATCTCTTCTCCTTCTTCAAATTCAGCATTATGAATCTTTTCATAGTATTCACTTGAACATTATATACATCCTAATTAATTTAATTTCTTGATTCCCTAATGATTCTAAAGTTACAATGATAAATGTTTGAGATGATGATCTACTTTCTATTGATTTTACTTTGAAATTTCTTACATTATTAATAATATGAATAAATTTACACAAACTTTTACAAATTTTCTATCTAAAAACAAACAATATTATTGCCATAATAATTTCAATAAGATTTTTAATAATAAGATTTTGATAATCATGTACAAACTTTAGTATCATTTTCATCAACAATTACTCATTTTACTCTAATTAGGCCAATCAGATAAAACTAATTAATTTTTTTGGGAATAAATATAAATGTAACCAATGCTAATTATATCTCTTCTTATACATCTTTTAACTATTCTATTAATATTTCTCTTAATGTTTTTTTTCTAATATAGAAATCTTTGAAAAGTAAAAGACTCCTCTATCTTAGCAAATACCAAGAAAATTGATGATTATTATATATTTAGATTCTCTTTTATTATAGCTAATTCATTTATACTCTTTACATAGTTGTGTTTTATAATAATAATTCAAATTAGATTTACTATTTCTCTTACTGTATCTTTGAATCATAAGCTGAGGAAAATTTTAAATCTTTTTAAAAGATGAGTTAATAGAATAGATTTTTTCTCGAAAATCATTAAATTCTGCTGATTTAATTTGAGAGTGAGAGTGAATTATTTCAAATCAAAAACTTATTTTAAATTTCTATGAATTGTTCATAATACAATTTAATTAATAAGAATATGTTTTAAGATTTTAGTATTGAATCATAGTTATTTAACCTTAGAATAAAAGATTAAAAATTAATAAAGTCAAACAAAACTTCTTTTGCACTCTACATTTGAATTACTTTTCATTTGTATTATTTGTGTTTATACATATTATTTGGATAATATCAGAATAAAGACTTGGATTTTAAATATTTTAAAAAAAATATCATTTTTCAGAAACAGAAGTCTAAATTGACTAAAAATGCTTATTTATCTAATTGTATAAAGATATTTGTGTTTTGAATATAATTTTTAAAGTTTTAACAAAAAACAATGATACTCAATACCTGGTTTTTAAAAATATGCTACAATCTATAAATTAATTAAATTATTATGAATATTTATAAGAAATTTTATTTTTTAAATTCTGATATAAACTTATAATATTATTGAATTTATAAAAAAATAAGATTGATTCTAATCAATTTCAACTTCTTTAAGTTATTGCAAACCATAATATAAATATGATTTGTAAGGATATCATCATTTTAATGTGAAATTTTTAGTAATTAAAAGGAATAGAAAAGATGATGGACAAATAGTATATTTTAAAACAAGATATTTGGTTTTAAAGTTTATTGTTTATTACTGATATGAGAGAAATATAATTTAAATTATAATTTTTAAAATGCAGAACATTAAAGCTATTTATATAAAAATAAAAAATGATCACAACCAAATTTACATTGCAAAATTATGTTAGATCTTGCACTTTGATTTCTAATAATCAAAATCCAATACGTTTAATGCTGAATCCTAATACAAAGTTTAATGACATAATAAAATTGATTTAGATAGTTTGGAGATAAAATGTTTAGTAATTAAGACTCTTTTTGATCGATGGAACTGAAATTGAAGAAAAAGATTTAATAAACATAAAAAAAGGTACAAACCTGTATGCTCATTTAAAGAATGATGATAATGAGTTAATTAATTTAAAGTTAGAGTATGACATAATAAAAAAGGTTGGAGAAGGTGGATAAGGAAAGGTATTTTTAGGAAAGCGTAAAGGAACACAAGAATTAGTGGCTATAAAGAAAATAAGCTCTTCAACTTGGTAAAATTAAGATTTAGAGAGATTAGAATAGGAATCTCTAATCCTAAAATAGTTAGATCATAAAAACATAGTAAAATTACATGATAAAGTTGTATATTCAAGTTAAAAACAAGTCTTAATGATAATGGAATATTTATATGGAGGATCTCTATTAGCACAAGCAAATTGTAATATTATATTGAAATTGTAGCTTAATTATCTGAAGTTGAAGCTAAACATTTCTGTAGATAAGTTGTAGATGCTATTGCTTATTGTCATGAGAAAAGAATTGTCCATTGTGATTTAAAATTAGAAAATATAATGCTTTAATCTCTCTCTTGTAAAGAAGTAATAAATTTATAAATATTTAATTAGATAAAAATAATTGATTTTGGAGTTTCGAATTATGCTGGATAACCTTTGATAACAGAAAATGTAGTTGGAACATTATCATATTTGGCTCCAGAAGTTCTATCTCCTACATATAAATATATTTATCCACCATAAGATATATGGGCTGTTGGTTGTATCATATATGGATTGGTTTTTGGTAAACTACCATTTGATGGCAGCAGTCCTTCAGAAACATATCGAAATATCCTTTAATGTAATTATTAAATTCCTAAAAAAAATGTATCTAAGGAACTTTTACACTTATTGAGTATAATTTTTGTAATCAGTCCAAAAGAAAGAGCAAATATATTTGATATTTAATCTCATAATTGGTTCAAAGAAAATGCAAAGATATTTAAATTAAATTTAAGTGGATGTAATATTCGTATTGGAAGATCTTCTAGTGTTGCAAAAATGCACTCATCACGTAAATCAAATGATGAAGATTAAAGATTAGTTATTAGTCATAGGAAAATTGTCTAAAGTAGAAGATCTGTTACTAGACTTGATAAAGTCTCATTTTTAACAAAAATTAAATGATTTTATTTTTATTATCTGTTAATTGTTTTATGAGTACATATATAAATTTATAAATAAATTAGTTATATCATTCTATTTCTTCTTCAAGAACTCTTATTTCATTTAATTTCTCTAGATTCTTGTAAATTAAGAATTAACAACCTTTAATAATATTATTGATTATTACAATTTTCTGATGTTATGATATCTACTTTTGGACTTAATCTTACTTAGATTTTATAGAATAATTGATTATTAATCAATTTTTACTTAAAATCTTATGCTTGATCAAATATAATGCCAACTTTTATTAACTAGAATTCAGAATTACTTTTAGTATCAGTTAAATGTACAAATATAGTCTTTCCATTTGAATTTAACCGAACAAAAGTTTAAAACAAAATAACCAAAAATATTTGTAATAATTGTTAATTGCTGAATGCATAAATGTCAACAAAACTATTACTAGAAAACTCAATTTATATATTTCTATATGCCATCCTGTAAATATGAATCATTTCTTTTACCATTTCAGTAAAATTAATCTATTAAAGCTTCTCTTCAATATCTTAAAAACTATTGCATTAAGTATACTTACCAATAAAGTACATACAATGAATTTTTAACATATAAATATGTTCAGGTGTATTTTTTGATAAAATAGCATTTTACATAAGAATTAATTATTTCTTTAGAAAATTAAGTGTTAGATTTTAATGTTGGTTTATTCCTTAAATTAAAGCATCTTTGAGTTTTGTAAGTTAACGAATTTTCTATTCATTTTGATCAAATACAATTAAAAATACTTATTAACCTAAATAAAAGTCTGATAGTCTTATTATTGTCTTTTTTTATTCTAAATCCTCATCATTTCTTTAAATTCTTAAATTATGTAAGAAAATCTTTTGATAATCATTAAAACTTCTCTTCCTATTCAAAATATACTATTCAAGATTGTCAGTTCCCATTTTATAAGATCTTAAAAATGATCTCAGATTTTCAGATGGTGCCTTTTCATTATCCCAAAAGATTTTTTACATATCATTCTATAATTTTAAGTTAAAATTAATTCTCTCTTCATCAAATGTAAACATCAAAAATGGATTTTGTATTATTACTGTCAATGTTTATTCTAATTAAAATTATTTAATTTACCCCATTATTTATCAGAAAATTATAATTAAAAATGAGTTCTCTAATTTTAATCATTTTAATATATAAATAACAATATACAAAGAGTGGATATTATTATTTATATGAAATCTTACACTATAAAATGATCATTTTATAATCCCTAAATCAATATTCTTGAAACAAAAAAAACGACTAATTGAATTGGAGCTTCTTAAATGCTTGAAAAATAAAACATTGTCATGTTAAATATCATTACATTTTATCCATTTATATAAATAGATTAAGGTTATAGATAATAATGAGCATACACCTACAGAACACTGAGTAAATTATTTGTAAATGAAAATATGGTCTTCACCTTTTCTGGTGTTCCCTTAAAAGAAAAAAACAACAGAAATATACTGTAACAAACAAAACATATTTCCCAATACATAACAATGCTATTTCCTTCAATTATTGAATTTATTAATCTCACTAAAGCAAACAATAATAATAAGATAGACAGAATCTTTCTCATCCAAATATTTTTTATTAATCTATCTTATTAGTACGCTTTTTCTATTCCAGGTAAAGCAAATTAAAAACTTAACTTCTTTTTCATTTATATATATAAATTAATTTCAAGAGTGATCACATCTGAATTGATATTTAGGATTAATTAATACAGGAATACCAACAAATAAAAAATACAATTAAGAATATCTTTAATAATAAAATCATATAATTTTTTCCAAAGTTTTCTAATTATGATATTATATTAGTTTTTAGAGCTATAATATTACTTCTCTATTTTACTTGAATTTATTAAAAGAATTTCTAGATCAAAGATAAAGTGTTCTTTGTATTTTTTTAAATAAGGAATTCTATTCAATTTTAAAATTAGGCCATGGATTCAATCAGTTTCGATTTATATATAGTCTTATCGCAAATAAAACCTAAAGAAATTATTTTTTTCAAATCAAGTGCTTTATCCTAATTATAATCTTAAATATTATTAAAATAAATATCTGAATTAGCCATTCATTTCTTTTGACAAAGAGATATTATAATTCTAAAGGAACCTACACAATTTTTTAGTATTATAAGCATTACAAAATAAATAATAAATATATTTTAATAATTTAATAATATTAATAAGAGAGTTGTTAATTTATAAAACCACCCTAAAAAATACATAGATAGAAGTTAAAATCTTGGTATGTATTGATAAAGATTTGTTTATATTTTTAAGTTTAATAATAAAAACAATTATTTAACAAAAAAACTCATTGTAGGAGATTAACTTTTATTTAAACATTTTTTGACTTAAATTTTAATTTTTTCAAGGTGCTCTTAAGTTTACTCATTAAAAGTTATCAGATAGTTGTTTTTAGAAAATAACATCCAGTGTAATCTCATCTTTAAGGTGAAATTATGGCCAAGGATAAGCATTAAGATTTTTAATAAAAATATAGGAAAATATTTTTTAAAATTATTTCCTTGATTAGTGAAATCTATTAAATATAATAACTCTTTAAAAATTTCCATATTTTTTCGTATGGGTTACTTCAATTTAAATACTAGTTTTTTTAACAAAAATTTATCATTAAAAATAAATTTTAAACTCAAAAAGGCATGTATTAAACGAAGATACTTTAATTATTAACAGAAACAAAATTATATTTTATCCTTTTTTGGTTGTAATATCGTTGTAATACATAAATTATATAATTACATATTCTAAATTATCAAATTGAATATCATAATCAATTAAGAATTTTTAAATTGCTTAAAATTTTATTTATTCATAAAATTCAATATACATATCATGTCCGTTTGCTAGTTAATTTTTTGATGAAAGGATTTGGTAATTTGTTTTAATCACAAATACTCTCAATCCTAATCCTACTTGTATTAAAAAAGAGTTAATTATAAAAGAGCTATTAATAATTAAGTATTAGGAAGAAAATTAATCTTTACTGTTATTTTGAGTATTGATAAATAAATTCTCAGAATGAGGTCTAATCTTTAAATAAAAATAGAGATTAAATGATTTATTTATAAAGATAATTAATAAAATAATAATAGCTTAATCATTTATCTTCTATTATAAGTTATAAAAATTTTTTATTATTTTTAGTTTATAATTTTACACATGAATAGAGTCTTTACATTTTTATGAAATAAATTTATCAGGTTATATATGTAATGATGTAAATAATAAATAATTAATCTTCATTTTGTAAGAAAACTTAAAATGATTACTCTTATCATTATAAAAATATAATTCATTTATTTGAATCATTAATTATAATGAGATAAGATAGTTTCTAATGAGAAAACTTACAAATTATTTTGATATTAAAATAAATTAGTTCTATTATGAAATTTCTATTTATTATGAAAATATTAGTAAATGCAATAAAAGAAATACTAAAATTTCCTTTTTTTCTTGGTAATTTTTAACTATTATTTAGGTATAATTAGTTGAAAGAATTAAGAAAACTTGTACAATATGAAAATAAATAAAAGAAAAACCTCATAGAATTTGTAATATTAAAAATAATGAAATACATTAATATGGAACATTCAGCAAATCAAGCAGTTTGATAAATTCAATTTATTAATAAAGATCATTATTTCTTATATTCACTATTAATCACATCAATGGAATACTATAAACTGCCAGTCTTCTTAATAAAATTGAAATCTATGTTAGAAGTATAATTTTATAATAAATTTATATAGGATCGATGTAACTAACAAATAATTAGTTGGAATGATTTGGGAAATAAAGTTATCATCCATTAAATTGATCAATTCAAGTCTTCAATACTCCCTTTATATTTTAAAAGCTCAAACTATTCTAGTTTTTAAAAGTAAAAATTATTTTGATAAAGAAGATAATTGAATAATTATGGATTTAAGAATTTTAGATTGTCTTCAAGTTAATATGTATTTTACAATGAGGATTGGACTTATGATTATAAAAGGATTCATAAGATAATAAGAAAAGGACATAGAAAAGAAGAAAATGTTAATTCTACATCTAATTTTATATCTTCCTTATTGTTATTAATATCAAATTAGAAATAATTGGTGGCCAATATTGAAATGATACATCACTAATAATCTATGATAAGTTAAAATATTTATCATATTCATACAGAATCGATGAAATAATAAGACTTTATTACTAATTTAAATGAATTATAGATATGATTGAATAATTATGTATTTTATTTAATTATTATTTTATCCAATTTGATATTTCAAAAACATAAGTTATATAATACACTTTATATTCATTTTAAAATGCTTTTAGAAGTTATTTAATAGGGTAAAATTTCAAAGTTAACACAAAAAAGTTCAGGTTTATTAGAAATAAAATCTCTAAAGTTCAAATAAATGTGAATTGATGATGAGGTTCAAAAGAGAATTTGATTTTTGGAATTACAATATCAAAGAAATTCAAATAAAAAAAGCATAATGTTTATATTTACAAGGATGTATATTTTTATAAATAAAAAATTCAATCTGAATATTTTAATTAAAACAATATATATAAAAATTTAAGTTATTTTTTATGAAGGGTTATTTTTAATTTTATATAACTTAATGTAATAAAATCTAGATAACTTATTTATTTAAAAATAATTTTAAAAAATAGCCTTATCATAGATCTAAATTTATAATTCTGCATCTTTTCCTAAATTTGGAGAATAATTCAATTAAATATTAGTTCTATGTTGAACAAAAAAATTTAGAAACATTAGTTAAATTGGTCTATTCACTGTTATGTATAATTGTGAAAACACATTTTAAAAAGTAGTATACATTTACTATAATAAAGTACTTGAATTTATATATAATTAAAATAGTCTTTTATACTAATGATTAGTTTGTAATTTCTCAAAAAAATAAGACTTTTTAACTTAAAATAGATTGCTATTCTTTTTTTGTAATTATCTAATTTATGTGGTTAAAGATAATAGTCTTCGTCATTTGAAAAATAAATATTTAATTGAAATCTAAAAATGCAATCTATGATGCTTTATAAGAAACAATTAAAACATAGGATTATGAATTATCATAAAATAAGAGATAATTAATCTAAGAGATGATAAAGTTAAATAATAAGATGTTAATGCAAAATGAATTAAGTTATTTTTAAACATTAAAATTAGTAGTTGAATATTTAAAATAATAAGTTCATTGAAAAGTAAGAGAACTTAATAATTTTTAATAAATTAGCAGTTGATATTACAAATAATATGGATGATAATGTAGTATTTCACGAGTTTAAAAAAATAAAAATCGATAAACATAAGTGGCATACAAAAATTTTGATTTAATATAATTTTTATATGAATGACACTTAATTTTAGCAATTAATTTCTATTTGAATAAATAAATGCATATCTAGAACAGTATTAAGCACTAAGTTAGCATGTTTTTGGCAGGACAATTTATAAAATTTCAATTTTAAAACAAATATAATATACATCAATGTAGAAGCTGAGCATTTTAAAATCTGTTGATATTTCAAATATCAAGATTGAAGTAATTAGTGACTTGAATTAATAATGAAGACTAATATTTAAAGTTGTTATAGTTATTTTTGGTATAATAAGGAAAAACATTAAGGAAAGATGATAATCAGAGAGATTTTCTATAAAAATACTGATACTATGTAGATTGTTATGTTTATATAAAATGGAGAATAGAGATAAAAAAAATGTCAAATTTAACCTAGGTTAATATTTCTTCTTTAAAGTATTGAATTGGTTTGGAGATTTAGCTTAACTTTCTTAATTTTTTTAGATCGTTTATTAGAGAGTTGTGTATTTTAAATGTTGAGCTGTTTAAAGAGTGAGTTAATTTCTACTTCTTATTGAATCTAAAAAAATTCTGTCATTTCACTATCAAAAGATTCTTGTTTGAATTACATTTGTTCTATGAATATATATTATTTATTTATTTAAGTAAATGAAATCATTATTAATTTAATAGCACAAAATAAACTGGATTTAATAATTATATTAATATCTGGTATCATTTAATATAATTTCACACAATGATAAAGATCTTAAATATCAAATTTTTTTTGATAGATTTTTTATGATATATGTCTTATAAATATATAAATATAGCAAAAAAAGAAAATGAAATATATGTATGGTTGTGAAAAAAAGAACAAATTCAAATAGGAATGTGTGTAATTTATATATTTAAATAAAACAGTTTATTAATAGTTTATTGAGAGTGAATAACAGCAAACTATAATTTATTTTAATAATTTAGTGTATAATAGTAGTATATTTGGATATAATTTTAGATAAAAAATAAATTCTAATAATAATAATAAGAGGAAAGATGTAAATGGTATCATAAAAGATTGAAATAATTTAAATAGACATTTGAGATATTAAATATAAACTCAATAGAATGGTTATATAATAATCAGATAATATGAATAGTATTGAAGATAATTACCTTAATGAAAGATAAGAATCTTATTTAAAGATTGAAGATTTAATCAAATATATTTGTAATTCATAAAAATTATAATCATTATTTATTAAATGGACTAACAAGATAAGATCGCTATTTAATATTAAAAGAGTTTCCTGCTTTTGTAGATTCTTTATCTCTTGAAGATTAATGTTAACATTTCACTTTACTAAAGTCTAAATGAATACTAGGTTAATGACTGTGTGATGTCTTTGAAATCTTTCTTATTTAACTACATCTTATATTCTCTCTTTTCTATAACATCTTTTATAGATTCTCTGTTGTTATTTCCTTATCCTACATTTCCTATTGATATTCCAGTACTTAATGTGCATATTAATTTAAACAGTTCTCAAAATTATCATCTACACTTAAAGGAGATGATAAATGCTTTCTTAATTTTATTGATTAACTACTCTATGGAATTTATGGAATCTCAGGTATTTCAAACATTTTTTATATTTAATTCTTACTTGAATAATTAAACAAATATTTTGTTCTGTTAAAATCCTCGGCAAAACCAATTGCTGAAGATGAAAATGTTAATTTATGCTCATTTTTTCTTAATCTCAAAGAAAAATCATTATTTTAATCAATTATTTTTAACATCTATTCACTTTATTCTTCTATATTATCATAAATTTGTGTATCATGTTATAATTCTTTATGATTTACACTTTAACTTTCCTTTGTGTATTTATATATTTCACTTAACAATTTCTCTTTGACTTTTAAATCATCTGTTCTCAATTAATTAAAAACATGAAGTCTATTAAATAAACCAGCACCATTTAATTTTTTATTTTGATTAATTTCATTAAACAACTCTATATATTTCATCCCTTTAGCCTTTAAATATTTAATTGGTTGATTTCGTTTACTGATTAAATCTTATTTAGCCATTGTAATCTTTTCCTTAAAATTAGGATCATTACTATTAAAACTATATTTCTAATTTAATTCTCTATAAAATTATTGTAAATGAGCTATCTTATTTTTAAAATCATTTTTAAGTCTCATTTCATTCTTTTCAATTTCTTTTTGTATTGCATCATTATCTTAATCTATTTCTAATTAATTAATATCAGCTACAGTATCTTTATTTTCATAATATATTTCCATTCCAATATTCTACCATCCATGAATTCTTTTCTTAATTTGATTAAATTAATAAAATTACTTCCTTATTTTCTTTAGGTTTTAAGATTCTACATTTACTAGGACCATCTTATTTGATTGTAGTATCCCATTTACAAATTCTTCTTTAAGCAAACTTTAATGCAGAATCCTTATCACATCTCTTAATTTATAATTATTGTTACATGTTTTATTAAATGTAAAAATGTTGCTGCTTTAGTAGGAGAAACATAAATATCTTTTCTCTAAACACCACCTAATTTTTAACAATACTTAAAATATGGTATCTCACTTAGTAAATTAAATTCATACCTCCTCTTTTTATACTTATTACATAATAAATAAAATATAATTAAAATTGAATATAAGAATTTATTTTATTAATTACACAATAAATTTCATTTATTTATTCCTCTTACTTTTTCTAATTCTAATAATTTTTCAAACATTTTGAATCTCAAATATCCATAATCAATATATTCAAAATTCAATGAGTTCTTTTCATGAGCTAAAAGAACACTCCACCAAACCCAATTAAGATTAGATATCATTTACAATCTTCTTATTCTTCTTTTCAAATAAGATACAGATTCAAATAATTCACTAATCTATTTTTAATTCATTCTTTATTCCAAAATTTATTTAATCATACTTATAAAAGTATTTAATTCATCTTTATTTTTATTGGTTCTTTAAGTTATAAACTCAACAATTTAATTAATCTCATTCATTTGACAATTCTAATGAATTAGATAACACAAAGCTAAAAAGTGAGCTTAAATTGGAGCTGTATCAAAATTATCATCAACTAAAACATAATATGGTTCATCTTCATATTAATAATTGATAGCAGATTCATTTAGAAAATTAGCAATGTCATATGAAGGATAGTTATATGAACAATATTCATAATCAATAAAGACTATTTCTTTATCCTTTCTTGTTGTACTAAATATATTTAATTAATTTAAATCATTATGACAAAATTTTAACTAAAAATTATTAATAAATATATTTACTTCTTCATTATTTTCTTTTCCAATCATTTCTTATAAATACTTGTATTCATCATCATTATTTAAGAATGATTCAATATTTTCTAATTATTTGAGTTCTACATCTGTATATAATTCTTTTTTTTAAATCTTCCTAATCACATTTATTTTCATATTCTCTGATAATGTCTTATTAAGAATCATGGATGTACCATTATTTGGAATTGGTATTTCCATTTAATGAAACTTTTATAAGACTCCCATAGATCTAAATTGAAATAGAGGTGATCCCATTTTTTAATTAGTTGGATGAATTCCATCTGTTACAAATTCTTCCATTCTCCAAATATCACCACATTATAATTATTTTGGACCTAATTCTAAATCAGAAATTGTTTTAAAAATAATTCGTTCTTATTTAGAATCAACAAATCCTTCAGCATTTCCAAATCTAATCATTAAATTATATTGATACTCTCTAAACACAATAGTTTTGGGTATGATTTCTTCATTTATTTCTACCTTATATGTTATATTAGTTAATCCTGCTAATCTACTTATTTAGATTTGACTAGGATTTACTATTTCCCATTAAGTGAATTGATCAGCAATTATTTATTTTATTGCATATTCTGTTAGATGTGTGCTTCTTGAGTTCATTAGATAAATTATGTATTTTGAATATATCAAATTTAACAGGTATACAAAGGCACAATATTGCTGTAATTTTGAGACGTGATTAATACAAATTTGACGTGGATTTTTATATAATTCAATAATTAACAATTATTTTTATGTAAACAATTTTAAATTATTATTATTGTTCTTAAATTTGTAATTGTTGATGTAAAACTAATTAGATTGATTTATTTAGCTTAGAAACTCTATAAACTTGATTTATGATCTATCTATGAAAATAATCAAAATATAAGAAATATTATATTATTGTAATATATTATTTTAAAATAATATAGGAACATAATCAATCATTAATAGAGAATTAAATACTCTTATTTATGAATGAGAACATGAGAAAGGAGGGAATACTTAATACAATAAAATTATAAATTTAAAAAGAAATAGTGGATAAATTGATAAAAGAAACAAAAAAATAGAAAAAAGTAAAAAGATTATTTAATCTAAAAGTAGCTGATTAATTTATTACAAATTTCTTGTAAACCTAAAATTTCCTTTTCATTCCTAAAATATTTATTTAAGAATATAGAATTGAGTGTGTTGATATTTTACAATCTAAATTAATTATATGGTTTAACAATAAGAGATTATGAATAGCATTTATTTTAGTTATATAATAAGGAACAATATATATACATTAGATATAATAAGAAGTCTAATAAAGAGAAAATATCATATAGAAAAGCTAGATTCTAAAAGAAAGAAATATATGAAGAGAGATTGAGAAAATATTTATTAATAAAACCAATTATTTTAGATTAGATGATATTAAAGAAAGGGTAGAAGAGTAAATAATTAAAAAAAAGATGCAGAATAACTAAGACAATTTAAGAAACATGAATTGGAAATGATTAAAAGAAAGAAAGAATTCAACATGAGAAGATGTTCAAACAATTGAAATCAGCTACTGATGAAGAATATTTAGAAAAATTTAAAAGAACTTAAAAAAATAAACAAAAAGAAGCTTTAAAAAGGATTAATGCAAAATTAAATGTTATACTGTAGGATAAATTTGAGAAATATTGAGAATTCTAAAAGTTGAAAAATTGATGCTTACATTTAGATATTACATAAATTAGAATAAGAGTAAATTAAATATCATAGATATGAATGTTCTAGATTTAAATGTTATTCAAATATGAATTAGTTGAAATGGATTCATTAAATATGGATCTTATAAAAAAGCTATTGATGAATATAATAAAAGTAAAGAATCTTTAAATTAACTGGATATCAAATAAGCAGAAAAGTTAGATGAATATTGGAAAGAGACGATTAAAAAAGAGAGAGTAGCCAAGAAAAAAAGAAGGAATTGATGATATTTGGTTTAATATCAAAAGAATAATATTTCTAGATTATTAAAATATAGATAATGAAACATTAAAATAAGGGATTAATGAATTAAATTACAAAATCTAAGAAATTGAAAAAGAATAGGATTATTGTAGAAATAAATTGATGTAAATAAAACATTAAAGAGATATAGTATACAGTTATTTTTTACCTTTAAGAAGGTTAAATTAGAATAATCACCTAAATAATAGAAAGAAACAGTTTAATATGAAAGAATATTTATCTTTAAATATAGAACAGTTTTATTACAGGTTAGAAATTCATCTGTATTCCTAGAAAAATATTATTATAAAATATTAAATTATTGCAATTAATAATTTATCTATTGAATTTTAATTGGAATCATTTATAAAGTTGATAATTGATTGTTCCTCATAGAATCTTATTAAAGTAACCTCAATCAAAAATTATCTAAAAATTTTATATTTTATTTTACATTATAAATGTTGATTATACATTGAATTAAGAAATACTAAAATTAACCAGGATTTAATAATTTTTTCATACATCATATAATGATATGAAAAATACTCTAAGCATGAAAAAGTAATAATTAAAATTTTCCTACACAAAATACCTGTTGATCGTAAATTACAGGATTACGATGAATTCGATTTATTAATTATTATTTTTAATAAAAACTCAATATCTTCGTAATGAATCCATTTACATAATATCCTCAATTCTTCTAATGTATTGAATCAATCTATTGTATTAGACTCTTATCCTTTTAATTATAATGAGCCTTTAATGCAATAATTTAACCATTATCAACATTAACTCTTAATCAATAATTACCTATATTATTAGAGAGCTTAACAAAGCAATATAATATGGGAAGGTTCTACTCTTAATCCTTTGATGATCAAGCAGGAAAACTTTGTAAAACAAGAATAATGCATTTAACAATAGTCTAACTTTGAACCAGTAGAAATCACAACAAACAATGAAAATAGAAATTCTGCCCAACTCCCAGAAAAATAACTAAATATTAAGCATAAGAAGAATAAACGAAAGGGGAGAAAGTCAACTAAAAGAAAGTTATATAACATAGGCAAATTATTTAATTTAATTTAATAGGTCATTGGACAACAAAGGAGCACAATTTGTATTTGTGTTTTAAAGAAATGAATAAAGACATTATGTTAAATTCAGACCTCAAAAAATAGAACAAAATATTCAAATAAATGTCTAATTTTATAAAGACTAGATCACCCAGTTAATGTCGATCTCATCATTAAAAATTTGATCCCAAAGATATGAGTTCAAATAACACTTCTAATCTTATAGATTGTTAAGATGTTGGGAATTAAGAATGATATTTTATGTAAAAAAACAATAAATTTGTTTGTTTTAAATATGTGAAATTTAATAATAAAATAATGATCTTTTAGATGATTCTAACCATAATTTTTAATCTTTATTAGATATCAAGTAATTTATAAAAGGATATGTTATCTTGCACTATTATATATTAAATATATAATAAAAAAAATAAATTATAATGGCAGACAGCTTTAATTCGAGTGGATAATTTTATAATTTTGTTGGAACAGCTGGTACAGCAGATTTTATGCCAGGATCAGGCTAAGAATAATAGTTTAAAATATTAATAATAAATTAGATTGAGTTTCGGAAGAAATTATTTAGGATATAATGATTAATAAGTAGGAAGTTTTTAAAATAACTTCCATTAATCATAATTGATAGATTCAGAAGTTAAAAATAGTCTAGATTAATTTTTTGAAATGAAAATAGAAGATGTTAGATTAGATAATTTATTAATACAGGAAGAATCTTCAAATCAATAAAAATTGAAATAATCCATACATTCAGATGTGAATAGTAGATCTCAATATTCAGGAGATCAAGAATTCCGATTAGGTTATAATGATCCCTATTATAAATAGAATCAGCAGAATAAATTAATAGTAAGTTTAAACCTGAAGTTAAAATGCTAATTCCTCAAAATTAGGGTAAAAGCATATATCGTGAAAAGATTGATTCATTATTAGAAAAGCGAACCTCTAACAATAACTCAGTATCCCCTTCAATTACTCCAAGATCTTCTAAAAGTCAATAAAAATTAGAGAGAAAACGATCTTAAAATCTTTAGAATGAGAATTCTAATGATATGGCAGATCCTACTCAATTGAAATTAGCTAAAAATAGAGAATCTGCTAAAAATTCAAGAGAAAGAAAAAAAATATATTAATAATTATTAGAAAAATAAGTACAAGAATTATAGATAGAAAATGAAAAGTTAAGGGATATATGCAAAAATTAAGCTTAATCAATGGAAATAGTAAATAAAAAGACTTAAAAAGTATGCTGTTGAATATTATATTAGTTTTAATTGTTTTTGGAATAGTAACAGTAAATGTTTGAGAAATTGGAATTATGTATAATAAAAAAAGCTAGTTTTGATGAAATTGGAATAATAATGGATGCTTTAAGATATAGAATATAATCAAATTCATAAGAAAGAAATGATACTGCTAGAGTGTATTTTGATAGTATAGCAGAAATAATGTTGCCTATGTAGGTTAAATATTTATTATATGCATGTTAAAATTCGAAAGATATGTTTGCAAATACTGACTAGTATAATATTGATATTATTCTATATTTATAGAGATTACAGTGAATGGTTGAAAGAAGGGTTTGAAAGTACAAAAGTGAATTTTGAGAATTTCACCAAACTCAAAAAATTTTAGACAAAGGTTTAATAATTAAAATAAAATATTTCTAAGTAATAAATAAATTAATTAATTTTTATAGTTCTTTAGATAAAATAAAGAATGAAATAAAATCTATCTAAGATTAAGCTTCTAAATTGGATTAAGTTTGGGATTCTTTAAAATCAATATTAAATCCATTGTAATTAGGTACTTTAATGTGTTCACTGTATCATGTAATAAAATATAATAATAATAAATAGAATATTTATAGAAATGAATTATAGACAAGCACATTGTTTAATTAATTAAAGAATTCTTAGGCAGAAGATGATGATTTTTCATTTAAAATAGAGGAAGAAATAAATTATGGAACAAATAAAATGGTTAAAAGGTGTTGAGAATTATAAAACTTATATAATTAAATTATTATTTTGTTTCAGTGAACATAAGAGAATGGCTGATTAAAAAGTTGTTTCTGTCTTCGATTTTGGAAAAATAAGAAATAAATTTTGGTAACCATGTGATAAATCTGTGTTAGATGTACATATAATGAATAATATTTATATAAGTCTTAATCTTTTTTAGTTGAATAAGATTTCTTGACAGCAGGAAAAGTTATGGTAAAACAAATATTAATAGTGCTTGGATTAGAATATATTTATAAAGTTAGTACTAATAAGTTAAAATGTGCTCCTCTTGCTACAATGCATTTAAGTTTTATTGATCCTGGGGCTGATCATATGGTTTAATTGAATTCTGATGAACAATAATTTGGATTGAAATTGACCTATCAAACTAAAACTTTAGATATCTTTCTCTCTGACAAATCTTTATATGATTAGTGGAAACAGCATTTCAGACGAGTTTGCTTATTAGAGAATTTTCATGATGCTTTTATGGTTTCAAAATTAATTGGAAAAGGAAGTTTTGCTAAAGTGTATTTGGCAACTAGAAAAGAGAATAATTAATAGTATGCTATCAAAGCATTTAGTAAATCCTTTATGTAATAACAACATAAAGGAATTGAAAGCTTATTAAATGAAATGCAAGTTATGAGAAAATTAAATCATCAAAACATAGTTAAATTGCATGAAGTACATGAAACAACTAATTCAGTTTACTTTGTTGTAGACATAATAACTGGTGGTGAATTGCTTTAACGAGTCAGAGAAACAGGTTTTCAATTCAGTAATTTTTAGGCTTTCTACCAGCTGAAACTCTCTAGAGATTAGCTTATAATTTGTTATCAGCATTAAATCATTTGCATCAATTTAAAATTGCTCATAGAGACTTGAAACCTGAAAATTTGTTATTACGTTCCAATGAAAATAATTATGATATTATATTAGCAGATTTTGGTTTAGCAGCATAATTAACAGATGAAAATATCTTATTCAAAAGATGTGGAACACCAGGTTTTGTTGCACCTGAAATCTTAGAATATATGGAAGGTTAGTAATTTTATGATGAAAAATGTGATGTTTTTAGTGCTGGTGTTATACTATATCTCTTAATAGTAATTATTTCTATTATAATTAAATAAAGACTGGAGGTTAACCATTTACTGGAAAAGATTAAAAAGCAATACTTAAGGCTAATAAAGATTGCCAAATTGATTTTGAAGATTCTCTCTTTAAATCTGCCCCTATTTAAATGTAAGATCTTATGAAATCCATGTTATAAAAGAAGCCTTCTAATAGATTGAGTTCTACTGAAGTAAAGATATTGTTATTTTTAGTGTTTAAGACATCCATATTTCAAAGAATTAGTTAAGTAAGAATAAATTAAATAGGAGAAATACTAAAGTAATTTGACAGATTATAATTAATAATTCAAAAATAATGTAAGAGCAGGTTCTATAGATCTAACTTTGGAATAAAGATAACCAGCATTTACAGGAAATATGAACTCAATAGAATCAATCAGTTGTGTTTCAAATGGTTCATTTGCTAAAATTGAAATGAAAGCACCTTCTGTTGTTGGAGCTTCAAAATTTAGTTAATATAGTTCTCGTTTGAATCGATTAGGTTCTAGAGATATATCTGGTAATTAAACTATTCTATTCTAGATATACCAACTACATAATTACAAAAGACTGAATCAAAAAAACACATAGATCTACATAGAATTGCTATTTAAAATTCTCATAGAAAATAAATTATTGATTAATTTGAAGATCAACCTGTACATCAAGAAAACTCAGATGTATCTGATATGGTTAGATTATATAATTCAACAAGATAAATTCGAATCCCTGACAATTTAACTTAATTGTCCTAAACAAACAAATAAGCATCTACTCCAACTACTAAAGGCAAACAGAATTCATGAATGCTATTATTTATCATTTAAATAAGTATATCATTATTATTTTTAATATTTTTTAATCATCTAAGTTAATAACATTTGGATTCCTTTTACTTCTTATTGTTATAAATTAATGCTGCTGTTATTGTATTTATAAAGTTGATTTACTACTAGAGATAAATAATTATTCATTCATTAAACTTATAAATTCTAAATTAAATTTTTTATTCTTTCTCTGATAGCTATTTTTATATCATGATATTACAATTTCAATAGTTTATTTTTAAATTCTTTGACCTTATTTATTCCATAAAAACTACTATTTTTATATTTTTATTCTTAATATAATTGTTTATCCCTAATATTAATTTTATTATTTTAACAACACATTTTATTTTATTTATGTCATTTTTTGGAAAATTTCCTACCAGCCCCAAAAAAAGGAGTAACAACTTTTCCACATTATAGGTGAGTTGCCAAAAGACTTTGCTGATTAAATACTCAAGAATGATATTATATTAATGATGAGTAAATATACCGATAGCATTGCATTTAAAAATCTTATTTAATTATACATGGTACTAATGTATTTTATTTTTAAGAAAGGGGTTGAATATTATGAAGCACAAAAAGATCAACAAAGTGAATATTTTAAAAGTAAATTAAATTGGATAATGAGTCATCCTTCTATTATATAACCTAAAAAAAAATAAGAAGAAACTATTATAAAATCAGCTACTAAATAAATAGATTTTAAAGTTCATTCCATTATGGATACTTCATACCATTATGATAATTATATTCAATAATTTGATAATTTTGAAGAAAAATAAGAGGTTTAAAAAAATAAATAAATAACAATTTAAACTAATGAGGTTAAAATGATGATAGATAATTTAAAAAAAGAAACAATTAAAATTAATGAAGTAATAACTCAATTAGACTAGATAATATAAAATGATCTTAATTCTCAAAACACTAAAATTGATGATAGAATTCATAAAAGAAGTAAAAGTTTTGTAAATAAAAAAAAATTTGAATAAAAAGAATACATAGAATGAGTTAACTCATTCTCATTTTTATTGATTCTCTCATTTCATAATAATATACAATAAATATATATATTATTTATATATTAAAATTTTAAATAATATATTTAATTAATAATATTATTCATACACATATCATCTGTTAAAAATTATATTGGCCTATTATGTAGATATAATTATAATGATAATTTTTTATCAATAATTCCCAAAATTTATATTTAGGCTTTTCTCTTCTTAAGATCTCCATAGCCGATTTTAAGTTTGTAAATAAAGCTCAACCTTTTGTTTACTTCTTTTCTGCTATTAATAGTTGTTTTACTCCAATCAGTATTAAAAGAACTTTGTTTAATTTTTAATCAAAATCTATGATTCATGAGAATAATTACTTTCAGAATCAATTTTTAAGGTTTTTTAAATCAACTAATAAATTTTTAAGTATAATCAGGATATTAAGATTTTAAATCTAATTCATTCTTAGTTTTTAAGATTTGAGTTTAATTACTATTCAAGATATCTTATATCTAAAGAACTAGTTAGAAATTATAATTATCATTTTATATAAATAAGTCTTTGTTTTTAATGTAATCTCTGCATTACTCAATATTCCTGAACTAGAATGAGAATAAGAAATTATTTTATGATTTATTGATTATTTAAATTATAGATAAGATAATTTAATTATTTATTTTCTAAATCAAAGCTTTATTTCTTTTTTTGCAAAGCAGACAATATTTAGCTTATTGTTCTAAATAGCATCAATCACTTTTTTTTCATCAACATACTTTTCTTAGACTCCAAACACATAGAATGTCATCGAAGATTCATTATCAAATGGACCTATATAAAAATATTTGATTGAAATCCTTCCTAATTTATCATTTTATTCTATATATTAGATTGATGGTTGAATATTAACTACAACCCAAGCTATTCTTTAAAGATTAGTAAAAGCCAATATGATTAAACTATTTACTTTTTCAAAAACATTAAAAAATTAAATTCTTGGATTAACACCAGGAGTTATCAAAAGTCCATTCCTTTCTTTGGCTTTATTAGAGTTATTTAAACTAACTTCGAAATCAAATTTTGCAATATTATCTATTTATTTTGATGTAAGTTATCCCAAAATTCCACCAACTAATCCTCCTAAAATACCACCTATTATTATTCCTGCAGGACCCATAGAAGTTCCAGCCAACATTCCAGACTATATACCTCCTGATGTTGTAGCTATACTTGTTCCAGTCTTAAGGGCTAGTTTACCTATTTCTTATGTCATCTCTTTTTTTGTAAATTATTCATTTGTTAATATTTAACATACTTAAAATAGTCCTAATCCTCCTTAAATAGCTAATCCTAATAATGGAATTTTATAACTCATAGCTAATATAGTACCTCCTAATAATGTGTTCTATGCTAAAGATTTACTATTAACTTCCCCATAAAAAGCATCAACAATTGTTGCACCCAAAACTGCGCCAACTGCTCCACCTGCTTATCCTAATTAATTTATTTAATTTTAATTTAATGTAGTTTTATTTTAATCAAAATTTTTAAGGTTAAACTTACTATTTTCTAACTTTCCTTTAACTGATGTTTATATATCTTTTATTTTTAAATTTTTTGTGTTTATTGGTTCTCCTTAAGGTTTCCAATTATCAGAATAACCAGTTTAAGTTGATCCTAATTCAAATTTCTTTACAAAAGTTAAATCTCCAGGTTTTGAGTTTATATCATGTAATAATATTTTATTTCCATCTTATAAGGTAGCTTCATATGCAATTCTTCCAGAAGATGAGTGTTTTACAATTTAAAGATTTATAACTTCCTACATTTATAATTATCTCCAATTCAATGAAGCAGATGTATATGTTGTAGAATTTATATTTAGTTTTTTGAAATTATAATCCTAAATTACAAAATTTTCATTTTCAAATTATTAATTCCACTTTATTAATAATTTAGATTTAAAATCTTGAAGGTCAAATAATTATTAAATAATGTTAATAAATTATTCAATAATTAGTTCAGAAATGCTTTTGATAAAACTTCTTAATTTTACCAACAAACCTTAGCTTAAAATAAAAAAAAATTAAATTTCATTTAAAAGTACTTCAAGTAATTTAGATAAGTAATTTTAATAAGGAACATAATTTGAATACAATTATTCAAGAAATGATACTAAAGTTTCAAAATAGTTATCAAAATTAACTTTTAAAATTATTTTTAAATCTCCCTGATCTTAAGGTATATTTGTAATGTTGTCAATTATATAGTTGATTCTTATTTAAAAAAAATCATTAATTATATTTAATTTAGGTTTGAGTTCATTTTAAACTCTTTACATCCAATAATTCTCTCTTTTATTATCATCATCAACCAGTGAAAAATTAGTCTGCACTTATTTAATTTTAACATATTAAATTCCATCCTTTTGATAACATTAATCAACTATAAATTAAAACTAAGGAAATAGCAGAACCTCTTCTTCATGTTTATATTTGGAATGATACGGTTCAAGTCTAAAAAATGGATGAGGATTTAAATCTTATAATGATATTTCAAATATTATTTTAAAGGTATAGTCCTTAACAAACCATTTTGCTACATTCTCATTAGTAGAAGTACTACTAAGAGTATTCCAATATAAACTTTTCTGTTAACTTTAACTTTACTTTAAATCATTTAATATTTGATCATAGATATTTTTCTTTGTAGATTCAAAACGTATGCCCCTATATAACTTTCTTGGCAATGCTTGTTGCTATAATTTTGAATAACCATTAAACAAAGTTAACATAATTTATTGTAAGTTTTCATAATTAGATTAAGCCATATTTTCATTTATTTTATATCCTAAATTTTCAGTTGTATAATAATAAATGAGTTTCTCAAATATTGAAAACTCTTTATTTGCTTACTTTTCTTTATCTTGAACCTCTTTTTTTAATCGGTCTAATTCTTGTTATGAAGTAAGATCTTTTATTTCAGATTCTAACAATTGTTCAGATAATTAAACTTTTTATTTTAATTTTTGGTTTATCAATAAAAATCTGAAACTAATTTCTTCAAATTAATGGTAATACTGTAAACTTTTTATAATTTATTTATCAAAAGACATGTTTAATGACTCCTTGGCTTATNCCACTTTATTAATAATTTAGATTTAAAATCTTGAAGGTCAAATAATTATTAAATAATGTTAATAAATTATTCAATAATTAGTTCAGAAATGCTTTTGATAAAACTTCTTAATTTTACCAACAAACCTTAGCTTAAAATAAAAAAAAATTAAATTTCATTTAAAAGTACTTCAAGTAATTTAGATAAGTAATTTTAATAAGGAACATAATTTGAATACAATTATTCAAGAAATGATACTAAAGTTTCAAAATAGTTATCAAAATTAACTTTTAAAATTATTTTTAAATCTCCCTGATCTTAAGGTATATTTGTAATGTTGTCAATTATATAGTTGATTCTTATTTAAAAAAAATCATTAATTATATTTAATTTAGGTTTGAGTTCATTTTAAACTCTTTACATCCAATAATTCTCTCTTTTATTATCATCATCAACCAGTGAAAAATTAGTCTGCACTTATTTAATTTTAACATATTAAATTCCATCCTTTTGATAACATTAATCAACTATAAATTAAAACTAAGGAAATAGCAGAACCTCTTCTTCATGTTTATATTTGGAATGATACGGTTCAAGTCTAAAAAATGGATGAGGATTTAAATCTTATAATGATATTTCAAATATTATTTTAAAGGTATAGTCCTTAACAAACCATTTTGCTACATTCTCATTAGTAGAAGTACTACTAAGAGTATTCCAATATAAACTTTTCTGTTAACTTTAACTTTACTTTAAATCATTTAATATTTGATCATAGATATTTTTCTTTGTAGATTCAAAACGTATGCCCCTATATAACTTTCTTGGCAATGCTTGTTGCTATAATTTTGAATAACCATTAAACAAAGTTAACATAATTTATTGTAAGTTTTCATAATTAGATTAAGCCATATTTTCATTTATTTTATATCCTAAATTTTCAGTTGTATAATAATAAATGAGTTTCTCAAATATTGAAAACTCTTTATTTGCTTACTTTTCTTTATCTTGAACCTCTTTTTTTAATCGGTCTAATTCTTGTTATGAAGTAAGATCTTTTATTTCAGATTCTAACAATTGTTCAGATAATTAAACTTTTTATTTTAATTTTTGGTTTATCAATAAAAATCTGAAACTAATTTCTTCAAATTAATGGTAATACTGTAAACTTTTTATAATTTATTTATCAAAAGACATGTTTAATGACTCCTTGGCTTATAGAAATTCTTTATTCATTTAAACGATATTTCTTAATTCATTTATTCCAGAATCAATTAAAATCAACAATTCCTTATTTTCTAAAAATTTCTTTATGTGAAGTTATGAATTTCCACAAAAATAAATCTAAGCATAACCCAATGGATCGATCATTTTGTACACAAATGAACTGGATACAATAACGATTATTTTTTCTCCACCTTTTAGATCATGAAAAAATTTCAAAGCATCTTCTTTTTGCTCAATAAAGTGACAGTCATCGATTAATTGTTTTAGTTATTACTAATAGCCTTTGTTTTCTGAATTATTGACATTTTAATCTATCCAAACTAGTTAGAATTTCTAATTCATTTATTCTAGAATAAATTTTATCAAAACTTAGCTTTTAAATTACAATTTCTCTATTAATAGAATTACAATTTTATCAATAAATATATTCGTTGAGCTTAATATTTATTATAATCATTTTAACAATCAAAAGAATGATTTTTAATTACTTCTTCTAAACATTATAAAAATTATATTAAATTTAATAATTTTAAACAAACCTATTAATTAGGCGTAAAGATTAAGAATTTTAACAATAATATAAACAATCTCCATCTTATTTTGTGTTAAACCATTTTTTCTATCGCCATTCCCTATGTAAAATATAATTTATAATTTTTAATAATCCTTAACAATTATATACTTATAATACTTAATTGAATAATAAAATTAAAATATTAACATTTCATATTTATTTAGAATCAGTCTCAATCATACGATGAAACTAATCGAAATTAAAATTCCATGCTTCAGCTATTTTTGCTATTTCTAAAATTCTTGTGTCATTAGTTGATTCTGCTGATTTGACTTGCACATTCATAGCAATATTATCCTATGATATTATATATTTATTTACTATAGCATATGCTAAGAATATGTCCTTAACTGTAATATTATTCACTTCATCAGTGATTAGCTTTATCTTTATAGTATTAAATAGGTTCTCCCATTCAGGATGATCTATTTTATATAAAAATAATTACGATTGATTTATTCACTGAATATTGCTACCTAAGTCATGAATGAGAATGCTTCTTTGAAATTTGAAAATTTGACTTCCTTATAAAGTGAATTATCATCTTGCTATTAATAATATAATTGTATGTACTAATTTCCATGTGGCACCCAATTAGTGCATCTTTAATAATGTCTTAATATCATCAGTTTTTAAGGCAGGTGGTTTTTCTCCTTTAAAAATTGAAAAATCTTTCACTTTGAAAGATAATTTTGGAAATGATGATGTTATCTTGCCTGAGCAGAATCTAAATAGCTAAATCATATTCAATGATATATTTTATTTATCATATTTTCATTTCAAGACTCGCAATAAATGCGTATTATTTATTAAATAAATATATAATACTTATTAGAGAACAAATTCTTTATGTTCAAAGTCGATTAATGTTTAATAAACCCTATATAGAGTAGGAATGAGTAAAAACTAATAAACTTGTAAAAAAGAGAATGTTTCTTAAATATTATATTAAATATTAATTTTACATCTCTGCAAAGAAATTTGTGATTTAAAATTGAATAGATCCTTTTTTGTATTCTTAATAATCAGTTTAATAGGTTTTATTTAAAAAAAATTTAATTAATTAATTATTGCATGCATTGAGAAGATAATTTTGCATATTTAAGGAGAGGCTTAAGGAATAATTAATAGTAGCTTATATTAGAATGAATGAGAATTAAAAATGAGATGGAATTTTTAGAAGGAGTTTTATTCTAAAAACAATTTCTATTCTTAAATTCACAATGATAGGTTTATTCAAATGATGATTGAAAAAAAAGTTATTTAAATTGAGGGATAAGAAGATAAATAAGACTATTTTTTATCCAAGATTTCCTTATTATTTTCTATAACTGATTACTGAATTTCACAGAATATTCTATATAAGAGAAACATATTTTAAGATTAATAACAATTGGCTTTAATTTCTCCAAAAGATGATTTATAAATTTTAAGAAATGATTTATGTAAAATGTGGATTAAAATAAAAAATAAGGCAGAGAGTATTAATGTAAAAGGTTTTTACTTTTTCTATTCAATATGATAATTATTTATTAAGACTTAAGTAATAAATGATAATTAAATTGATCATTTAGGCTTCTTTCTGAAAACGTTTAAATTAATTTAAGCTCCATTTACTCTTATTACTATAATCTTCCAAAATTAGATAGAAATTTATTAATAAATATTGATAATTTGAATGACTTAAATGATCTTAAAATTTTATACATAATAGATTAGAATTAAATAAAATAATTGATTTAAAATAAATAAAAATGAATTAAAATTATTCATTCCTGCAATAATTATTATTAAATAAAAGACTAGATCTATTATTCATCTTATAAGCTATCCTATAATTATTAGATTTATTCATCTCCAATTCCATCAGAAATAATAAAATCATTTCCAAAATATGGATATAGATCCTTAAATTCATTGCATAAAATAATTTTCTATTTAGTTCTCTCACTTAAGAAAGGTTTGACAACAGTCATCACAGTTTTATATAAAAAATTTGGATAGAGAATATATGCTTAATGCAATCGTTCAGCATAATTGTCTTAAACAAGTGTTACCATCCTTTTTATAATTTTGAACATAGACGAATCAAAATTCTTAGAAGTAACTCCTTCTCTATCCCAAATTATAGTGATTTTACCTGTACCTGCCTATTCAGCCCTTTCTATACCAATATCAATCATATATAGCATATATCTAATTAGAGTATCAGGATCGCTTTATCCAGGGAAATGTCTTCTAGCTTTTATTACTAAACAAGGGTTTCCCAATTTATCTTATCCATTCCAGAATGTTTTATTCATATCAAGTTCTTTTTTAATTTCTTAAATTTTTATATCATCTGCCTTATATTACTTTCTCCATTCTACCCATCTATTCCATTGTTCCCAAGCTTCATCTAATTTCCAATCTTTTGCTACCAATAATCTAATTAATTGAGCTTGATCTGTATATTTTTGTATTAAGTCATCTCTTAATAGTTTTTATGCTTCTATATAAACACTCTATTTTAATTAATGCAATTTAGCCTTCTAATCTCCTGTTAATTATATAATATTTTAATCCATCAATATATTTATAAATATACAAAACTATTTCATAAAAAAATATCAAATAGAAAATAAATCAACATAGATTGCATTTAATTACTTAATATTTATTAAACAAATACCTAGACATAAGCCACATGCTATTCCTCTTTTATATCTTTAAATACATAACAGGAACCTAAACCAATACAAAATTTATCCCATTGAAATTTATATAAACAATACAAAATTTCTCCTTTTTAGATAAATAAAGAAAATAGATCATTTCTCTAATTTTTGGTCTATTTACTTCAATCAATTTGATTTAATAATGACCCCTTTACTTTTCTAGTAATATAATATTTAATTTTCATTTTGTTCTCATCAGATTAGATGACTCTGAAAAAAAATAAATTTTTTAAATTAATAGGTAAAATATCATTTTTTATTCTAAATCCATGAAAATGAGAATTAGGACGAATGATAGATTGTCTTTCATAAAAATATTCTTTAGGCAGATTGCAGGTTATAGAATTTTAAGAACTAAAAATTTGAACCCAAAAAATTCGAGAATTTAATTGTTGATTAAAAAATAAATTTTTTAATTTATTTAAAATATTTATTATTTATTTTGAAAAAATAATCTAAAAATTTCTTTTGAAAAAAATTGTAAATTGAATTTAGAAGAATTGTATTTAGCTTAAAATAACAAAAACTTGAATTAACATCTTCTTAATCAGATTCATAGAAATAAATAAATTTTATCTCTTATTCTCTAAAGATTAAGAGAAAAAAATTATTATATTTAAATGTGAATAAATAATTATAAATTCATATTTATGCTATATTCTTTATTTTAATTAGTATGATAGCAAACTAAAAACTGTATTAGAAAATTTTGACCAAGAAAGAATGGATATAATAGCAACAATAGAAATTAGAATATTGTCAAAATTTATCTGTGGCCATCATTTTTTTTGTATTTTTATCTAAAACATGAGATACAGAATGTATAAAAAAGACTTGGTATTCTGAGCTTTTTCAAGCCCTTTGAATTTAAAGTCTTTTTTTCATCATATTGAACTTAAGAAAGTTTATGATTATGAATTATTCTATAATATATCTTTTATTTTTTTGATTAGTTAATATTAAATCTAAATATGTTTGTTATCTTTTGAATTGATAACTATTTAATTATTTAAAATTTATCCTATTCTTCCATTTAAAGAAAGTATGGTACTTGCTATATTCACAATTAAAAGTGATTTATTTTCCCATCCAAAATCCTTCATCTAATTCTACCCACCAACCAATCTTAATTCCATCTTCTTGATATGACCCACCACCTCTAACATATTGGCACTATACTTCTCTAATATTTACATTTTTTTATAATTTTATCCAAAAAGTAAACCTTTTTCTGGTAAACAAATATCCCATCGGCCTACCTTTACACCCTTTGTGTTATATTCACCATTATAAGTAACTTAAGCCCAATAATAAAACCCTTCATATAAATCTATCCATCTTCCAATCTTCATTCCCTCCTTATCATATGATCCACCACCACTAAAATTAATTCCAATAATTAAAAAATATTTACATTTATTTTCCCTCAAATACAAAAGCCCACCTACCTATCTTCATTCCATTTGTATTATATTCACCATTATAAATTATTTAAGCCCAAATATGAAATCCTTCACCTAATTCAACCCACCGCCCAAACTTAATTCCCTATTATGAATAAAATCCACCACCACTAAAATATCATTGTTATCAAATAATTACATCAATCTTCCTTCAAATAAAATATCCCATCTACCTTTCTTCATACCCTTTATGTTATATTCTCCATTGTAAGTGACTTATTTATTCCCCCAAAACCCTTCATCCAATTCTATCCATTTTCCAATTTTAATTCCTTCCTAATCATATGTTCCACCACCACTAAAATATTATTACTATAATAATATAATATTTACATTTATTAATATTGCTGCTCGTTTTTTTAATAGTATTTTATTTCCCACATACCTGTTTTCATACCTTTTATATCATATTCCCCATGATAAATGACTTTCGCATCGCTTCTAAACTTTTCCCACAACTCAACCCATTTCCCAATCTTCTTCTAACCCTCTTAATTATATGATCCACCACCACTAAAANTAATATTTTTTAAATAAAATCAAAATTTTATTTATTTTCTTAACCATTTTCTTCTGTTTCTTTTTATACATATGTACAAATCTTCATGCCTTACTTGCTATATTCACAATTAAAAGTGATTTATTTTCCCATCCAAAATCCTTCATCTAATTCTACCCACCAACCAATCTTAATTCCATCTTCTTGATATGACCCACCACCTCTAACATATTGGCACTATACTTCTCTAATATTTACATTTTTTTATAATTTTATCCAAAAAGTAAACCTTTTTCTGGTAAACAAATATCCCATCGGCCTACCTTTACACCCTTTGTGTTATATTCACCATTATAAGTAACTTAAGCCCAATAATAAAACCCTTCATATAAATCTATCCATCTTCCAATCTTCATTCCCTCCTTATCATATGATCCACCACCACTAAAATTAATTCCAATAATTAAAAAATATTTACATTTATTTTCCCTCAAATACAAAAGCCCACCTACCTATCTTCATTCCATTTGTATTATATTCACCATTATAAATTATTTAAGCCCAAATATGAAATCCTTCACCTAATTCAACCCACCGCCCAAACTTAATTCCCTATTATGAATAAAATCCACCACCACTAAAATATCATTGTTATCAAATAATTACATCAATCTTCCTTCAAATAAAATATCCCATCTACCTTTCTTCATACCCTTTATGTTATATTCTCCATTGTAAGTGACTTATTTATTCCCCCAAAACCCTTCATCCAATTCTATCCATTTTCCAATTTTAATTCCTTCCTAATCATATGTTCCACCACCACTAAAATATTATTACTATAATAATATAATATTTACATTTATTAATATTGCTGCTCGTTTTTTTAATAGTATTTTATTTCCCACATACCTGTTTTCATACCTTTTATATCATATTCCCCATGATAAATGACTTTCGCATCGCTTCTAAACTTTTCCCACAACTCAACCCATTTCCCAATCTTCTTCTAACCCTCTTAATTATATGATCCACCACCACTAAAATTTAATTACTTATGTCATATTTACACTTATTAGTAATTCTGCTAATTTTTATCGCAGTAATTAATATCCCATAAACCTATCTTCATACCCTTTACATTGTATTCCCCTTAATAAGTGACTTACGCATCACTCCAAAAATCTTCCTACAACTCTATCCACTTACCAATCTTTTTCAAATCATCTTTGTAATATCCACCCCCACTAATTATTCCTGTAAAATAATACATATTTCCATTTTTTTACAAATATTTCCACTTTCCTATTTTTTTATCATCATAGTATTCACCTTCTTCAAACACAGGAATATAACTAATGATATTTTAAAATTAACATTTACCTGCAATAGTTTTTATTTAGTTCCTTCCATAAACCTATCTTATACTCTTCTTCCGAGTAATATCCGCCAACATTTTAGAGAACTTATCTATTCCAATTTATAGCCCATTTTCCAACCTTCTTGAAATTCTTTCCATATTTTCCAAACCATTCAAGATTTTGGATTTATTCTAAATTATTGAAAACTTCAGAATCCAAAAATGAACAATTTCTTATTCTATCAAATTTTAGTTGAATTATTTACAATCTAACTATTTATCCATTATAAAGGTAAACGATTTCGTCTTCTTTATTAATTTTTATTTAGTATTTCTTTTTTAACTATCTTTTTTGAAAAGTGTCAAAAATAAGACATTCAAATTCTTAAGGGTTTTTAGATTATCTTTTATTATTATTATTTGGCCCATATTATTCAAGTCTAATAAAATTAGATAATTCCTTAACCTAATAACTTATTTAAAATCCTTTGATTATTTTTATTAATTTCCCATTTAAAATATTTTTATTAATCTTAAAGATTAATCAATAATTTAAGATCTATTTATATTAATTACTGTTCATTTAAGTTGATTAAATATAAACTTTTTTTTTCAAATTATTGAGGATATGAATGTTAATAATATTTTATAAACTCTTCATTTAGTTTCATTTAAACTTTTGAATTCTTTCATTATTACAATTTTTAAAATTTTGCAATTAGAATACTGTTAAAAAATGAAAAGTTGATAATATCAAATTTAGAATTGATTAGTTAAAATTTCAATAACTATTTAAATATTAATACATCCCAATTGAGAAGGGAAGTACAATAATAAAAAGAATAAAAAAAACTTAAATAAATATATTTTTAAATATTTCTCATAAATTTATTATTTCATATGAAAGATATTTTTGCTATTTTTCGTCCCAAAAAATCAAATATTTAGCATCATTTGTTAATGTTCCAGAAATGGAACTGGTTTCACATTTCAATTAACCTGCAACTTAAAATTTCCCATTAATTTATTTTCTTATTATATAGAAATACTCATTTTTCCTTATCAATATTATATTTTTTTCCTTATTATATATGATACTTGAAAAAGCATTATCAGAAAACTAAGAATCTCGAACTAATGAGATGGATTTTTGTTTATTTGGCTTGAATTCTCCATCAATTTTTTCATAGATCTTGATATCATTAATCTTTTATTCATCTGATATCTAAAACAATTAGGAATCATTTATGAACTTAATATTCCATCCAGTAGATTCTAGTTTAGTATCATTTTATATCCATTCCCCTTATGATCCCTTCTCCCAAATAACTAAATTTTCATATCCACAAGATGCTAAAACAGTCTCAGAATCATTTAGGGTTATAGAATAAGATCCATTTTTATGTCCATTTAATGAATAGATATATGTCAAATTATTGTTTTAAAAATCAAAATTCCAAATTTTAATAGTTGAATCATGACCTCCTGAAAAAAGTTGAGTTTCCTATTTATTTAATACCAAACAATAAACCGAATTAGTATGATTTTTAAATGGTTCTGACCACTTCCAATTATTTAAGTAATTTATTTCCAACAACTAATTGTTGAATCATCTGAACAAGAAATAAAATTATTCACATACTTACTATACAACAAACAATTAATATTGCGTTTATGTATCATAAAAGTATTCAACAACTTAAATGTTCCATTCATGATATTCCAAATTTTTATCTCTTCTTTACTATTTGATACCATTATTTATCCAGAATTATCAAATACTATCTAATAACAATTCTTTTGCTATTTAACTTTATCATCAATCAATTTTAATTATATTTCTCCTGAAAAAATATATGAATTAATTGTTTCTATATGACTTAATTATTATTAGCATTTCTCAATGACTTCACAAGTTTTCATTTAAACCAGTTTCTTAAATATCTTTTGATACCATTATTGATTAACTTTAATTATTTAATCAATTAAAGATTATAAATTCAATTCCTAAACTTTAAATTTTTTTATTTATTTTTCTAATTCTTCGTAAAAGTTATACTGAAGATTCTCAAATCCAATAGAATTCAAATGTTTGATCCATTCATGTGTATTTCCTATTAATTGATCTATTTATAATAGAAAGTTTGTTTTCAAATCTTGAATTCCAAATTGAAGTCATTCAATCTCTTTAATATTTATCATTACAACATTATCTACTGATTCTCTTTTATTTTTTTTATTTTATTCTATTAACTATAAAACTTTTGAAAAACTCATCATATTCGCATTTGTTTCTAAATTATTTATACATATTTTGCATAATAGTCTTTACTTGCTTTCTAAATCTTAATCCCACAATACCATTTCAATAGGCATTTTATGATTCTAGGAACGATCTAAATCTTCATCTGATTTCATTGATTTAATAGAATTTAATTTTTTATATTTTAAAATATTAATAAGGAAATCGAATTGATTTAAAAACAATTGAGGTATTTTCAGAAATATATTTAACGTTTTCTTCTCAACTGCTATTTTAAGAATAAAATTATCCAATTATAGAATAATAAATTGTTGTTATATATTTTATTGCATTAGAAAAACTTTTAAATTAAAAAAAAAAACTCCCTCCACTATCCTAAATAATATAAAAATGTAAATATATCAGCGTAATTCCAAAATACAAATAGATTTATTTTTTTATTTTAAATCCAAATTTATAATTTATTAGAATTTGTACTGCTAAACTAATCATATAATTTCTAATATTTACAATTATAAAATAATTTGGAACAGCTTTTACAAAAATCAATAAATTAGAGAAATTTAAGTATTTCATTTTAAAATAAATTTATTATTAATACAAAAAATTTGAAGATTAATCAAAACATAATTGAAAAATATAGTTGATTAAGGAAAAATTGATTTAATATTAAATTATATAAATGAAATCTTTGAATTATTCTTCATGCCTTTTTCCTTATAACCCTTTAAATAAATTGATATAATTTGTAAAACATATTTAAGCTTTCACATTTATTCGAACTTTATTAATGAATTTGATTAAAATGCATATTTTTATTATTTTCTATTTGAATTGATGTAGGTTTAATTTTTAAATAATTTTAATATACAATATATATACAATTTTTCTCGCTAAAAAAAGATTTAGCTTTAATAATTGTAGATTGACTTGATTCACTTAATCTAAATTAAAAGATCATAATATTTAAGGCATCAATATTTTGGATTATGTTTATTTTAAAGGATTCATTTTATTTTTCATATTGTCTCCTTAAATAGTTCGAATCTTCATTGATGTTTTCTTTACAAGCCTTTCTAAATCAAACAACACAACTCTGAGATCTATATTCAAATTACATAAGCCAAATATTTTAATACTTCATATATTTGATACTGTATTTTTAATTTAAATTTCTCTAAAGTGGAAAGTAAAAAAAAAGAAGTGAGCTTTGTTAAATAAAAATTATAAATTAAAAGCGAATTAAGATCGTATTCAAAATTTCAATCTGGGCTCTACTATTAAAAAGGAAGAGCCTTTAAAATTGAAAAAATAAAATTGTTTACAAAAATATTAATTATTTATAAATAAAAATAAAAAGAAAATTGTTCCCACAAAATCCTAATGTAATGTTAATATCGATAAATTTAATTTCATATATATAATCATATTCCTTAAACTTCGTTTATTAAATTGAATAATTTATATTAATTATTTTCCAATAAAAATTAGCTTTTTATGACATTATAAAAAAATATAAATTTGATCTGAAATTGTAATTTTTTTGAAATTCAAATTTACCATGAGTTTGCTTCGTTAATAAATAAACGTGAAATTTGTGTCTAAATAATATAATCTCTTTTTCTTTGTTAAAATAAATGGGAATAAAGAATAATTAACATAATGGAATGATACTATGCTTTTATTTACTTTTATTTTCTAAAACTTTCATTATATAATTCTAAATGACCATATTGGTTCTTCTTATGGAAATAAAAATTAGTTTTCTATTTTTTTTTTATTAATTGTGTATACTCATTTAAATTTTTAACATCAATTAAGCTAAGAACTAAGTTAGTATATTTAATTAAAGACTAACATAATTTCAGATTATTATTATCAAAATCAACCATCCATATTTTATGAATTTATCACAACTTCCAGAGAATAATATACTCTCATTTTTAAGTATGAATAAGTATTCCATCTAATAACACTGTTCTTTATATGATGATTCAAAGAATTTTCCATTCTTATATATTTACTTCCTTCCAACTCCTTAAAATAAAATCTATTTTAATTTTTGCCTAATAATAAACAAATATTAATATTTTTTTTTATTACAATGTTTAAATTTCCTATTACTCTCCATTTAAAAAATCCCTAATGAATTTTAACTTGAGGAGAGGCTCATTATTGGATATTTTATTTTTCTTATTCCTTTTTAAATAAAAAAATTATTTAAACAAACGAGTTAAAAATTAAATTATCATTAATTTTTATGTTCCCAATATGATAAAATTAACACTCTTCTTCTTGATTTTTAGGAGTAAACCAGCAATAATTAATAAGACAGATGGATATTCATTAATTTTATCAATAAATTATAGAGGTTTTTTGACTTAAGTTTTTAATTTTTTGCAAAAAAATCGTGTTCCCAAAATCCAATAAAAGTCATAAAATTGTAGAAAATATATAAAATTCTGTAAGTTGAGAAGATTCGCTCTATTTTAAAATAAATATATATTCGTACGATGTTAGAAGAAAATTATTATTAATTTAAAAGCAAACTTTTTATAAGTTATTTATTTATCCCAATTTTGTACATTTTATATTTGTTAAAATTATTACAAGGGTATTGATAGAAGATTGTTATTTTAGAATATTCAGTTCAAGATTAATGATTTCTTTTATTGGAAATTTATAATTAAATATTTTTAAGGGAAATTTTAGGTCTAAAATTTAAAAGTTTGAAACACTTATTTAGACAAAAAACCATATATATAATAAGAATAGTATTGCAGTTTAAAAGTAACAAATAAATGGTATATTATTAATTGAAATTTATAATTATTATAAAATTCACTTTCTTGCAATTAGCGGTATAAATTATTAATTTAATTTATGTAAATTGAAATTTAATTTAATTGAGTAAATATTTAAAAAATTTAAATTATTCGTTAAATTGCAAAAAGTTCTGAATGTTATTTAATTATATTTTTATCTTAAGAAGCACGAAGATTTGAAGCTAAATTATCTAATAGTAATAAATTTAAATACGCAATTTTTATTTATAAGCTTAATTGTTTATTTTAATTTTAAATATATTTCTTTATTTTGAAAGATAATACAGAATTGAATTGCTCAATTTTTTAATATCAGTGTGAAAAACATCTTAGTTTTTTAATTTATTAAGTAATTAGTATTTTTATTCAAAATTTTATCCAAAAAATCAAATTTTTAAGAAATATACTTAAAATAATAACATTTCAGATTATTTATTTTCTCTAAATAATTATTTAAAATAAACTTTATTAAATTAACAAGAATATGATGTTATGGAAAAATTTAAAAAGAGAAAATAAATCGAATACTTAGAAGTAATCCTATTTATTATATGAATCTTTTATTAAAATAAAAAATGGATTGCAAACTAAGTAGAAATTGGAAAGTTTCTTTAAAGAGAATATAAAGAAATTTAATCACTTTCTTAGAATATTTATTGAAGAATGTAAGTAATTAATCAATCAAAAATACTATATAAATTCAAAAAGTTAAAAAATTTAGAGATTTTAGAAAAATTAAATATGAGAAACATTGATTGATTATTTTGAGATAGAGGGTATTAATTAATAAACAAAATTGTACTCAACTTACTAGAACCATAAAATTAATTATTTTTCTACAGGGATTTATTAGCTATGTTTGAATTAATTAGAGTCTTGTAATATCTTATTGAATTTTGTGTGAGCCTTAGATAAAAAGATATATATTCAATGATTCAGAATGAATAGAGTAATCGTTTTTACAATATAAAATTTCTAAAGGCAAGGAAAACTAAATTGTTAAATTAATTTTGATTGTAACTCTTTCAAGATAATATCAAGAATAATAACATAAAAATATAATTAGCTTAATATATTGATTACTTTATTGAAATAACCTATTTTTTCACAGAACTTTTACATTTATTTTTGGTAAAATTAATATTAAATTTTTACAAAACCTTTATATGCATATTATAATTATCAATATGTACTAAGTACTTTTGAATCATTCAATAAGACTTAATTGTTATTCTTCTTAATTTATTATATACAAAAATTCTATATAATTTTCTATCAAAGATTTTGTTAAGTTTAAAATCGCTTATTCAAACCAAATATATATTACTATGAACTTGATTAGACAAATAAAACAAAATATTTATTATAATTTAATTATGAAATATTATGTAAATTGGCAAATGTGGAAAAAAATATTTACAAGATTTTTTTAAGGATCTCTAAAAATGAATCAATAGAAAGGTGCTCATATTTTTAATTCAATTTATTTGGCTAACTACTAATTAACAAGAAATATTTAATATTAAGGTAAGTTGATTAATAATTTAATTATTGATGCAAAAATCTTGCCATAAGAGATATAAAAAAGTAAAAGATTATTAAGAGGTGGAGGATGTTTTAGTTCACATAGTAGAGAAAGAGATGCAATTTTAGATCAATAATTAAAAGAAAATGAATTAGAATAAACTTTGAGTGAAAATATTTTAGATATTCTTTATTTAAAAGCATAGATGATATACAAATATGCTACTACAACAGGAAATGTTTAAAGAAAAGAAGAAATTTTATTATGCTTTTAATATTTTCTTGATTTTAGAGATCAACTTCATTTTTTAAGCGAAAATCAAAACATGTAAAAATTTTATGAAGTAGTTTTGTAAACAATTCAATTAATTTTAAAATCCTGCATAATTTTTGCAAAAACATCTTTTATATTGCTCTATTATGGTTTAATAATCTGTAGCTGTCTCACTAAATTCATTTTTAATTTTTACAAAAATGATTAAAAAAGATTAATGTCTAAGAATGAAAAATAATAATTATCAGATTTAATTAATAGTCTTGAAAATAGCATTTAAGGTGAATCTTAAAATCTTTTGTTTACTGGAATAAATTTTTATTTTTAAATTATACAAGCAAGCATTGAAATCATTCCAACTAATGAAAATAAAAAGTTAGAGATCTTTAAGTTATTTGCTTCAGGTTTAGTTTAATCAGTATCTAATCTATAACCATCTAAAGATCTTATTTAATCTTTTATACTTATGTCTAAATTTTTTTATTATAAATTTGATGAAAATAAAAAAGAAGAATTATTTAAAAATTATTATAACTTTGAATGCTCAAAATGGGAAATAATTTTTTATTTACTTAAACTAAAAGGTAATGTTCCTGATATCATAAATATGTTAGATTAATTTTATACCAAAGAAATTTTAAATTCTAATTCTTGGTAGATACATTTTTTGTGGATAAGTTTATTATGTGATATATTAAAATATAGACCTATCTTGAACAAATAATACTTTTTAAAATTAACTAAAAGTGTAAGTTGGGAAAATTTTATAAGAATATGTAAATTGAAATAATTACCTTATAATCCTAATTTAATTAAACTTTCATTTGATTTAGATTTCTCACAATTGCCAGATGAATTAGCTCAAAATTTTTAATTATGTCAAGGTTTCGAAAGTTTTAGAGAATTCTCCAATATTTTAATTAGCAATAATAAAAAAAAGAAATTTCTGGGTTTAGATAGCTATGTAAACTTTACTTTAAAATATGATTTAAAATTGATGTTTTAAGTTGATCTCCAAATAAGAGAAGTATGTTCCTTGCTGTTCAACAATAAAAATAAAATAATTTAAGATCAAATGATTAAATTAAAGAATAACAATTTAAAATTAGAACATCTATTAAAATCTTCTGATATTATTATTTTAAATGTTTAAGACTTGAAAAAATAATAAATTAATTTAATAGTAGAAGTTTAAACATATTATTAAAAATTTATATAACAAATTCACTAAATTCTGTTAGGAATTTTATGTATATATATTTAAACTTAAAAATAGCTTTGTTTGATTCAAATAGCTCAACTCTAATTATCTAAATTTATAGATAATGATTTTAATAATTAAATTGATATTATTTCAGAAATAAAGCCATCAACTTTTGAAGATTAATTTTGTCTTTAATTTATAGAAATCTTAAAATAATTGGAGAACAAAACTCAAAATTAGTTTGGAACAGAATATCAAAATATAATAGTAGATTAATAACCTAAAATAAAAGGGTTTTGTCAATATATTAATGAATAAATAATTATACTTAAATCTATCTTAAAAAATGGTTATATTGCAAATTATACAAAAGAATAGTTTTTATAAATTTAAATTGACTATGAATAGGAATAAGATTAGAGGTTTTATATTACTTTTCCAATAGATATGAAGTAAATTTTTTTACCAGTGAGCGTTATTGCAACTATTTAATTCCATTTAATAGAATAAGTTAATTTAGAATTAAAGTAATTAATTTTGTCAACAAATACTAATTATATCTATCTTGATGAAACTTAATTTTTGATAAAAATATCAATACATGTGTTAACTTTATAAAGTCATTTTGAATTGTTAAATCATTTATAAAATCTTTTAATAAAAGAATTTAAGTAATTAGAAATAGTATTTAAAAAAATATTTTAATTTTAATTGGCTCAACAAATAAAAGATTAGTAAAATCGTGAAAAATTAATACTTTGTTTAGAAACTTTGAAAGAATTTTTATTTTTTATTATTAATATTTTAGAAAGATAATCAAAATAATAAGATTAATAGAATAAACAAAAATATTCTGAAGATTATGAGGACGATTAATCCTATGAATACGAATTCAATGAATAATTGAAAAGATTTAATGAATTTAATTAATTTATTTAAATATAGCATTAAAATTCCACTGATACATAATAATTGAGATTTATATTTTCCTCAATTAAGGAAATGGAAGAAGAAATAAAATGCACAATTCTTTTAGGAATATCTAAAATTTATATTTAAAATGATTACTAAAGAGCTAAGATTTAAGAATATTTAATAATTTTGTAGAATGTAGAAAAAAACTTTAAAAATATTGTTATTGATCATAATTTAGAAGATGCAAAAAATGAAATAGATATATTTTAAATAATGATGAATAGAGTTTTGATTATTTAGGAAAATATTTTACAGGGTTAAGTTATAATAAATTAATAATTAAAAAACTTATAACATGCTTAAAATTTATCTAAAATTTAAAGCTGTTAAAAGTAAAATTTACAATTAATTATTTAATAGATAAAGAAAAAATTAGAAGATTTACCAATTAATCTCATTTTTAATTAAATTAATGATTTAAATATTGATGAGATTGTTAATAGATTAAATAAGATAAACTATTCTTTTAAATCTTCTAATATATTTTTAAAATTTTTTCATAAAGAAATTCTTAATGATGATATTTTGAACATAGAACATTAAGACTCCTCTTCTAATGAAGAAATAAGAGAAAAAATAAGTAGTTATAAAAATTATATTAATAATAATGAATATAGAATTCGTGAATATTTAGCTTTTTCACTTATGGAAATTGTAAATTTTTCATCTGAAAAAACTATTTAAAATTACTCATCTAGTTTAATTTTAGAAATTTGGGGATTAGAAAAGGATTCTAGAGTTAGATTTCTTCTTAAAGATTAAGAAATTATTGAAATACAGAAGAAAATATTTTCAAAAGATCTTCAATCTATGAATGAGAATCTAAAATAAAATGTTTAGAAAAGAATGAAATTTATAGAGGAATTAGAATTTTAAGTAAAATAAACAGAAGATGAAGATATTAGAAATCAAAAAATGCAATAAATTTAATAAGAATATTAAGAGTTCTAAGAATATTTAGCAAATTTACATGAAATGGAATAATAATTGAATATCACTTTATATTTTCTTATAGATATTAAAAAAGACATAAGAGGACTGAAATTTAAACTAGAAAGTTTAGAATAAAATCTTGAGAACATAAAAAGAGATGTTACTTAACTTAAAGGTAAATCTTTTAGAGAATTATTTGAAGTAAGGAAATAGAATGTATTATAAAATAAAAAGAAATTAGAATTGACTAAAGTATTTGTGCCTATTTATTGTAAAACAAAATAAGATAATTAGATAATTTTATTGCTTGATAATGAAAAAATGAATAAAAAAGCTGCAATTAATTTATTTCTGTTAAAGGAATCTATTCTTTATCACAATTCTTAAGTTGATGTCTTAGTAATTTATGGATAAACAGGTTCAGGAAAGTCCACAATAGCAAGAAAAATAGAAGAATTTTTATGGGAATAATATGATTCATAATAGAGTAAATATATACCTATTTTTATAAATTTACCAAATATTTAAGATCCTAGATAGGGTATAATTAATTAGATATTAGAATCTGAATAATATTTATTTGATAAAATTTAAGTCAGATAATTAGCTGAAGAAGTTGATCAAAATAAATTAACATTAGTTTTGATAATGGATGGCTATGATGAGATGAAATCTTAATATTAACATTTAAATTTATATACCCTTAATTAAATTAGTACTTAATGGAAACGATCTAAAGTTATTTTTACTACCAGATACAGTGTATAGTTTTAATTTAAACATTAAATATAAGAGGCAGAAATTTGTTCTTTTACAAATGACTAATAAAATTAATATATTCAGTTATATGTTGTTTTGTAATTTAAATCAACGCTGCTCAAATTTTATCAGAATTGTCTTCGATATATTTAAAGAGTCTTTTGTCATTAAGAATTTTCATAATTATGGAATTAGATATAAGAACTTATTATATTCAATAAAAGAAATATATTTACAGAAACTGATTAATTTCTTGACTCTAATGAACTCTATTAACTCAGTTTTTTTCTAAATTAACTTTATCCAAATAAAATTAAAGAATAAACTTATGCAGATTTGATTTATCATTTAAATGAAGAATGCTAACAAATTTGGAGTGCAAAAAAGTACTCTGATATAATTAATTAATTAAATCTTAGAAACATTTTATAGATGCCATTTATGCTATAAATAGTGCTGAAAGTACTACCAGAAATTCCAAATATGTGTTCAGACTTGAAATTATTAAAAAACATATTTGTTTAAAATTATGTTAAATTTAAAGAAAGAAAACATTTGATAAAAAAATTTTCAAAATCAAAAAAAGGGATCATTTAAGAATTTAATAAATAAATAGAGGTTAGAAATGTTTAAAATTATTGGGAAATTTTATTAGAAAAAGAAGTTTTCAAAAATTATTCATTTCTGAATAATATTAAATTAAATAATAATCTACTGATTATTAATAATTACTCTTTTAATTTTGGAGAAGAATGTGAAATAATAAAAGAAGCATTAATTAATTAAGATTTTTCAACTTATTAATTTTATACATTTTTTGTAGATTGGTATCATTAAGAATAGATTTAAAAGATTTAAAATAATTAAATAAATATTGATAAAGAGATTTTTATAACTGATTTAAATAATTTTTCTTATTAGTTAGCTTTAGAAATGACAGAGCATGATTTAACTGTTTTAAACTATAGCAAAAAAGGACTTATGAATTTTGGAATTGATAATGAATTTCCAGAATCATGGGCAGATAAATACTTTTGTTAAAAAGATATTGAAAATGAGTATTTGTGCCTTTTAAGAAAATGTTCTCTTTTAAATTAGAAAGGAAATTAATATTCATTTTTGCATAAATCTATCTAAGAATTTTATGTATCTAAAAAGATAGTTGATTTTATTGATCTATTAGAAAATTTTAATTTAGAATAACTAAACTCTTAAGTTACAAATTATTAAATTTAAGATGAGAAAATTTTAAAAAATGATCCAAATATAAAAAAGTTTATTAATATTATTTAAACTAACAAGTTTAGCTAACTAAATCTATCACAATAATCTTTTCGAGGTATGATTCCTTTTTTAAAAGCATAAAAAGCTAGAATTAAGTAATTTAAGTTAGCTTTGTTGGTGATTATTAAATTATCAAAGTTATTTGATAATTTTGAATAAGCAGCAGGAAATTCTTTATTAATCTTAAATTAGATTGGAATATTATTTAATTAAGAGAATTTTTCTTATATAAGAGTAAAAAATACTGATTTAAGTGGAGCATCTTTTTATAAGACAAATTTATTAAATTCAAAAATGGAATAAATAGTTATTTCTTAATGCAATTTTAACAAAGCTTTATTAAAGAATTGTGAATGGAAATAAGTTTATTGTAATGAACTTACATCATTATACGGACACAAAAGAGCAGTTAATTCTATTGCATTTTCCCCTAATGGTTAAATTTTAGGATCAGCAAGTGATGATAAATCAATAATAATTTGGAATACAAATAATTGGAAAGAAAAGTTAAGATTATTGGGACATAAAGATAAAATAAAACAATTGATGTTTTCTCCAATAGAAGAACTATTAGTTTCATGTAGTAGGGATAAATCTGTAATAATATGGAACATTTAAAATAATAAGTAAGTTTATAAGTTTAAAGGTCATAAGAAAAGTGTTAATTGGGTAGTTTTTTCTCCAAATGGATAATTTATAGCATCAGCAAGTACAAGAGAATTTATATTATTATGGAATCGAAGAAATGGAAATATTTTAGTAACTATTGATCAATATTAAAAATGCAAAACATCAATAATATTTTCTTTAGATGGGTCTTTGTTAATCTTTGGTAATAATGAAAATTCGATAAAAATTTGGAATATAGAAACTGGATAAGAATAATCTTAATTGAAAGGTCATGATGGAAAGATTACTTCACTTTCTATAGCTTTATATAGAGATAAGGAAATAATTGCTTCTGCAAGTCTAGATTCTACAATTAGGCTATGGGATATGAAAATTGGAACTGAAATAACATGTTTTAAATCTTAAAGTCTGATAAAATTTATAACTTTTTCTTCAGATGGATAAATCTTAGCATATATAAATGAAAATCATTCAATAAATTTATTGAATGTTTCGACAAAGGAAATAATAGAAAAATTAGTAGGGCATTCAAATGTTTTAAATTCTCTATCATTTTCTCCAAATGGTTAAATATTAGCATCTTCCAGTAGTGATGGATCAATTGTTTTATGGAATTTATAAGAAATAAAACAATTTTAAAATAGATAAGGACATTTAAAAAGTATAAAAAGTATAGCTTTTTCTCCAGATGGATGTATTGTTGCATCTTCAAGTGAAGATAGATATATTTTATTATGGGATATTAAAACAGGATCTTAAATTTATAAATTGCAAACACATTAAAAGGTTGTCAATTGTTTAGTATTTTCTCCTGATGGTGAGATTTTAGCATCAGGAAGTAAGGATAAATCAATTGTTATTTGGAATGTAAAAATTTGGAAGGAAATTTAAATTTTTAAAGGACATAATGATTAAGTTTTGTCTTTAGCATTTAGTAACAATGGTATTTTATTAGCATCTGGAAGTTCTGATAAAACCATTAAAATATGGAATAGAAAAGGTGAAGAAATATGTATTTTAGAAGGGCACAATGATGAAGTAACTTCACTATGTTTTTCTATTGATGATATTCTGTTATTATCTTGTAGTTTTGATAAAAATATAATATTTTGGGATATAAATACTGGATAACAAATTTAGAATATTTATATGCACAATAAAAATATTAAATCATTAACTATATCTCCAGATGGACTATTATTAGCATCTGCTGGCATTGATAAATAGATTTGCATATGGAATATCCAAACTGGAATTTAAATTTAACTATTTGAAAAACATCATGAACTAATAAATTAAATTGCATTTTCGCCAGATGGGAAAACTCTAGCATCTTGTAGTTTGGATAAACAAATAATCTTATGGGATATTACTACAGGTTGCATAATTGAAACTCTTAAAGAGAATAGTAATAGTGTAACAACTTTAGCTTTTTCTCCAGATGGAGAGATTTTAGTATCTGGAACTAGTGATTCATAGATTAGATTTTGGGACATTAAATTAATTAATAAAGTAACAAATATTGAAAGTCTCATTGATAAAAACAACTGTAAATTATAAATAAATTCATTGGCATTTTCTCCTGATGGTTTAATTTTAGCTTCTGGTGATTCTAATAAATAAATTAGCATATGGGATATTTAGACAGGAAAACTAATTTTTTAAAGAGAAAAACATTATAATTATATTACTTCTGTTTGCTTTTCTCCTGTAGATAATATTTTAGCATCTGCAAGTTATGATTAGAGTATTAAATTTTGGGATTATAAAAAAGGAGAATTAATAAAAACTATTAATTCTAAAATTGGTACCATATATTATATTACATTTGCTCCTGATGGAAAAAGTATTGCGGCTCTTACTAAATTTTAGGTTATAATATGGGATATAAACCAATCTAAATAAATTATAAAATACAAACTTGAAAGTAAAAAGGCACTTATTTCCTTCTCACCTAATGGATAATAATTAGCTATTGCATAGAAAAAGATTTAAATAATAATATTAGATATAAATAAATAAAATTGTGATATCCATCTAGTTGGACATAATAGGTCAATTACATCAATATAGTTTTCAAAAAATTAAAATCTTTTGATTTCTGGAAGTAAGGATAAACGACTTTTTTTATGGAATTTAAATTCAAAAAATAAAACTCTATTTTTAGGTCACAAATAAAAAATTGCTTGTGTGTAATTTTCTCATGATGATTCAATTATAACATCTGTTAGCTATAATAGTGAAATCATTTTTTGGGAAACAGCAACAGCATTAATACTTAAAATAGTTTAAGGATATATTAATTTTGGAAATACAATTGCAATTTCACCAAATGGATAAATTTTAGCTTCAGCTGATATAGGTTAACATATTAACTTATGGGATTTAAATTCGGAATAGAAAATACTTGAATTTTAAAAAATACAATCTAATGCACTTTTAGCTGTAACTTTTGATAAGAATTATTAATTTTTAGCATTTGCTTGTAAAGATTATTCAATCAGTATATGGAACCTTAAAAATAATTAAGAAATTTAACAACTTAAAAACATTAATGAATTGGTGTTGTCTATTATGCTATCATAAAATGGAATGCTTTTGGCAATTTCTTGTATAAAACAATTAAAAATTTATTAAATTGATAAGGGATTAAAAATATTTGAAATTGAAATATAAAATGAACTGGTAAATTAAATTCTATTTTCACCCAATGAATAAAAATTAATTATAATAAACAACAACAACTCTATATAATATTGGGATCTTTTTGAGAAATATTTAATTTTTTAAATAGAATCATTTAATTCTATGATAAAATCTATAGAATTTTCTTAAGATGGATTCATTTTAGGAGTTCGTAATATTTAGAACACAATAAGATTTTGGAATCTTTAGACTTGCTAAGAAAATTTTACATTCGATGTTAATAATTGTCAATTACTAACTTCTACTTTATTTTCAGATGATGGATCTCTATTAGCTATTCCTGATAATGATAATTACATAAGAATTCTAGATTTAACGACCAATTCAGTAATTTAAACAATTTAAATGGAAAATTTTAATTGTCTCTAATCTATTTTTAAATAGAAATCAAATCTATAAAAATCTTAATAATTACTTTAAAAAAAGGATTAAACTGATTAGTATCATCATTACTAAAGGATTTGTTAATCAAGTTGTTATAAAATTATTGGGATTTCTTGTCCCATGGCTGCAAATTTTGCTGATATTACTAATTCTTAAATTTGGTCAAAAGAGGAATAGAATCTTATTCCATTATTATTATAAAAAGGATCATTTCAGCATAATTTAAGTATCAAATGATTATTAATATTTTTTGAATTTAATTTTATCTGGTTTATTTTTATTTGCTTAAAAATTATTTATGATCCAATATATTAATTTGAAATTCTAATAAATAATTATATTTATTCAATCTTTCTACATTTAAATTACACCTACTTGTTAATAATAATAAGTCTACAAAAATTCTTAAATAAAATCATTCTTCTTTTGATTTTAATTAAATATATTTATAATTTATTTTTGGGTAAATAAAAAAAATATTTGGTAGCAAATTAGATACTTTAATCATTTTTTTATAATACATTTCAACACTAGAAATAATTAGCCAAATGGTGTATTTGAAATTTTTTTTTTCTTATTCATTTAAACTTAGAGCAAGTAGATCAAAATTTATTTCTCTCAATTTCTAAATCTCTGAATTGAGAGAAGACATAAGTGCATTTTAAAATTAAATAATTATTTACAAGAAATAATTATGAAAACTTGAATTAAAGTTGAATTATGTTCTTATCTCGATAAATATTAATCATAAAATATTTTTATTAAATTTAACTTACAATTCATTATTTTTCACCATTCAATCATAAGGGTAGGAAGATAAAATGTTGAAATCGATATATTTTTAATTGATTTAAATCTGTCCCTATGTAAGACATTCATAATATTATATGAAATTATATAAATTTAACATAATTCAAAATTTTTGTTTCTTTTATGAAATCCTAAACAGTTTTTTTAATTTTGGATACTTGATATATGATAATCAAATAACAAAAAAATTAAAATTGGTAAATATTCTATATTATTATTTTCATTAATTTTTAATAGATTAAAATATTTTTATCATTTTTGACAACAAGTCGTAAGGAATGAGCTTAAAATTTGTTAATAAAAATCAAATAATGATATAATTTTGTAAACAAGTTCAAATTAATTAATAAATGAGAAATATTCGAGTTAATGAAACACAAGGTTTTACAGATATAGAAAAGAGAATGTAAAATAAATGAATAATATAAGAAGTTTCTGATAGTTAAAATATAAAAATTGTTTTAAAAATCTAATTTTCTAGAAGATACAAAATCATAATTTTTCGTTTTCTCAGTTATATAATACATTTAGATAAAATATATTAATAACCATTTCATTTTGAAAATTTAAATATAGATATATCAAAAAGATAGAAATATAATACTAGTTCCATACTTCATAATTTGTTTGAAATCAATTGGTTTTTATATCCTTGTTGATTTTATATAACTAATTGTAGATGAAAGGGGTTAATTAATTATTACTAAATAAGATATAATTGCAAAGTTATAAAGAATTGTTTCTTTGAAAATTATAAATCTTATTAAATTTTTTACTAATTATAAATAATTAAAAATTCTCCATCATCATTCAATATATTGTTACTATTTAATTACTATTATTAGCTGATAAATTAAAAATGAACCTAACTGTAGATGCTAAAGGAATATAACCTATTTTATCCTGCTGTCTGCTGTGGAATTAACTCAATTAATATAATTGTCCTTGTTCTTAATAAAAAGAATTAATTAAAATATTCTACTTTCTCTTCATTTTATTAAAACTTATTTCTTTTAATGTTTACTAAAATAAAATATAGCATATTCATATTTAATTAAATATTTTAATCCCAGTCTATGAATTTAGAATTTTATCTAATAATAAATACACTTTAGAAAAACTTATAAATAACATCATGTTCTTTAAAAGATAAATTCTGTTAATTAATTGAATGATTATTTATACATAAAGAATAAAACTGAAGTTATTAATAGTGGAGGCAACACATTTTTTAAAAGGACAAAAGAAATATTAGTCTTTATTTATATAATTAAGGATTCTAAAATTATTCATCAGTAGAAATGAGTTACTAAAATTATTATTATATTAAATAGATCTTAAATGATTGAACTATCAGTTTTATTGAAATATTCATTAAAGTTCTTCAATGGATAATTATTCTAAGTTTTGCTACTTTTACTCATATTGATTTATAAGACTTAATCTTCAATTCAAATATTATTTCTAAAGAGTTCTATATAAGATTAAGATTGACTTAAATTTATAATTGTTTTATTTAGTGAATTTTAGTAACAATCTAATATTATATTATTAGATATGTAATATTTAAGCATGACAAGTTTGGGTCATGTTAATAACATTTTACATTATTAGTTTTTTATCAGCTCTAAATAGGTATTTAAAAAGATTTTGTAGTCAAAGCTACTATTTGATCTACAAAAAAATCAACAGATTTAAATTTAAAATGGATTTAAGATAATAATAATTAAAACATTAATAATTTAGGTTATTGCTTTAAAATAATTTATCAATAGCTATTTTTAATATTTTTCTTTATCAATAGTTATTTTTAATATTTTTCCTTTAGTAGGGTAGAGATAATAATCCTCATTTAAAACTTCGCAACACTTAGTAACAACAATTAAAACCGAAATAATCATAATGTCTTCAATATTTTGTACTTTATTTCAGAGTTATATTCTCGAATTAAAATACTTTAATCTTTCTATATATTATTGTTAAGTTTCTTTTTTAATATAAAAGGATGCTTAATAAAAGGATACCTATGAATTAATGAAATAAATTAATCCAAGTGATATCTAAAAGAAAGTCACAAAGACTTTTTTTCATCTTGAAATTTATACAAATGTTGAATATAAACTATAATATTTTCAACCAAAATAAATAAGCATAAAATAAAAGTTGATTTTAATGTATTATCTATTTCATCTGAGTTAAAATTTTTTAGGTATGGCTGAAGTTTATAATCTGAGATTGAAGAGACAAAATAATTTTATCAGTCTTAAATCAAGATTTCTTAAATAATTATTTTATATTCATCATAAAATTAGTAGTTAAACAACTGTAATTATATTTTTAATTCTATTTTCAATTTAAACAATATGTTACAAACTTTTATTAAAGTTTATGCAATGAATAACATAATATGTTTACAATTTAATACTAATCTCTATTTTATCCTATTTGATCATATTTTAAAATCACTATTGTAATTGAATAATTATTATCTAATGTGATTTTATATTATCAAAATTAATAATATCATTCATTCTAACTCTTTTACAATAAATTATCCTGACTTTTCTCCTTATGTATATAATCCAATATTTATTTATTTATTAAAACTATATTTTAGTCCAATAGTACTTATGGAAATCATCATCAATATCTATCCATATTCCAACTTTCAATCCTTTTTCATTATAATATCCTTCACCACTGAAAACAAAATATATGTATACATTTTAATGAATTAATCTCTATGGCTTTCCCTATATTTAATTTCCCAATAACCAGATTTTATTCCATTTTTATATGATCCAACATAAATTATCTAATAATCGCTATTGAAATATCTTTTTTATTACTTTAAGAATATTTCACGTAGTTCTATTTAAATTCCATTTTTCAAACCAAATTCATTAAATATTTAATACCCACTAGAATAATTGAATCCTCATACATCACTTAAAATTAATTATCTGCATCTTATCTATGCATTATTTCCCAATTACCAAATTTCTTTCCAAATTTGTAAAATCCCTTATAAACAACTTCACATCCCCTTCTTAATTAAATCAATTATTACCCTCCAAAATTTTCATGTAGCTCAACCCACTAATTAATTTTTTATCCAAAATTATCATAATATCCTCCTCCACTAAAATAAACTTAAAGAATTACATTTCACAATTATAATAATTTACAATCCACCTTTGTTATTTCTTTCCATTTTAATAAACACCAACATATGTTAATTGAGAGTTACTAAGATTCTATCTTTTTATACTCATTAAAAGTCTCATTAATTTCAATCCAAATTCCAATTTTCATCCCTTCTTCATTATATAATCCACCTCCTCTAATATTAAAAACAAATATACATCTTATGAGATTCTTATTCATAGTATTCCTTATGTTTTGTTAACCATGATCCTTATTTAATTCCATTTTTATAATTTCCTTAAAAGGTAACTTAACATTCACTATATATGTTATTTCTAGATACTCATAAAAATTATCATGCAAATCTATCCATAAACCATTTTTTTAACTTTATTTACCATATATTCCTAAACCACTTCATTAAACTGATATTACATAATTTTATTCTAATATAATGTTTCCCATATATTACATTTTAATCCATTCTTATATTAGCCTTTATAAGTAACTTTTGCAAAACTGATTATTTAAATAAAAAATTACTCGCAATAATTTTCAAAAATTTCTACCCACTTTCCTTATTTTTTACTACATTAATCGTAATACCCTCCTATAATTATTTTTTAAAGTTTCCAATAAGCATTCCATATTCCAATTTTTTGGTTTAAATTTGAAAATAACCCTATCCAAGTTAAATGATTAATTTATTCTACATTTTTCATAAACTCAAAATTATTTCTTAAATAAAAAATCTTCTCCCTATCAATACATCTTTTACTGTTACTATCTTAAAGTTTTATGATCTTTAATGTAAATCAGCTCTTGATTTTTATTATTTTTGATTATAATTGATGTTTTAATAAATTGCCAAGATCCACACCAGATGTTCCAATGAATTTTTACTGCATCTTCAATTATAATATCACTTTTTTCAATCTCTTCCTCACTCCTTAACTATTAATCTGTATTCAACAAAGTAATAGATGACATTGTTTATTATTATTTTAATTACAAATTTATATATGCAAAATATTGTTGTCTTTATTCAGGAGAAAATTAATTTACTTTATAATTCAAAAGAAATTCATATTTTATCTCAACTATTTCAGCTTTCATTCTAAAAGATCTATTAAATGAATAATTACCCATGATTCAATTAAATAGAATCTTACTTCATAACTGCTAAATTAGATTTTAAAGTAGCAATCCATTTTTATTTAAGATTCTAAAGTTTAAATAAATAAATTTGCCTTAAAATCAATACTTTTTTTTATTCTTTGATCTACTTTTAAGAATTTTTTCTATTTTTTCATTCTATATTGTTAATTATTTTTTTTAAATTTAAAGAATACTTTTTCTATATTTACATTCGGTTTTTCTTTCAAAAAATTTTGTTATACTGGAATCATTAATTTTCAGATTCATGATAGAATCTTGTACAAATTTTTAGACCATTGAGCCTTTAAATTTTGATATGATTTTGTTTTTATCATTATTATTGATCGATTATTTTAGAGGTTAATCGAGAAATTCTATTTTGATTATTCATTTTACTTAAATGTTTAAATAAATTTGTTTTTTCTGTTATTCAAAATATCATAAATTATGATAAAGAAAAATCTAACTTCTTAGTTAGTTATGTAGTTGTATTCCCAAAGACTAATTTTTTATTTTTTAATAAAATTTATACTATGGTGATATGGAAACAATTTTTTAGTGAATTAAATATTTTAACAATGTAAACTTATTTAGTAGTTTAATAAAGAAAACAAATTATAAGATAATGATTGATATTCTTATTTTAATTATTTCTTAAATATTACCTATTTTTCTAACAGTTACTAATTAGAATTATAATTTTATAAAGGACTGTCAATAATTATAGTTATAATAATTTACATAATTGATATTATATATTGTTTAAAGTATCATAATTTAAATTTTAAATTAGAAATTATTGCCAGAGAAAAAAGGCTACAAAAAATATCTTTCAATTCGTCAAATTGGATTAAATTATCGTTTTAAATAATTTTTACAATGGATAGTATTAATTCCTTCTGTGGTTCAATTATCATTTCATGTTCTAATCTTCGTTTAAGGGCTTCATCTCCTACAATATTTAGCATCTTTTCAATATTACTTATCGATCCAAAATACTTATTTGATGTAATCAGAAAATTGCAATTATAATCTTTCTAAATTCTGAGCTTTTTCGCAAACAAATTTCGAACTAAAACTGGAACAATCACTTAATTTTGTTTGTCAATTACACAGCCTAAAAAATAATATATTTTAAGTTAAAATTATGATATCAAGTTTAATATAAATTATTAATTTTGATTAAGCAAACAATTATCTTAAAATTTTCTAATAATTTTTATTATTTTACCTTAAAGATTTTTAATCCTAAGAAATTGTTATTAGGTAATAAATTAATTTTAATAAGTTTTTATTATGATTATCATCTTAATAATTTTTTTAATAGATCTACCGCAATTTAATTGTCATACTTCAAGTCCACTACGTTCCTCTTCTTTTTTAAGAATATCCTTATCATCTTCACCATGTTATTGATATTATTCAACACATATATCTCTCTATATTCATCTTCTCTAGTGTATTCTTATCCATCCAGTCTAATTTAATTTTTCTTCGTTATTTATGAGTTTACTAAATTCAAAAGTATCAAATTTTAATATATTCTTTATCTTTTTACCATATTGAAGTATGTTTCAATAGATTTCTCTTCTAAAAATTTGATCTCCTTAAATTTGTTCCAGATAACTTTTTACCATTTTTTATCTGGCTACTGAAATATTTTTATCATTGATAATAATTTTTATTTTCTATTAATAACTTTTTAGTTCTCAAAATAGTATAATTTATGAAATGAACTCTTGCCTTTTCAAATAGATCCAAATATCATCCTTTATTAGAAAAAAATTATTAAAATTTAGATCATTAATATATGGATTATCTAATTATTATATATTGAAATTAATATATAATTAAAAATTTAAAATGTAAAATGCAATATAGAAAGTTAGAAATTTTATTTTTTAGTAACCCAGAAATTGATCTAACTATAAAAAAATTTAAATTTAATTTTGCAGATAATTTAAGATGAGCATTTGCTCTGGTTTTAATAAATATTTCTGATATTGTATAACATTTTTTAAATTTAATCTAAAATTTAAATAAAAGCTATTTCTTTTCGACAAAAAAAGTGAAATCGAAAAAAACTTATAAAATAATCATTAAATTTCTTAAATATGAATATCTGTCAGAAAAAGCAGTTTATGTTTCAAATATATAATTTGTCCATTTTAATATTCTTAAATTTCTTTTTATTTATTACTTATAATTTCATAAAGACCCAAAAGATTCAGATTTATCTTAAAACAAAAACAGATCTTATATAATCTGTGGAAGTCTATTTGGATGATACAATCCTCTTTTATTATTTAATTGTCTCTATTCAATCTATGACTCTGAATGTCTTAAAAATATTATAAAACCAAAATAATAATAATCAAATCTTTGAATAGATTAATTATATTTTTGTTTAATATATAATTTGTATAATATAATCTCTATATTATTTATTTAGACTTTTAATATATTTGCCTTAAAAAATTAAGAACTAAAATTAAAATAGTATTCTCCCCTTTTGATTATATGTTTCCTTTCCTTGATGAAGGCTGAAAAGCATTTTCAACATAAATATTTCTATTAGTAATCTAGCATTAATTGCAATTAGTTTAAAATACTAAAATCTGTTTTCTGATTTATGCTCTCTTTTTATATTGTTCCTTCAAATCCTGTTACAAACTCAAGACATTTTGTTACTATTAATATTCATGATCTCAAAATTTAATACAACAATTAAAAATTAAAAAGCAATGAGAAAATTGATGTTCAAAAGATACTGATAAAATGGATCTAATTAAATCCATAAATTCTTCTGAAATTCATATTTGAAATATTATAAGAGTGGATTAAAATTAGATTGTTGAATGGGAGGGTCTATTGAATTATATTGTAAAGATGAAATCTACATAGTATAAAATTAATTATGTGATTAATCAGATAAAACTATTAGAAAGCCATTAATATTAAATAGATGTAAATAATATTCGTAACTGTGAATTAATTCTTATAACTTTATTTTATTCAAAAAGTCATTTACAGGAACAATTATATATTTGCATAAGAAAGCTTTTGAATACCTCATTGATGATTGAAGTTTTTATTAAGGTAGATTTGAAATTTCGCTGTTATAATAGGATTGATTTTTGTAGTCTTATGCATCTATCATTCCATTACCAAACGATTTCTCATTCTATTTTTCGATAACTCTCATTTATCCATAATAAATGATTCAAATAAATTTATCGCAATATGTAATTTGAGAAATAAATTTACAATACAAATAATATATGATATTGCATTTAAAACTAAGGTATCAAACTTTCTCTTAGATTAATATGACGAATAATCAAAATTTATTATTTTGAATTGAAGATAATGATAATTAAGATTTTAGAGATAATTTTTCTATTTTAATTGATATTTTATAATTTAGTTATAAATTAATGCAAGTTTTTTAATTTTTGATTAGCTTAATTTACAAGTTATGTAAATCAATCTAAAAATAGCATTTAATCAAAGTTAAAGTAAACTTCAAATAGTTTACTGAAAAATGTATTTATTATTTAGATGCAAGATATAAAATTAAGAAATGAGGAAATAAAATAATTACATCCCTTAATGAAAAATGTGATTATTACAATTTTTATCATTAATATGAGCTATTTTAATTAGTTGAATCTCTATTCAATCCTCTAGAAATAAATATCTTGTTGTTCGATGTTAAAAGCTTGCACATCTTAACTAAGAGAATCAACTTTATGAATGTTCTTCTGCTTCAAAGAGTTGTCTTTTCTTAATTATAATTAATAAGTAATTGAAATCTACCTTTTAGATATGATTGTATAAAAAGATGAAACTTTCGTAACAATTTAAGTAAATGTCTTATTCAAATTATTTATTTTGGAACTATATCCGTCTTTGTAAGAACAACTGTTGTATCTTCTTTTATTTAGAATCAACTAATTGTTTAGATATTTTAAAAAGTAAAACTTAACATTTAATTTAAAAATTTATTTTTACGTAGTAAAATAATAATAAGATATTGCATGTGGTTATTAATGAATTTAAAAAAAACAAACCTTTTTTAATTAATTAAGGCATTATTAAGAAGAAGCTCTATTTATTACTTAAAAAAATAAATTAAATTAATTACACATCAAAAGAAAAAAAACATTTTGAATAAGAATTGAATGATAGAAAAGAATCTTTTTTTAAAAAACTAAAACTGATTAATTAGAAATTTAATTAAAGAATCTTTATTGTTTTTGTTGAAGAGTTGAGAGACTAAAAATAAATTTAAGAAGAAATTGTCAAAATAATTTTATTTTTAAAAAGTAAGATTAACTTTTATGAAAACTAAAAAAATGTACAATATATTTATAATATCGAAAACCACGATTGATGTTACAATTCTTTTGCCAATCTCACATTTTATATATATATAGCAATAATCTAAATGGATTAATATATCCCATTCTTTTAAAATCTGATTACTCAAAAATAATTAAATAATATTTACAAATATTTCTATTACTATTCCATCTCCAAAAATTAGAGATTACATTCATATTTAAAATTGGTTCAATGATAAAAATGGGATAATATTCATATCCATAATTGCTATAGATATAATTTCTATTTTCTCTTTCATAATATTCTCCTAATCTAGTGTACATTTCTTTTCTTTTAAACAAATTTAACAATAGAAAGATTTAATTCTATTTTTAAATAACCCTCAAAATTTCTTTATGGAATATTAATGATTTATTATTTCCATCTCCAAATACACTATAATCACCTTTATACCATACATAAAAACCATTATTTTCATTTATGGTATTTGTGAAATTAATACTTTGACTGGAGTATGTGTGTATCTATTTTTTGAATCACCATGCTTCAACTTACACTATTATACTTAAATATAGGCTCGAAAATTGTTTTAGTTAAGGTTTGTTCATCACCTTCTCCAATATTTTTATGAATAGCACACCTTATTGATATGAATAGTAAAATCTTTTTATATGAAACCTTGGAGAATCAAGTGTATGCAATAAACAATAAATTATATAATAATTTTTAACAACAATAGATTTTACTATTGGAGATAGACATAGTTCTTTAGACAACGAATCAATTGCTACTCTTGATTTTGATAGTAATATCTTAGATGATATAAACTCACACAAGATTAGGCTTATCAAAATAAGGATAAACAACAATATTATTTATTAAAAATGGATTGGGTCTCTTACTATTTCTCAAAATCTTGATATAGTTATATTTGAATTTACAGAACTTCTTATAGATCTCATAGTGTGTATTCTAAGAGTGAATTGATACAGCATTTACTTGGAATTTGTATCAAAACTCTAGTTCTAAGAGTTTTAGCATTATGGGTTGTTTTATTTAAATCAATATATTTCAATCTAGCATCCTTGCAGAGTTCTTATGAATTTATTTTACAGATAGTTTTAAGCTTGATGATAATTTGGGAATTTGTGTGAAGAATTCAACAAATTCCATGAGGAGTTTGAAGTTTTGCTTTGATAAAAAAATCTAGACCATAACAAACTACAAATTCTTGGAATCTATTTAGTTTCCATTTTGTTAGGAAGATTAGAAAATTCTAGACTTTAACCTTTACTGAAATAACTTCTGTAAATTTGTTGAGATATCAGTAAAAGATTAATTTTATACTAGATCAGTAAAATTAAATAATCGCTCTGAAATGTATACAAAATTTCTTTTTTTGTGGAGAAGCAGGACTTTCAAGATAGGATACACCAAAGGTCTATAAAGCACCTATAAGGGTTTTATAGTGTCTTTAAGTTCTATTCAACAAGAAAATGAGCTCAAATTGAATGATGACAGCAATATATAGGATGCTAATGAATATATAAAAAAATTTTTAATTTTGTTTAGGAAATATTGTTTGAACAACTATTATAGTTATCGAATAATTTTGCTAAAAATTACTTAAAAGACTGGAATACTATCCTAAACATGAATGTATTAATCAATGATTTGAAGATAGGGCTATTTTTTCTCCTCACTCAGTAGCTGTTTAGTATCAACATAACAAATAACCATATAAAAACTATACAAAAATGCTAATATGTGAATTACTTTATATCAAGCTTTTGGTATAAATAAGAAAAACCGAAATTATTATGTTTTGATAGATCAATACATTTTATTTTTAAAGTATTGTCTATTTTGGAGACTGATTTCTACCATATAGATTCAAATGCAACAATTTAAAAGATACAAGAGATCATCCATGATACTCCCAGATAAATTATATTGTCAATTAACAGTAACAGATTTAATTTTTTTGATAATCAATTAATTGGTTTATTATCTCTTTTTTTAGATGTGTAATTGTATTCTCTTTCAGAACTACAGACATTACATACTTTTGCCCAGTAATTTTTGTAAATGGTACAACAATGGCTTGACTTAATTTTAGGTTTTATCAAGAAAAGGATTTGTTTCTTTAGTTTCTTCTCTATAACCTCTGATCTTAATTTGATTATCTTCTTTTTCTAAAAACTGTATATTTTCATCAAGTAAGAATCTACCAACATCTCCAATTCTATAAAATTTATTCCATGTAGGAATTAAAGAGAATTTAGTTATAAAGTTATTAGCCCAAGATATTCTGACGATATATCCACCTATATATATTTCATCAACTAAACCAGCTATTAAAGGATTCATATTCTTATCTAAAATAAGTACAAACTATTTAATATCATCAATTAGTAATATATTGTATTATTGGAAAACATCTGAAGCTACCTCAAAAATAGTGGTCCAAGTATTATTGTTAGTGAGACCATAAAAATTTATGATGTGCTTAGGAAGGTCTTGCTTATTCTTAAACAAATTTATAATTGCAGTAAAGTTGACTTTATCTACTCCGAATAAGAAAATTTTAAGCCAGAAAAAATAGATGGTGAAGTAGCACAAAATAGTACAACCTAGCAGAGCTGTTTAATGTAATACTGTTACAGAGATTTGCACCTACAAACTTATGGCTTAATGTATTTGATATTTTTTATAATCGAATTTGGTTTAATTTTTATATCAAGTGGATCAATAGAAATAGGTTATAGAGATTTTAAATATATAGATTGTTCAAATAAATTTGATTTCATTCAAATAACTCCGATAATAATATTAAATATCTGGAAATTAAAATATCATTATACAAATAATTTTTGGAAAAATGAGTTATTTTAACCTTATTTATTGATCCTTGAAGGTAGTTGTAGACAGTGATTTATTAAAATAGTTTCATAATATGATGATTGAGAAGTTGAAAGATCTATAGAAACAAGATACCCTATACAGTGAACATAAGTATCTAATGATTAGGGAGTTTTTTTGGAAAAATTATTTAGTTCAATAAAATGTATTTTAAAGAATTTCTAAATTCCTAAATCACATTGTAAGGATTTTATACCCATGTGGATTTTATAATTTAAATTATCATAAAAATGGCAAAGTTAATACAGAAAACTAAATTCTTGCTGCGTGGAGGTGGCTGTGGAACTTCATAAATGATATAATACAGATAAAAAACAAAAATATCTAAAAAAGACAAAGATTAAGACATAGATAATTTCATCTCCAGATTCAATTTCTATGTTGAACAAATCTTCACAAAACCTGCTGTTGCTACAAATTAATAAGAATCTCAAGAAAT